GGCTTCCTCCTCGGCAGCAGCTCGGGATGATGGACCTGGTGATCTGACTGCTTGCCGTGTAGGTGTCGGGGGCAGTGCCGATTTCGGAGACCCAGGTGCAGACTCGACGGACTGATAGCGCGTGGCCAGATCGCTGACGCTCAACGGCAGGCGAGGCATATCTTTCGGGGGTGGCGAAGTCGCACCGGACTGCAAAAACAGCAACGTATGAGTATCCGCAAGGGAACAGCGACGCTCAGCGACTTACTGTCGTAGTATATCGGTTTCGGATCGAGTTAGCAGCGCTCCCCGAACTGAGACCCGTGTCGCTTCTCTGCAAACCCGGGAGCGAGCGCAGTGTATCTTGACGCTCGTCTCCCGGAGGGAGGTAGTCTCCTCTGGCAGTTGCATAAGCTTTCGGGGTGACCGATCCAGATGTAACCGGCGACGATATCCGCTCCAGATTTGGCAGCGCAGTCTGCGATCGCACAGGAACGGGCCGCTGAATTTCAATCTGTCGCGTAGCCGAGATGTCCACATTTTGTGGAGCGTCAGCGCCTTCAGGAATGGGTTTCAGGTCGCTAGCAAGCTTGGCATCTGCAGCGGGCGGAGTCTGGACAGCTGCCTGGGCCTCTGTGTCACTCGGCGAAGGAGGCATAGAACCCGGCTCTTCCGCTTGTCGTTCAAGCTCGAGCACGGGGCTGGGAGCAGGGAAATTGGCATTAGAGCTCGATGAAGAAGTAGACGCTTGTTGAGACTGCGGCTGTCGAGGTGGGATAGGGAAATGCGTCGGAGGAGAGGGGAACGCCGAAAGAGACCTGACCGAACCGGAATACGGATCAACCAACGGTCGAGGCGGGTCAAATGACGAAGGCGGTGCGTGCTGGAGATGGGCGAGTGTCGGCCGCGGAATGATTGGGGATGGAGTCTGCCCCCGCTCAGCCATGGCCGATGGAACTGGTGCCTCTGAGCGATCGACGTTGCGCATCCTGGTCACACTTTCCGGTTCAGGATTGGCTAGTAGATCGTCGGGATATGGGTCTATCAGATCCGGGGGTGTCTCCCCAGTCCAGCCTCCCTCGCATAACGCACGCCATTCCCCCAACGGACCGATTGTGGGCGAAAACCGCCGCACTCCTTCGCAAGTCCGCAGCCATTCTGCATCAGCGACTCGGGAAGCACATGCAGCAACCGAGTATGTCGCAATCGTGTGTCTCTGGGTGACTTCAAAGGCGTGGTTGCTGCGAAGAAGGTCAGCGGGATCGACATTACAAGTAGATGGACCTGCTATTTCTCTTGCGATATTTCGGGTCCAAGAGTACTGATGAGATTCATATACCGCGCATGCTCCTCAGCGGCTTCACGGGGATTCTTCTTCGATTTCTTCTCATATACCTGACCTGAGAGCGACAATCAGCCTCCAGTCGCACGAAGAGCCAATCCCAGACATACCAGCTTGCTTTATCCTCGCGTTGGCATTGGTGATGCGATCGTCGTGGGCTTTCTCCTCTTTCTGTGCTCTCGTTGAGCCCATAGCGTGGGAAGGGAGAGATAGCGCACCGCAAGTTTCTTGAACCACTTCTTCACCTCGGTGCTGATCCCGTCATACTCTTTGTCCGCAATTTTGGCGAACTTGGAGTCAATCTCAGAAAGTGCGTCAAAGATGTTCGCACTCGCATTGAGCGCATTGGCTCGAGTACGGGCGTGAGACGGACGTGAAGTATAAGCGGGGGAGGACGTACAAGCTATATCATTCGTGACCTTGGCGTTGGCAGTATCTCTCAATGCCTTCACCAGCTTCTTCTGCAGAATCACCACCGCACCAGCCGCTTCGCAGTAATCGTTCAGGACATTCAGGAGAGTCTCCAGGGATTTGCAGGATTTATGGATTTCCACGCGCTCGGCAATGTATAACTGGCTCTGCGCTGAGGCCATCCCGTGTGTGCAGAAACTGGAGCGCTCTCCAGCCTCGGTATTAACTGTCCGAGAGAGAGTGGTCTGACCTCGATACGGCCTTGACATCGTGGGAACATGGATTAGATTAGACGAAGCAAGTTGATCGCCATTCATCAATCCACCCTAAGAACATGGAATATATACATTTCTAAGCAGTACACAAACGCCAGGTTTCGAAGAGGTCCGTTATCCCAGAAGCCGTTCAGTGATACGCCACCTTATTTCTCGACATCCCGGTTTTGAATTTGGGTTGTGAAGTTGAGCGTGTAGGTTGGCATGTCAGACATGTCAAGCTCATCCCACTCCTTTTCCTTTGCAGAAACGTCTTTCTCGAACACGTCTTCTTCGAAGCCTGCTTTGGCGAGCACTTGATCGACATAGACTGCAGAAAGGGTTCAAGAAAGTCACCGAAGAGAAGAAGATGAACTCACGGTAATGAGCCAGGCCCTTGCCGAAATGGAGCAAAGAGAGAACGCCAAACACGATAGTCGATAACAGAGACAATGTCGAAGCAACGATTAGGCAGGCAAAGAATGGCCAGTTGACGAAGGTGAAAGCAAAGCTGCCAAGAGTTGAGATACATATAATAGTGCGAATGACGCCCAATGCTGACCTCCAAGACTTCGCCATCAATATCCACGAAGCGAATATAATGGCAGAGATTCCAAGGAATCCAAGCATGAGCCGTTTCCACTCACGACGCACTGAATACCAGCCCATCGCAATCCATGGCGTCAATAGCTGGGAGGTTATCAATCAGAAAATTTCGAACAACAACTACCGTCGGCAACACACCGCGAGTGTGCAGATCGAAAGCGCGATGTACAGCGGACGGTGGAACGTCGAGTCTCCAATAGCATTGCCTTTGTCCAACATTTGATCGAGCCATAAGCAGACCATGGCAACCAGCAAGAATGCGGCAAGTTGGAAGGAGACGAAGACCGCGAGGAAGTACTAAAAGTCCGATTGGATCAGCAGCTCTATTTTGTCGAGTAGGACTGCAAACATTGTAGATCCGGATGATGTGCTTTGGAGCGCCGACGCGATTGAACGTGTTGGGACCATAAATCTGATCAAAACGTAAGTAAGAGGACAGAAATCAACGTCAGAAAGTACCTTGATCAGTTTGACAGTGAGATAGATGGAGACAGCCAGAGCGACGGTGTTCAAAGTGAGATCCGGAATCTACAGGTACTATGAGAGGGCCGACGAGTCGTTTACATGCATCTGACACTCACCTGAAGATTTCTACGAGTCGCGAAATATCCTGCAAACAGTTCGTCCACTTTGACTTGGCAGGGGCTGTCCTCATGCTCCAGCAGAAGTGTGAACCGACTGTATATATCGTTTGTTCGCCAGATGATATACATGGACCATGCTGTGGCGAGGGTACGGAAACACAGAGCTGCGATGCTGCGCAGGGTCAGCACGAAAGCTAGAATGATTGGACCTGCTCACAGATGCGGCACAGATGTGTATGCAATCTGCTATGGATCAGATCATGGGCAAAGGTCACAGCGACTCGGACAGACCGCAAAGACGGAAATACACAATATCCAGAATTGTGTAACCACCAATACAATGTCCTCACGCTCAGCATTCATCAACCTTAAGCGTTGAATGAGTCTCTGTCAGGCCTGGTCCTGAAGACTACGCACACTTGATGAGGATATGTCAGAACCAGCGTGCACATCTGGTTCATAGTGACGCTTTCGCCGGAAAAGAGAGTGACATGCACGGAATCGTCACTGTCAGGCGTCGCCTGCCAAGACATATGTGTATATTGGCAGCATTGAGAGGCCGACGCACCGAAATCTTCAGATCAGTATCCGCGAACAGCTTCGACTCGTTGCCGTTCTTCAGCCTGGATTAGTCGACCGAAAGCAATAGCCAGACGCGTCGACGCACCGTAAGATTGAAATTCTGGGGAACTGTCATGTTGGGGTGTCCCGTCTCGAATATGAGTTCGCATTGCTGCGCTGCAACGTACGTCGGGACCATGTTGCATAACTGGAGGGTGTCGTTGCCAGGAGTCCGTCGAAGGATGCTGAAATCGCTGTCCGGAACCTTCGCTTGCTGAAGGATGCTTGTCGTGACACCATACGCGGTGGAGTCTGTCGTGTAGATGTATGCTTGGATGAAGCCCTCTACGAAGCAGTGGACGAAACAGAACAAGAAGAAAATCGCCGTCAAGGGAGTGAGTGTAATTCGATCATACTAGAAGGTGGCTCAGACTGCTTATGAGGGTGTGAGATCAAAGGAGCGCACCAAGGATTTGACAGATGTGAACATATTGGTAGTCTTCAGCCAATGTCACTAGGACAAGAAAAAAGAGAGAGAAAGAGAAGAAGGAAAGGAAAGAGTGCGAGAAAGGTGGTCGAGACGGGGAAGAGCCGGTGAGCTACTTAGCTACCTCGATTACGAGAGCACCTTGATGGCGAAGCTGATATTTGATTTGCATCGCCCCGTTGATTGGGAGCTCGAGTAGTAGCAGCTTATGTAGAGTGCCGATACTATCGTGTATCGAGTGGGTGGAGAAATTCAGGATCGACAGTTTTTGAATTGGGAGAATTTCGGCGCGGATTTACTGCCACTCGCGTTCGAAATGTCACATGATGGCGATGCTAAGAAGGCCAATTCATGGCAGACATCATTGAAAGAAGTTTTGAGCGAGATCTTGCGCTTGCCGGGACAAGTCTTTATGCTCATAGCATGCTGACGCCGAGGCTTCGGGCTCGTTTTAAAAGACCAATCTCCAAATTTCGAAAGACTTTGGTTACCCCAGGATTTCATTATCCCATTGGCGGCTGCCACTAGCACTGCCATGATCGTCAACATTTGATCCGCCAATGACGCGCAGAAACAGATCGGGCGTGGGGCGGCAACTGAGATGTCTGTCACTTCAAAGTTCACACACGTTCACAGGTTCACCCAACTTTCATGCAGATCCGGAGACATCATCATTTATCGGTCTAGGATGCATCCCACTCTCTGCATGGCTCTAAATCTTGAGGCGCAAGAATTCCCTAATCAGACACCCCCCAAATCACGGGAAAATGGTGCGCCAAATTCTCGTGAGAATGGCAATAGTCTTAGCAACAGTAGTGCTACGAAGGAATTGTTACTATGCAAAGGCTATGTAGGTTTCACAGGCAGTCCAACATAGTCCGTTGCAGATTCGTCAGGTGCATTGAAAGGCGTGGTCGTGAATCCATGAGAAGCCAGATCGGCTTCAACAGAGGCATGAGAAGACGGAGGGCGACGGTTATCCGCCCTGTTCATGGGAAGGAGGGGTGTTGGGCCGTCATCGTCGGCAGCAGACGGGAATAAGGCGGCGGGACCCCACCTTCGCAAGGATCCACGGTCTGTCGTCGATGGAAAGCGTGGGGGGTGCGGCAGATGTGAGTTTAGGTCCTCCAGGCTAGGAAAGAATTGCCGATAGAAGATGTATGCAGTGAAGACACCCAAGAAAAAACCAAGTATAACATCCTCAGGATGGTGTCGATGGTCTGTTACTCGAGTGATGCAGATGTATATGGACCCAAGCAGTGGCAGAAACACGAGCCAGGCTTTCGACTGAGCGACAGTAAGCAGGGGGCGATACGACATGCTGGAGCGCGCACGGAATAAGATTTCTGATTGAACAGTTGCAGTTTTCCGGCCCAGTACAAGCTGAGAAACCCTAGGCCCGCCGCAGAGAGGCAGGCATGCCCACTGAAGAAACTTCGCATGCCGTCTTTGATCAGCGGGTCGTCGGCGGCCGTCTGACAAACTGTGAGGTTGGCGAGCCCGAAATGTACTTGATTGGTTGCGTTCGCGAATGGGTTACAGCGAGAAATAAAGTCTGCACAGGCTTAGGATTCGGGCGGCTGAAAGCAAGAGGCGCCTACCTGGACGAGGACGGCCCACGGTGATTCGGACCACCTCGACGAATGTGCCCATGAAAGCAAACGCGACCGTCACTGTGGACTGTGAGTGACTCGATCCTGCGACGCACAGGTAGTATCATACGCCCGAGGAGTGCATGATGCAGGTCCCACATGTTCCGGCTCAGGACTAGATTGCTGATGACGACCAGCACGTAGGCAAAGACAAGAATATAGGCCAACGTGGAGTTCTGGAGAATTCGTCAAGCATCGCTACCAGAGATGGAGATAGCAGCGAGGCGCACTGGAAAGACCTCTTTCGGTACGAAAGAGTGCTGTATAGTCGTATCCGTCAAGTCGAAGTCCGGTATGTTCTGAAATCGATCGAGAAAGAAATTGGCGAAGAGGCTGGACACGCAATGAGCGAGAAGATCATGGATGAAGCAGTTTTGAGACCGACGCTATAAGAACCGCCATGGCCCTAGAAATAGGCTCAGCGGCATCGTTCATCATTCCTGCGGTCGTACCAATCAACCCCGTAGCTTTGTAGAATGCGCAGAGCGCGCGTCCAGACAGGCATGATGAGCGAAAGTGTGTTGTGTGATTCGACGTGCGCCGGGTTGATTTAGAGAGCTGCTCAAGGAAACGAGGGAAGAAAGAAGTGATTCAGGGCCGCCTCAGTGCTGTGTGCAACAATGTGGGAGCGTGCTATACCGCTGTAACACAGCGCTTGTGATCGAACAGGTTGATCAATCAATCGGATAGGCCCTCGGGGCCTCGGCTTGTTTTAACCATAAACGAATGCAACAGGGCCAAAACTTGTCGTCGGCTCGCTCTGAAACTTCCGCTCAACTCCGGTATCATGAATCTCAAATTCAAGATCATGGAATGCAGTGGATCAAGCGGCCTCTGGTTAAACGCCCAACAACTTCTTCGGTGTTCGACATGAGTATCCAATTACAACAGATCTATATTAGCACTACGGGAGCGTACTCAATTCGAGCTTGAGACCCTTGAGAACCTCGACTGCAGCCGCAATCTGAGACTCGAGCTCGGTTGATTTGGGCTGTGACTTGAGAGATCGGACCTGGTCTCCCTGTGCCTGGATCTTGGCCTCCAGTGCCAGGTATTCTGGAGACTTGGGAACATCTGCTTTGGCAGCAGCAGCTTTCTTGGCAGCGGCAGCCGCCTGTTTCTTGGACAAAGCAGGGGCAGTTGCTTCCGTCTGACCGGCCTCGATGCCACCAAACTTCTGGCGGAAGACTTCGGCCATGTTCTCTTCGATCCTCTTGAACAAATGTGTCGGTTTGCCGAGCGTGTGGCCGGCCAGTATGTCAGCGGAAAGAGCATCGGGAACAGCGCGCGCTGGGGCATTCAGCTGTGCCAGTATGGCATCAGAAGTCGCGGGCATGAATGGATAGATGAGCGTGGAAAGCACGTAGATCAGGTTGACGGCACGCGCCACAACCTGGGCGCAGCGGGCTGGATTCTCGGTCATCAAGGTCTTGTTTAGACCGGACGACTGGAGATAGGTGTTGCCGACACCGGAAAGCAGCATTACTGTCTGAAGTCCCAGTCGAATCTTCACAGCATCCATGGCTTCCGTGTAAGCCTTGAGCAGTCCGTTCACTTCTTCGATAAATTTGGCGTCGACCGCATCATCAAGAGCAAGCGGCCCAGGTGCATCGCCGCCATCAGGCAGGACACCGTCGTATTGGGATGATACGAACTTCAGTGTTCGGTTCACGAAATTGCCGAAACTGTGCGCAAGTCAGATTCACATCCAGGCTCGAGCTGCATGCAACCAACTTGTTCAGCAAAACGTTATTGTTGGCCGCAATCTTAAGCACAGTCAGCGTCGAAGCTCAGAAAGGATCAGAAACCTACGCATTCCGTCCATGAGAACATAGAGTCAGCGTGCTCAGGTCTGGAGGCCAGCAGATAGTATCGCCAGACAGAGGGCGGGATCCCTGTCTCTTTCGTCGAAGGACCAAACACGCCGCGGTTCCGACTTTTGGAAAACTTGCCTCCCTCGTAGGTCAGATATTCTGCGCATAGTCAAGATCGACGCAGAAGATAGACGACAGCGAGACCTACCAGTCGACGAGACGTGATGGAGCATAGTCCAATCCCGCCCATCACCAAGCTGGACGGACGGCCAGTAGACAGTGTGGAAGTAGACGTTGTCTTTGCCCATGAATTGGTACAGCTTGACATTCTGGGGATTGAACCACCATTGTTTCCATTCCGGCGTGTAGTTGGCTGTGATACTTGGGTATCCAATCGGGGCATCGAACTGAGACGAGTTATGAGCACAGCGCTCAGAGAGACAGGCCCCCGCAAACACTCACCCAGACATCTACAGCCTGCGTCAGCAGGCTTGAGTTTTGAAAAGCTCTTGGACTCACATAGCACCTTTCCCTCCATCCCGTCGTCACCTGAAGAAGGAACTGGCACACCCCATTTCAAATCTCTGGTCAACGGAGTCGGGAGGAGACCGCTGTTCAATCGCGAGTCGATGATCTCCCCTTCGCCATTGATAACAGAGTTGGACGACCATTTCCCCGCTGCGTTGGAGCGTTTGATCCATTCGACCGTCTTCGGTTGGATTTCATTCAGCTTGTAGTACATGTGCGTCGAAGTTCGAGTCGTAACAGTATGTGTTTTGTCGACCAAACAGCGGGGCTTGATGAGGTCCACAGCGTCTAATGTGCGCGTGCAGTTGTCGCATTGGTCACCTCGGGCATCCTAGTCGTGCGGTTTTGTAAGTGAAAGACAGCATCGGGCCATTTCCACACACTTCGAAACCACAATTCGGACATATTCCCTCCACGAATCGATCGGCCAAGAATCTAATACGCATGTTGGCGATCTCCAGAGTTGTGATTGAAGACGACCCACTTGGAGCAACCCTCGCAGTACGTCTGAGCTTTGTCTTGCTTTTCAAGAAGCCCATGCTGTCCAAGGTTCGAGAAGACACCTTGTGAGATTCTAGTAGTGTGGGTTTAGCGGCATTTAACTGGAAAGACACAGCCAAGTACTCTGTGTGCAACGGGGTGGATGTGCGTCCGAAGTAATCAAATCTAGTTCACAAAGTCAGGCGCCATGCAGATTCAAACGCGAGCGATGCACTGACCCGATGTCGAACCACTCATAGGTCGCTTTATGAACGAGATGATACTTGTCGCAAAGTTCACGTGGGGTGATTCCCTCCTTCAATGCTTGGGTCTCCGTTGCCGTGCCATATTCGTCCGTCCCGCACATGTAGAGTGTTGTCCGATTACGCGTCCCTGTAGCGCTTCGGTAACCGTGCACAGTCGACAAGGAGGTAGAAAACGCGTACGGCTATACCTGCAGAGGAGTCAGTCACGTCATTTTCGTTCGTGGAAGGCCACGCACCGACTGAAAACATCCGCACTGAGGGTGCTGCCAATGATATTGCCTGCAAAGGGTTTGAGGCGGGTAGATAACAAGACCCTGGGCCATGCTCACCGAGGTGTGGAACGTTGTTGCAATAGGGCAGAGCAGAGGTGATCAAGATGTTGGTTTCTCCATTTTTGGGAAGGCTAAGCACGCCTATGGTTTGTATAAAAACGGATGGATTGCACGAATCTTACATGGAAGCCTGCCCCGGCTCGGGGGCAGTTCTAAGAATCCCATCCGCCGAACGAATCTTCTGGGCCATTGTGGATATCTCACGCGCAGCGACACGGATTGGGGAACTATAGTACAAGAGGGAGAGGGGACGATGGAAGAAAGACAGCGTTGCTATCGATCTTGGATCGGATTTACGCAATTATTGTTCAATTTCTGACTCCGAGTCAAGTGAGTGAGGAAGCAAATAATGCGTGGGAATACACCTGCCAGCGATTAGATAAGGATTCGCAAGATAAGCGGGACATTACGCAATCATCCTCGCTACCTGCGGCTTGCATTTTGCCTCGAACCACCATGACCCGCCGGTGAGTGGTGCTCTGTGAGCCTGTTCCCCACTCATCTTCCGCAGCGAGGCGTCGGGGAACAACTACGGGTCCATTTCTCCGTCTCGACAAGACGCATTGACCACCATGGTGTGTAAGCACGAACACCGAGAAAGACTGTGCACTGATATGACGAATTTCAAGCCGAAGGAGTTTACCATGAAAGCTGTTCTCATCGGACTATTGATCGGATGCCTCCTCTGCTTCACGAATCTTTCGTTCGGCCTGCAGACAGGATGGATCTCAATGTAAGTGTGTCAAGTCGTAGAAGCAGAGCAAGGAATCACTCACTCCGCCCTCCAGGATGTCGCTGCAATCAGCTCTCATAGGGTTTTTGATATCACGACTTTTGCCTACACCGATGAGTGCTCAAGAGGTCATTGTCGTGCAGACGACTGCTGTAGCAACTGGAGTGAGCCAAGCAGACATTCTGGATATTGATGACTGACGTCCTTGAAGACTATGCCGCTTGCAGCGGGATTTGTTGGCATCATTCCTTCTCTCAAGTTACTGGATGAATCACGAGATGGTTCCGCACCAATCAACCTCTCTTGGATAGCAGCCGTGGGTTGGTCCTGTTCTGTAGCATTCTTCGGGTACTTGCTATGCAAACCGAAGAAGCGATAGACTGATGTATCCGCTAGCGTGTTTTTGTCTCCACCGATCCGCAAGCAAGTGGTATGTTTATGCAGTCTTCCGAATCGTGTCTGTCTGATCTCTTTCATAGATCATCAAAGAGCAATTGGCATTTCCATCCGGTACTGGTGTTCTCTGCAAAATGCTCTCCAGCTCTTGACATAGTGTACCAGGTACTGCGACGGCACAACTGATTGCAGTTCTTCACAAGATGCCCCCGCCGGATACAACTGTCCGCCGACGCGTTGGATACAGTGCGGTCCCAGATGAAGAAGTCCCTGCTGAGACTGAGGAGACGCCTCTTCCCGAGCCACCTTCCGAGCGCGTTCAATCTGGAGGATGGTCCGCTCTTGCGGCCAGTTTCGGGGTCTCGGCCGTGTTAACACTGGCCGCCTACTTTTTCCCTGCGATATTTTCGATCCCTTTGTTTGGGGCGTATCTGGCCCAAAATTGGGCTTGGACATTCACACCCAGCCTGGCTTACATTGGTCAAGGTGACTTCCCAAGGACGCTGCTGTCGTTATCTCGGGCGCTGATGTTGTTGCTCAGGAATAATCATGGGTAAGTCTCGACGCCAGCCGGCCGTTCAACTCTCCAATCTTCCTCTTCCAGGTTTCCCCACAACACTGAGCATGAGCCTGGGGATGCTTGTGGGCTGGGGCGTCCTCTCGCCCATCTCGAAGCTGTCTGGCTGGGCGCCAGGTCCTGTCGGTGACATGACTAACGGTGCACGTGGCTGGATTCTGTGGACGTCTCTTGCGATAATGTGCGCAGATAGTGCCGTTTCGTTGGTTCCAGTTGTTTGGGACTACGTGCACGACCTTCTACATGGCGATCAAGCAAACGGGGACAAAGATGAACTGGAGACTGAGATAGAAGACCGATTGGTCCCCAACAGCTGGGTGCTCAGCGGAACTTTGGCAAGCGTTGTCTTGGGCACACTTCTCGTCTGGCTTGTGTTTGGACATGACGGCATCAAACCATGGGCTACATTTCTTGGATTTGTCCTCGGTGGCCTGCTCAGCATTCTTGGGTGAGTCCTCCCTCCTTGCTTGATGTGCGCTCAACATCTGTCGTAGCGTTCGGGCCCTGGGAGAGACCGATCTCAACCCGGTATCTGGACTGGGAAAGATCTCGCAACTCTTCTTCGCTTGGATTCAGCCAGGAAACATTGTTGCTAATATTATCGCTGGTGGTGTCGCCGAGGCTGGCGCCCAACAGTCAGTGTCTCTATCATCGACAGAATTGCCACTTACTTCCTCCAGAGCGGGCGATCTCATGCAGGATCTGAAGACCGGTCATCTGTGTGGTGCTTCGCCTCGTGCGCAGTTTTTCGGTCAACTTGTGGGATCTGCAGTGTCAATCGTGGTAACCACTACGGCCTATTCCTTGTACAATCGGGCCTACGTCATTCCTGGCCCGTCTTTCCCTGCACCTACCGCTTATGTGTGGCTCAGCCTCGCCAGACTGCTTCGTGGGTATCAGTCGTCCCATTGTCCACTCACAAGCTGAAATCGGCACCTCCAGGTGACGGCCAACTTCCAGAAAACAGTGCTTTCTTCATGATAGGCTTTGCCGCATTGTTCGCGTTGGTTTCTGCCTTCAAAGCTCACGCCGCCCGCCGTGATCTGTGGTACACTCAGTGGATTCCATCCGGTGTTGCGTTTGCGATCGGTTTCTTGAACACCCCGTCGTTCTCCATCGCTCGCCTGATTGGCGGAGCCGTCGAATATATCTACCGCACAAAATATGCTCGCGGCAAGCACGACATCCGCCTCATCGTCATCGCCAGTGGCTTCGTGCTCGGTGAAGGGATCGTGAGTGTTGTTTCCCTCATTCTCAGGACATACGGCATCGGCGTAGCTAGCTGCTGGGGATGTGTGCCCGGTCTGTGCGGAGGCTGTCCAGCGTATGTCGCAAAAATAATTGATTTGTTATCGTTCCTGAGCAGGACCGATAACAAGCGGTCAGACCATCAGGCTGACGGTTCCCCGATGCCAATGGAAAAGCTCGAATCAGTACTTATCAGACGCTGGTCAGGCAGCGGTCAGCAATCTATCATCTGGTTGTCAGTCCATGGTCGGGTGGGGGTTGGGAAGGGGCAAACAAAAATGGATTTTCTCACTGTCTTCCTTGTTATTTCTTACCCCTCACAGCTTTCTGACTTCATTTCCTTCTTTCTTTCTTTCTTACTTACTTAGCTCATTAATGTTCTATGTGATTCAAGCTTGCCAGGATATGCAACTCAAGGTAGGAATTGAACTCAGGTGGCTTTCTCATTACTTGCTCCACAATCGGAGTGGGTACTTTACTACTAGTCTACGTGTGCGTGTAGTGACATGTGTGATTGTCGGGTAAGTGACATCGGAGAAACGACACAGCCACCTGGCGCACGATGACGCAGGCCACCATGACGGACTCCACTCAGTTCCTTCGAGCCCTAAACTCTTACATCATGTCTGCGATTGATTTATTGGCTATCTCCTTAATTACCCAATATCAGATCTGAGAACATTTAATCAATTGCTGACATTGTCTGACAAGACACTGACCATGACTGACCAGGCCTGAGCAATCTGACCAGTGACCGACCGCTGCCTGATCACAACTTATTGCGCCTTGTCAGACCCTGATCAGTTTGTCAGGCCCGATAACAAATCAATTATTTTTGCGACATAGTATTTCTCGATGTATCTAGAATTGGCAAGGACACGTCAGCGCGACCCACTCCTATTTGGGTCGTCCTTGAATAAATAGTTGACGCGCTCTTAAGCGCCCATTCCGTGTCCGTTCGCCATCTCTACTAATGTCTCGCGTCCAACTTGCCAAGATCCCCGCGCTGACTTTCTACAAAGGGGAGTGGACTCAGAGTCGGCGCACTGAGCCGCTTCCTCAATTGACATGTGTTGGCAAGCCTTGCAAATTGTTTACCCCGGACGTTCGTCTTCCTGCAGTCTTATGCCGTCCAAAGACTAGGTCACTTACTGTGCCTTACCGCTCACAGGTCGTTCGCTGTGAGTCTCTTGGAGGCTCAGGGACGGATATCGACTGGAAGGTGCGCTGATGACTTGAGCGTCCCATTCAAGCTGTAACCAACCTCGAGTGTTAGTGTCATGCCGACCTTCCGGATTCTCTCCGACTAGGCAGAGTCTCAGTCTCATGCGAAGGTTTTTCTAAACCCGGCGACCCGTGGGTTCTGAAAGGTCGGTTTCGCGTAACGTTGCACGGGTATTCCCAAACTGCCCTCTCATCCTGCCGCAGATTCGTGCGCTCTCGAGTACCGCCTGGTACAAGTCCCGAAAAGCCTCCGGGACAGTGATTCCGACAACTATCTGCACAACACCCCCTCCGAGCCTCTCGACGTCGCGTCTATCCTGTTCTACCTGCTGTGGATTGGAGTCTGTGCGATGATCGCGTTTGCGCTCTTTCGCTCCTGTTTTGGCGATAGGAATGATCATGCTGGGGCCGGGCGGGGCGAGCGTCCAGGCGGGCCTGGTCCCCGCCCTGGCGCAGGCCGCCCTGCATTCTTCCCTGGAGGCATGGACCACGACACGGACGACGCCCCGCCCCCCTACTCGAAGATGGGCCAGGGGATGGCCAACCAAGACGGCTGGCGGCCTGGCTTTTGGACGGGTGCCGCATTGGGAGGATTGGGCGCGCATTTGTTGAATAACAGACAAGGTGGTCAGCGAACATACGATTGGGAACGCGAACGGTACCGCCATCAGTCTGGCAGCGGGGGCTGGTTCGCGAGGGATCCGCCATCACGCAGACCGGACGATCGTGGTGAGGGCTCCTCGAATCTGGGAGCCATGAGACAGAGCACTGGATTTGGAGGCTCAAATGTGCGATAGTTGGTATGTCATTATATGCTGTCTGTACTGTACTGCTCTACAAACCCTGGAGTAACTCGTTTTTCGAGCGATGTCCCTTGAGCAGACCACCACCGGGAACGCGTTTACAGCCGAGAGACGGATATTCGCTGTCCCGAATGAATCCGGATTCGTCCGTGGAGAGCGTTTGCTGTGGAGGATGGAGGCGCACATGCCTCCCGAAAAGCTCAAGCCACTCTAAGACTGGCTTTGTGGTCCAGCGTGCACCCGGCCTACCGCCTCGCTGGAACCAGCCCAGATGCCCGCCGGAGCGTGTCAGCACGGAGACGACGAACTCGTTTTGCTTGGGTGTCTGCACACGTTGCACTACAGGATCGTCTTGAGCATTGATGGTCAGGCAGGGCACCCGGATCTGCTGGGCGATTTCGTGGCTGGATGCCCAGGTATAGTAGTCGTCCACAGACTTGAAAGGGAACGGCGGTATGTCACCCACAGAACGGGTGAATATACCGTCGAAATCGGTCAGCGTTGGATTTTTGATTCTCAAGATTTCGGGGATCGCTTTTGCTGTGGGATGGTCTGGATCGGCCCTGAAAGCGTCGATGTTCTGCCGGAAGATGTTCATCACGTTTTCCCCCATACGTCGGAGGTAAAGGTGTCTTCCTATCGTGCTATGAAGCAGACTGTTGATGTCACAGTCAGCAGCGCGCGCCGTCTAAGGGATCTAAATCTAAAGCGTACGAGTCGTTGTTTGTTTTGATGTCCCAAGGCTGGGCGGAATGAGCCATTCGTACTCGATTGTATAAAAGGCTATCACTCACACATCCCAAAATGCATGCAGCGCTTATTCTGCTGTTTCGACCCTCTTCGGCAAGATACCTGACGAGCACATTTCCTAAACTTCATCGGCGCTTCAAATCTCTTTGCAACGGGAGACACCAACCTCCGATGGAGAAGCCCAATCCAAGAAGCGGCGCCAGAGGATACAGGTCCGTGATGTACATCAGGGCTTGCCGCAAGTCTATCAGCCCATGAGTGATAATATGTGCCACTTTTTTTCAACACTTGCCATCTGTCTGAGCCGCGGTATAGAACTTGTTGCTTGTTATGGGGGTTCCGCCGCCTGGACTCATCAGAGAACTGAGATACAAGAGCTGGGAGGACTCACAGCCCCGAAAGTTAACAACAACCGCGCGGAACCCGAGCCTCAATGCTGGTGCTAGCACAGCCCTCACGTAAGGCTCATGAGATCCTGTCAGACATGAGCGCTTCATGCTCCGGGAATCGCGAGGCAACTCCGTACCGCCTGTTAATCCGTGCTGTACGATGATGATCGGCGCGTCTTTGGGCAACTCAGACGCTTCGGAAGGCGTGAAATCGAGCCCGAGTGTCCCGCCATCGAGCAGTCTTAGCAGCTGGCTGGTCACAGTAATATGAGTAGAATGGTAGCGAGAGCAGCGAGACGCACACACCGATCATACTGCAGCTCGTCCACTTTCCTGAAGTCTCCCAGGACAGAATAGACTGTCTGCAGATGCCCACTGGACGCGTTGTCTGAGATTCCGGTTTTAATAATCGTCCAAGGATATCATACTTGAATAGCATCCTCATCGGTCGATACTTTGAGAACAGACTGGGACACCTGGATCCCACAAGCTCTTCGAGCGACACTGCTTGGGTTCCGTCCTCGATCAGTTCTACACACGCGGTGCGGGGCGCAAAATGCAGTCGAGACCTCCTCTTGTGGGTCGAGTGGTTGGACATGCCGGTCTTGGGCGGAAATGAAGAGATGAGGCTTCCGTCTCATCGGTTTGAGCATGCAGTGAGATGTCATCGTGGTTGCGTGAAACGCGATTACATATGTAGTCGATCAAGGGTATGTCATACCGGCGCTATCCGTCAGCCGATAGCCTAATTTTAGATCGTCGAGCTTCAACTCTGTGCCAGGATCTGAACACGCTCGTCGATGGAGAGAATTCCGGTCCGCGAGGACTGCCTTCGTTGTGAATGTCATTGTCTTGTGCCAAGTTTTCGCGTCGGAAGCACGATCACGTGGGTCTGACGTGACTGTCTGACTCTTGGTCTGATCTGTATATGACATCACCACTCGGGGGAGCCTTCTTTTGGAGCGCATTCGAGCGTACTTTTTGAATGCAGGCGTAGCTTGGCGGTCACCTGCACACTCATCCCTTTCCTTTCCCACCATGCAAACCACTAAATCCCTCCGTTCGGCTATGAAAACGACCGTGCAGCTGCGGTGTCCCGCGAGGCGGGTACTAGGTGTTCGGTATGCTATTCTCTTACCACAATCAATGTCCAGAAGATTAACTGCATATCTCCAGATTCTCCAGGTATCACAGTCGCACTCTTCCTCTAGTCTATACTCACGCGCTTACCCAGCACGATGCATGACAATGACCCTGCGGTAATTCCCCTTGCTCTTCTGAAATGCGTTGCACGTCTCATAATCCTGCCAGATCCTCGAACAAGAAAAGAAGAGAAACATGTCAGGAACCCAGCACAGAACTTCGACGCCGCACAAGCAGCATGCACCTGGCTGGAACGAACATCTTGCCAGTGCCTCCGAGGCGTCCGTTAAGGTGGGCAGCCTGGTTCTCCTTAGAATAGGCGAAGCTCAGTGACTCCAGGCGGACAAATCCTCCGGGACCCCTAGTGACCTGCAGAAGACCACGATCGAATACATCCATTCGCGTCATTCGCCAGACGAGGCTCACTATGCCAAAGATGAAGTAAGCGGCCCGTTGTCCGGAGCCCAAGGGTCGGAGGACGGTTCTCATCCCCAGGTCCTTGTTCGTGAAACTGTCAAGAAGACCAAAGAGTGGACTGAAACACAACTTGAGCAGACCGCGAGTGAGGAATCCGTGCGTTCATTCCCAGTCAGTCGAATGCAAAAACTCACAAACCAGCAGGTTAAGGCAGATCGGAACGAGCACGTTTAAAACGCTGAATGCATTCGCGCTGTGTATCAGTAACCGCCTCACCAATGTACATGTACTTCTTCCCAACCAAGCTTTTGAGACATAAATATATTGTATTATTCGACGACTCTTGAAGGTGGTCCATAATGAAACAGTCGTGTCGAATGCAGCAGGATACAGGGCAGGCTTGGTGATGTCTTTGAATATCGTCGGCAAATATACATGGTCACTACTAACAGGAAGTCAGCAACATCAGCAGAAATAGGTCAAGGGGGCGTACAAGGAAGTAATCCGGAACGCGTCTTGAAACAAGAGGCTCTCCTGCCCGCGGAGCCGGGTCGAACTGTAAGCTAGAAGGAGGTCAATGAGTGTAAATTTGGCTGTGCCGGGCGGGACATACAAGCTGTAGGATAATTTTTCGTCTATTTCCATGATAGCAGCTTGATTGCCGCAACGGTAACAGTAGTTAGGCGCGCTGAAGATAGTAACAACGTTTCTATCTTGACCCCAGCTATATCCTGGGCAAAGGCTCAGCACCGATTGGGAACGATGGTCAGTTGGGTCGCACCTTCCATCACGAGCTGATGCGCTCGTGCAACAAGCGTAAGACCGTTATTATGGTTGAATGCTTCAGAGATATCTTGTCCGAAAGTATAACCTGCACCTCGGGGCGATATACCCCATCCACAACGGTCATCCGGGTCTGACCACAGGAGATCACACATGGGGCCTTCGTGGGGCACTTCTTGCACACGCTCGATAGTACGAACATGATCAAGAGTGTCGATGGAGGGAGATAGGCCGCCGTGGAGACAGAAGATCTGCCAGAAGGTCAGTCCCGGTCGAACGTCGAACTTGACTGGCAGCACACGCACTTGATTGTCAATGAGGGCCGTCAAGGGCAAAAAATCGAAGAGGTCCGTGAAGAATCGCCAAACATTGGCGTTTCCGTACTTCCGCAGGCACTCATCGTAGAACCCGTACACCTGGGTAATTTGCCGAGACTCGTGGTTCCCGCGCAAGATGGTGACACGATCACGATAACGCAACTTGAGTGCCACCAACAATGTCACCGTCTCAACCGAATAGTAGCCACGGTCGACATAGTCTCCCATGAAAAGGTAGTTCGTGTCTGGCGAGTTGCCCCCGATACGAAAGAGCTCTGAGAGGTCGTGCTGAAAGTACGCTCCATATGTGGGATCTTCGCAACAGCATAGGACGACGTACGAATTGGCCGTGAATATCCCCACACACTGTCACTGGGCATCGTACAGGCTGAACGTTAGATTCCTCCATCAGAATCTCCCTTGTCTGGCGAGGAGATGAATATGGGGGGACAAGTGAACTGATTTGACGGAAGTACCCGCCTTATCGCATAGTTTTTTTACGTCCGCTTCGGTTAACTGCTTGCATTGACTGAGTTGCTCGATCCATGCGTCTACTTCGTGTTCCATGCTGCTTTTGGGAAAGGGATATGGTGGAGAGAGATCAAGAGCTTTAGATCCACAACGGACCTGTCACGTAACACCTCATCCGTCACACTCTCGCGGACGCGTACTTTTCCCAAAACCATGGACGGTCAAGTAGGAGGCAGTCTCAAACGTTATGGAATTCATCTGATTGACCCGTAGCAAGCGATCTACACGACGGACGAAGTACGCCTCGGTACTCAAACAACGATTCTTGATCTCACAAATTCTACCTTCAGTATGGTCGACCATTCATCATCGTCCGGGAGCAGGGAAAAAAGACGCGGACACACGGTGTAGAGGCGATCAAAGTGAGTCTTCTGCCGCGTGAATTGTTTTCGCGTCTGATATCACTCAGTCGCATATTCTCGCTGCGCGCACCGTCGCAAATATCGTTCGAACATCATTGGGCCCGAGAGGTAGGTCGGCAGCGATTACAACTCCTGACATACCTCAGCTCTGTGTATAGGTCTTGACAAAATTCTCATATCCCCCGATGGCGAAATTACTGTGACGAACGATGGGGCGACTATCTTGGGACAGATGGAGGTCGAACACCAGATTGCAAAACTTCTCGTTCAACTCTCAAAGAGTCAAGACGATGAAATCGGGGATGGTACTACGGGCGTCGTCGGTACGATCTATGTGAACACCTCTTTCGTCGATTGACCTTCGCTTTTGACAGTCTTGGCGGGTGCACTGTTGGAGCAGAGCGAAACATTACTCGACAAGGGCATTCATCCCATCCGAATCGCGGACGGATTCGATAGAGCATGTACGGTGGCTGTAGAGCAGCTCGATCGGATCTCGGACACCGTCGAGTTCTCTAAAGAGAATACTGAGAATTTGTTAAAAGCATCCATGACCAGTCTCGGGAGCAAAATGTGTGTATCTTGCATTTCTAGCAAATTTTCCGTCTGAAATAACCTGCCACAGTGTGTCCAAGGAGCACAGACAATTCGCGCAGATCGCCGTCGACGCGGTCCTCTCCGTCGCAGACCTGGAGCGACGCGATGTTCCCTTTGATCTCATCAAGGTGGATGGCAAAGTTGGGGGTTCTCTTGCGGACACCGTCCTCATCAAGGGTGTTCTCATCGACAAAGACATGTCCCATCCTCAGATGCCACACTCCGTCAAGGATGCTCGACTGGCGATCCTCACCTGCCCATTCGAACCGCCTCGCCCCAAAACCAAGCACCATCTTGACATCACAAGCGTGGAGGAGTATTCCAAGCTACGAGATTATGAGAAGGAGAAATTTGCTCAAATGATCAAAATGGTCAAGGACACCGGTGCCAATCTGGTCATTTGTCAATGGGGTTTCGATGACGAGGCCAACCATCTCTTGATGCAAAACGAGCTTCCAGCGGTGCGATGGGTCGGTGGTCCGGAAATTGAGGTGAGCTTCTCCTCACTCACCTGGACGACCGCTCACTTCATTTTAGCTGATTGCTATTGCGACGCAAGGTCGGATCGTCCCTCGTTTCGAGGATCTGTCAGCAGAGAAGCTGGGTAAGGCGGGTATCGTTCGCGAGATCTCATTCGGTACAACTCGGGACAAAATGCTTGTTATCGAGGAATGTGCGAACACGCGTGCTGTGACGATCTTCGTGCGAGGGAGCAACAAGATGGTATGTCTTCACGTTGTCCACTGATACGATCGTTTCAAGATTGAACCAGATCGTCGACGAAGCTAAGCGCGCTCTTCACGATGCCATCTGTGTTGTGCGCAATCTTGTGGTTGATAACCGTGTTGTCTACGGTGGCGGTGCCGCGGACATCAGTTGTGCAATTGCTGTCTCTCAAGCTGCGGACGAAGTGAGCAGCACCCATTCTCGTCGACTAGATTCTGAATGCATCTCTTGGATTTAGATTCCCACCATAGAGCAGTATGCAATGCGAGCATTCGCCTCCGCCCTGGACGCCGTGCCTCTGGCTCTCGCCGAAAACAGTGGATTGCCACCAATTGAGACATTGGCCGACATTCGAAGCAGGCAGATCACGGAAAAAGACTCGAAACTGGGCATTGACTGCAACGGGAAAGGAGAAAATGGTATGTTTCTGATGCCTGGTCAGAATGTCATGCCAATCTCTCTCTGCAAATAGACATGAAGAAACAATTCGTTTATGATCCTCTAATTTCGAAGCGGCAGCAATATCTTTTGGCGACACAGGTTTGTGACCCTCTCCCGATCTTGTCATCGCTGCATTCTTACTATTTTCTCTTTAGCTTGTGCGTGCTGTGCTCAAAATAGGTTTGTCTCCTACGCTTTTGGTGGGCAAACTGCTCACCAATCCTATTTCAGATGATGTCATAACTGCAGGGGAATCTGAAGAATAGATCAATGTACACTGTCTCTGTAATCACCTAAATCAACCATCTCTTATTAGTCTCTAACGTTCGGATTGGGGGTCACCGGTCATTTCACGTGCATACTAAACGTCATGACACGCAGGTCACATGGTGATCCATTTTTCGGCGCGCGCTTGACCGTCAAGTTGTCATCCGCCGTCAAGGTCGAGTTCAAGTACACACTTTCCAGCATGTTGCGCAATCAAGCAAGAACATTTTCTTCCATTTTGAAACACAAAGCTTTCCGTATTCCGCCGACACAATATGCTTCCTGTCCGCAAGCATTACATTCATCAGCGAGTGTGTAGCATCCCGACCTCTGCTCCGGCGTGTCTCTCTGACTCCAAGCAAGGCGCACACCACGGACACTTGACACGACCGGCGCCTGGGACCGGGTGAGTGCAACTACTGGCCTACCTCGTCGTATTCTTTACCCATTGGAAGTGCTCTCCAGAATCACACTGCACTTCAAGGATTCAAAGGGCGAAATCTTGAAGACCATCGAAGCAAACGAAGGCGATGACCTCCTCTCTATTGCTCACGAGCACGATATTGACTTGGAGGGTACGTTGTCGCGTCCTGTGCACTACGCGCGGAAAATGTCCTGACTCGAAGTGCATAGGCGCGTGCGAGGGCTCGGTGGCGTGCTCGACGTGCCATGTCATACTGCTGCCGGAACACTACGATCTCCTGCCTGAACCCGACGATGACGAGAACGATATGCTGGACATGGCTTTTGGCTTGACGGACACAAGTCGCCTGGGGTGTCAAGTGAAGTTGACCCGGGAGCTTGACGGGATGGTCGCGACATTGCCTGCGGCTACCAGAAATATGTTTGTAGACGGTGCGTGTCTTTTGCGGTCCCCTCTTCCAACGACGCAGTGTCTCAACATGTCTCAGGCAAAAAGCCAACGCCTCATTAGCAACGGTCATCTATAATAAATAACTCGCCGTGGAGTAATACCGTATTGACAGTTCCGGATAGACCAGTAAATATCACACCTCGCCCCCAGTCTCAACGTTATCAGCTGGAACATCCGCCTTGTAGTCGACTTCCTTGATTCCGACCTTCCCCCCGAGCTTCACCCACGTCTCGGTCCAAAGCTTTCTGCGCTCTTCACACATGGCTAGACAGCAATTAGCCCATCCATCTGTGAACCAGCGATACTGCTCACCAACAAGTGCCGGCCAGTACTTTTCGTGAACGTACTCAAAGTTGTAACTTCCGCCCCACCCCTCGGACATGACCACATCTTCAGTGAAGATCTTGTCCTCGAATAATTTGGGATTGAACGCCAATTTGGTCGCTGTAAGCGGGTCGATGAATGGCTTGATCATCTTGTAGAATGCATTGAGCAGGAAAGGGACGTTGATGATTAGCGCCAGGCCAAGTCTGGGAGTAGAATGAGATTAAAGAGCAACAGGAACTTCATGCAGCACCGTTCGGGGTAATGAGTTTGGAGGATGTTTAGCACTGATTTAGACGTGCTGAAAGAGGGGTTCTTCGCCTTGTCAGCATAGTTGATGAGGAGGTCCAATGACCTTGCACAATTTTAGGCGGCTGCGAATATCAGAAGATTAGATGGAGCGCACTCTACACCTGCTGGCATCAACTCGATGCATCTCTCGAGCATCCACACCACGAATTGGATTTGCCGCGGTGACTCGTTCGTGTTTTGTCGAGAGGGAAGAAGGTACATTCCCGGACGGCCGTGCACGTCGAATCCTAGCAAGATTTGTTTACCGGTCGTAGCCTGGCACAGAAGATCAGGGTAATGCCTGAGTTTCAACGGAACGGAGGGATGCCAGCATACCTCAGGTGCAACTAGATCTGCCGTGACAGTATCGTAGACACCGTATTCTCGCCTCCACAAAAGAGTTTCTTCTAGCCGCCGGACGGCGATCTCAGTCTTCCACTTTGAAGCGCGCAAATACCTAGGAAGTTTAACATCCGTCCGCGTTGAGGCCGGTTGAATCATTAGTCGCATACCGCAGGATACATTCATACGAGAGCCACATTTTTTCTACATCCATGAGAGTCTTGTCGGTGGATTCTATTCCTGTCAATAGATACGACGGGTCTTCGAAATGGGCTTGCACAGCGGCTTGCATTTTCAACTGATCTTCATTTAGCGGAGGTTGAGTTAGAGGCGCTGCAATCTGAGCGCTCGGAGGCGGAGGAATTGGAAGGTTGACCGTTGGAGACATCGAGAAAATAAGCGCCGAAGAAAGCAAGGTAGCTGTGGGTCTCAAGTTCAAGTAAATTCCAGTGCAAGGTCAAGTCGTGCCATGATACACGATCACGTGCAGTTTAGCAGATTGATGAATATGTGGCTATGTAATTAATGCCTTGATATACGGATTAGATAACGAAATGCGTATCACTGCAACCCACTTCCCAACATTGAACAGATAATCGTCTTTGCATCGGCTCTAGACCAAGATCAAAGCCGATGATTTATGTTCGGGCTTTGGATTTGAGCGAGTTGCTGATTAAGTTGGTCGCTAGGAGCCAGGATCCGATGATGAATTATGATTGAACAAGAAGGGGACCCAACCGTTGCAGTCTTTTTCAACAAATGTACCGCTCGATGAACATCGCCACATCTCTCTACTCAATGTCTTTTGGGCCCAGAACAGCGATCTGTCGTGGCACTCGATCCGCGAACAGGCCTTAAAGGCTGCAGCGCATCCTGAGCACACACAAACACACTTTCATTCCCCCAACAGTATACTAGACATCCTATGAAACGCTCCAATATCTCGCCTTTAGCCCTTGTAACGACGGATAAACCTCTCGCCGAAGGAGAGGTGCGTCTGCATCTAGATGCAAAGTCGTTGGAGGAGACACCCCACGTGACTGTCGAGTCCCCTGCCGGTCTCAAGGCTCACTGCGAAAAACGCCGGAAGCAAACCGCCTCCCCATTCCGTAGAATCGGGGCCAAGCGGATTGCTCTTCCCCCTGCACCAAGTATCCCTCCCCCGGTCCCCGAGGTTCGCAAAGAGATGGACGCGCTTTCCCTGCCCGGTGCTTCACCCAAACCTTTAATCCTATGCTTCGTGAACCGGACTCTGCCTGCGATTCCCGGACAGATACCGAGGCCGGAGAATGTACTGCCACTGGGGGATGCCCTACCGCTGGAAATGTCGGCCCACTCACGTTTGGTCTTTCCGGCCAATGCATCTAGTCCCCGCAGTTCGGTCACAGTGCGAGAGGTGCAAGATCTGCCGTTGTCCCCCCGAGGCTAATGGCGGGACATCGTTGCCTCGGGCGAGTCGCTGCCGATCCTTCAGACCTGTAGATCAAAGCGGATCAAGGTCCCCTCAATGTCCGAAAGGTCTTCTGATACCGTATTCAAGGACTTGGTCGTGTTATTTAACATGTCTTCGCAAATCTCCAGATGTTATATAGAAGTTGCAGTGTGACGAATTCGAGGTGAAACTGAGCACGCAGTTGGAAGAAACACGTCAAACGCAAGTCCTTTCGTCGTCTCGTTCGAATGACGGCAACACCTCAGCTGGACGGTCAGCAGGTGTGGAGACTTGTCTTTCGTAGAAGTTGATAGTTGATCCTTTTAGCTCGGGGATATGCGGGCGTCATCACCGACTCACAGAATCTGAGTAGAAAAAGAAGGGACGCATTTATATAGCGCGGAAATCCCTGCCGTAGAACCGACTAGGACGGGCACGACTAGGATAAAAGAGTTAGAGTTGACCCTGAGCTGAGGTCGGCGCTCAACTAGAAGCAGTCTCGGCCTGGAGAGCTGGATGTATGCTGATGCATGACGCATAGTCGTGACGCGATCTCCTTCCCATTCCGTTATAAAGTGGGCGAGGTTGGCCGCTCACTAACAGAAGCCTCTACTTGAGCCTCTCGCTCCGATGTCCACCTTCATCGATCCAAAGTCTATAGGACGGCCAGAGCGGCCTCGGAGACACGTACGAACGCTCACCGGTACGCGGCACGTCCCGTGGCACGGTCTGATCGCTTACCATCACGCTTATTCTTTCTGACCCCCAGGTTATCTCCCTGAAACGGATGCAGAGGGGAAGGAGAAATGGCCCAGAGGCGACGAGAAGGTTTGGAAAGAGGCTCTTCGCGGTCCCGATACAGGTGGGAGGATGATAAACCACTCTGCGTGGCGCTGAACTTCGCGGTATCTACCAAGATGTCACATCCATCACCAAGAACATCGTCAGCCACGTTCAGACATCTATCGCCAGACAGGCTTACAACCTCGGTGCGCGTTATTGCTCGACTCGTACCCAATTGTTCCCAACATGACCGATCATCCCCAGACAACCTTGGCGCGTATCAAGCGACTGCCCTTTCCGTTCGCGACAACTTGCTCTTGAACTGGAATGAGACGTCTCTCCAATATACCCGCAAGACGCCGAAACGCGCTTACTACCTTTCCCTGGAGTTCCTCATGGGTCGGACCCTCGATAACGCGCTCCTCAATCTCGGTCTTAAGGAGAAGTTCACGGAGGGTGTAGACCACTTAGGTTTCAATATGGAAGATCTTCTTGAGCAGGAGCGCGACGCTGCACTCGGTACGCGGCCCATCTCTTTAGAAGCTCCTACATCTGACATTTCGTCCAGGAAACGGAGGACTCGGGCGTCTGGCCGCTTGCTACTTGGACTCTAGCGCGAGTCAAGAACTTCCAGGTGCGTGGACTTAGTCCGGGAAACGATTGTGTGTATCAAAATCAACACCTTTAGTGTGGGGTTATGGCCTTCGTTATAAGTACGGTATCTTCCAACAACTTATTTCCCCGAGCGGGGACCAGCTGGAGGGCCCGGATCCATGGCTCGATAACCAGAACCCATGGGAGCTTCCTCGCCTCGATGTTGCTTATGATGTACGCTTCTACGGTCAGGCTGAGCGAGTTCCCGACACTTCGCGCGCGGTTTGGACTGGCGGTCAAGAGGTTCTCGCGATCGCGTATGATGTAATGATCCCTGGGTGCTATACGACCACGACGAACAACCTGCGTCTATGGGAGAGCAAACCGAAGCGGGGATTCGATCTCAACTCGTTCAACGCTGGGAACTACGAGGCCGCCGTCGAGTCAAACAACAGCGCCGCAGCCATCACCAGTGTCCTCTATCCGAATGATCATACTACCTGTAAGGCGGTTTTTTGGCCTATACGAGCACTAATCGCATCCCAAATCTAGTCGGGAAGGAGCTTCGTCTCAAGCAGCAATATTTCTGGACCGCAGCCAGTCTTGCTGACATCATGCGCCGTTTCAAAAACATTGGCAAGCCAATTGCCCAATTCCCTGACTGTGAGCACTGTTCTTATCAGCATATGTGTTCCATCTGACCGTTACCAAGTCGTTGCCATTCAGCTCAACGATGTTTGTTTCTTCGTTTCTACGTGTCGTATGCGAGATTGATTACTTCCAGACTCACCCTACGCTTGCGATCCCCGAGTTGATGCGCATTCTCCTGGATGAAGAGGAACTCAGTTGGGACGCGTCGTGGCAGATTGTCACCAACACGTTCTTCTACACCAATCACACGGTGTTACCTGAGGCCCTGGAGAAATGGCCTGTGTCGCTCATGGAACATCTGCTCCCTCGCCACATGCAGATTATCTACGATATCAACTTGATCTTCTTGCAATGTGCGCACCAAAGGCTCAGGAAGGTGTCGTTTGTTCTTAACCAGTTCCAGCCGTGGAGAAGAAGTACCCTGGCGACAGAGATCGACTCGCACGGATGAGTTTGATTGAAGAAGGATTCCCTAAGCAAGTTCGGATGGCTTATCTGGCTTGTATCGGTAGCAGGAAGGTCAATGGAGTCGCCGAGCTCCATAGTGAACTCGTCAAGACAACGATTCTGAAAGACTTCGTCGAGTTTGAGGGACCTAGCAAGTGAGTGTAGTTGTCAACGTATGTGCCTTTGATTGACCATCGGATACTAGATTTGGAAACGTGACGAACGGAAGTACGTCTATCTCAGCGGCTGAGAATGAGGTGTCGCATTCTCACATGTCTCTTATCCAGTCACACCTCGTCGCTGGCTTGATCAGTGCAACCCGGAGCTGAGTGCACTCATCTCCAAAACATTGAAGGTGGACAAGGCTGTCTGGCTCAAGGATCTCACGCTTCTCGAGAAACTGCTGCCTTTTACTGAGGATGCTGGGTTCCGTGAGGAGTGGGCTGCAATCAAACAGCGCAACAAGGAGCGTCTGGCTCATCACGTGAACCTCACACTGGGCTTCACTGTGAATACGCATGCCATGTTCGATGTGCAAATCAAGCGTCTGCACGAGTACAAGGTGTGAATGTTTTTATGCTGCATATGTGTTGCTGAAATTTTGCTAGCGACAAACTCTCAACATTATGGGAGTGATCCATGCAAGTCATGACCGTCGACTGTAGTGCCCTCGAGCACTGACATGCTGTTACAGCGCTACTTGACATTGAAGAGTATGACTGCCGAAGAGCGCAAGAAAGCTAATCCCCGCGTCGTTTTCTTTGCCGGAAAGGCTGCTCCCGGTTACTACATTGCCAAGCTGGTAAGTTTTATCATGAGAGATGACAGCTAAACCTGAAACTTTCCAGACCATCCGACTGATTGTGAACGTTGCACGTGTTCTGAATGCAGATCCTGACACCAAAGATTTGCTCTCTGTCTACTTCATGCCCGACTATTCCGTCTCACTCGCTGAGATCCTCATTCCCGCTTCGGATATCAGCCAACACATATCGACTGCGGGGACTGAAGCTTCTGGGACATCAAACATGAAGTTCTGTCTTAATGGTGGACTTTTGCTAGGCACGGTCGATGGCGCAAACATCGAAATTGCCGAGGAAGTTGGCGAGAACAACGTCTGTGCGTGACATCCCATTGTCCTTCTCTCTCAAGCCGGATGCTGACAGAATCTGCCATCCAGTCTTCTTTGGGCACCTGACACCGTAACTGTCCCCCTGTTTCGCGTTTACGGACGAGTACTGATCTGGGCGTTCAGCGATGTCGAGGAACTCCGATACCAGCACACGTATCATCCAGTTCCGATCGAGGAGAAGTGTCCTGCTTTGGCACACGTCTTGAATCAAGTTTCCGCTGGATTGTTTGGGGATGGAGGGCCCTATGAACCTCTGCTCAACACGATTAGGCAAGGAGACTACTATCTGTTGTGTGACGACTTCGACTCTTGTATGTGTTGCCTTGGCTGCCTTGATCCTTGCTCTGATCCGCTCTGCAGACATTGCGGCGCTGGCCATGGTGGATGAGGCTTACCTGGATCGCACGGAATGGGTCAAGAAGTCCATCCGCACCACGGCGAAGGTGCCAAGCCAACCTTCCGGCCGGTTTCTGTGCTGACGAAAGTTCATTCTAGATGGGCAAGTTCAGTTCTGATCGTGCCATCAACGAGTATGCGGAGAGTTACTGGAACTTGGAGCCTTTGCATATCGAATAAATTGTTGTTGCATGCAATGAAATGCGAGCTTTGTTTAGGGTATATCCCGGGTCTTAAGCTATACTAGGTCCGTCCAATACATATGTAATCTAAGCTCTACAAAACATTCAAAGCGCAGGGCGGCCGATGGTCGTGACCTTGAATCCGATCTTCGTCAGCGCATCCGCATCAACGAGCAAACGCCCATCAAACACAAATGCGGGCTTCTTCATGTGTTTGTAGACCTCTGCCCAATCGATCTCCTTGAATTCTTTCCACTCGGTGGCAATCACAACAGCTTCGGCATCCTTGCAGGCATCAAAGGCCGACGAATAGATCTTCACCTGCTTCTTGACTGGATATATGTCAGCTCAGATTCCACGGGCGTGGCTCGGATACGCAACTGGTCTCGATAGGCGATGCGGGCATGGCCTCCTGGAGATCGTACCAGATCTGCGACTCCGACACCTGGGGATCAAACACGTTCACGATAGCCCGTTCAGACAAAAAGTCCCGAATGAGTGTGATGGCAGCAGACTCGCGAGTGTCGCCAGTATCCGCCTTGAAGGCAAAGCCAAGTACGGCAATGCGCTGCCGGCTCATGAGTAACGATCACGATATATGCGCCTGGCAAGAAAAACGAACCTTGCCGGTGATTGTGTTGAACAGAGTGTCCACAACACGTTTCGAGAAGCGACGTTTCTGGTACTCGTTCATTTCAACAACCTGGCGCCAGTAAGCGGCGACCTCGGGTAGGTGCAAGCTCTCGCTAAGGTACACGAGGTTGAGAATGTCCTTCTGGAAGCAGGACCCGCCAAAGCCAACACTGGCCTTGAGGAACTTGGGGCCAACACGAGAATCATAGCCGACAGCGTGTGCAACCTCATCAATGTTCGCCCCGGTGGCCTCGCAAATGGCGGAAAGCGCGTTCACTGAGGAAATGCGCTGGGCAAGCATCGCATTAGCGGCCAGTTTCGATAGCTCCGAAGACCACAGCCCGACGGTCAAGATGCGGTTCTCCGGAACCCAGTTTGCGTAGACACCGGCAAGGGACGCGCAAGCATCCTTGCCCTCAGGGGTCTGCAAGGAACCGATCAAGACACGGTCGGGGCTGAAGAGGTCGCTGATAGCAGTGCCTTCGGCGAGGAACTCGGGGTTGGAGAGGATGTCAAAGCGGCAGTTCGGCTTCGAGTTGGCCTCGAGGATAGTGCGCATGGACTCGGCCGTACGACATGGGACGGTCGACTTCTCGACCACGATCTTAGACGAGGTCGCGACCGCTGCGATTTGGCGAGTGGCCAGTTCGACGTAGCTACGCTGCGATAAGAATCGCGGAGCGCCGGGAAGATGGAGATGCAACGCACTTCAGATCAGCGGCAAAACCAGCACCAACACCGCTCTTCTTCGTCGGTGTGTTGACACTGACGAAGATGAGGTCCGCGTCCCGGATGCCGTTCTCGACGTCGGTGGAGAAGAAAAGGTTGCGTCCACGGCACTGGCGAACAACATCCTCGAGTCCAGGCTCATAGATAGGAAGCTTGAAGTCGTCGCTGTTCCACGCATCGATGCGCGCTTGGTTGAGATCAACAATGGTGACTTTGATGTGCGGGCACTTGAGCGCGATGACAGCGCAGGTGGGTCCACCTAGAATAATTCAGCCGTCGCGTCGTTTGATATCGATGCTTGAGCGCGTCGCGTCATAGACTAACCAACGTATCCAGCACCAACTAAACGAAAGGATGAGCGGGGTTAGCAAGCTTCAGCGAGAGCAACGGACTGCAGAGGATCTTCGTCACTTTGAGGGGAGCCATTGTATGAATGAGGGTGAAGAATGAGGTTCACTGGTGCCAAGATGAGCAGCGGAGTTTAAATATCTTCTCGAAGGCATCACGGCGATGTCCCGCCGGCGTCGGAAATTGACCGGATCACGGTTCCTGGCGAGAGTGCGCCCCGCATTTGCTTGCGTCCTCTGTTCGGAAACCACACCTAACATCGTCCTTTCCGTCGTTATGTACCCTCAAATCAAGCCTTATAGTACCGGGAACCTCAAAGTCTCCGACATACACACATTATAGTCGGTCGGGTCGCTAGATCTGCGTTATCGCTTTGCCGACGTTAATTGACAGTTTCGAGTTGAATGGCAGTGAGGATGGTGTTCCCGGTTAGTTCCCTCCCCAGCCCTGAGAAGTGTCAAACTGATTTTTGCAGTTATCTTTCTTCATGGTGGGCCCGGTGGGGGCTGCGACGAGGAGGACCGCTGCTTCTTCAATCCGAACAAGTACAAGATCATTCTCCTCGATCAACGAGGATCAGGCAAATCCACCCCGTAGGCGCCTTCGTGCATGCTTGGGGGTATCGATTATCTGATTCCACACGAAGGGCTGCTTCTCTCGAGGAAAATACGACCTGGGATCTGGTCAAGGACATCGAAAAGCTACGCGAACATCTGAAGATCGAGAAATGGCATGTCTTTGGTGGCTCTTGGGTCCGTGCATGTTTCTGAATATGCTCGCACGAACTTGACTGGCGATTAGGGTTCGACTTTGTCTCTCGCATACGCTCAGGTCACTGCTTGCCATCGAGTCTAGCACTCTGATCCTCAGATGGATTCCAGGCTCATCCCGACCGTGTTAGAAGTCTAGTTCTTCGGTGATTTCTCCCGCTGAATCTATTTCCGCTTCAATTCTGACGCGTACCGACAGTGGAATCTTTACTTTGCGCAAGAGGTGCTTCCAAGCGTGGGACAATATGCCCAGTCTGACACGGTCGCAGCGAGCTGCGTTTCTTCTATCAGGATGGTGCATCACACCTTTTCCCGGATGCATGGTATGCATGCTCTAATCGGATATATATTTCCCTCACACCAATCTGACAGGGAAGATTATATTGCCCCCATTCCGGAAGCTGAACGGCACGATATGATTCTTGCTTACCACGCTCAACTTAACTCGGTTGACGAGGATGTGCGCCTTGAGGCTGCGAAAGCTTGGTCCAAATATGAGTACGTTTAGTCTCTATGGCACTAAAAGATCACTCACATCTGTTGCCAGGATGGCGACATCCAAGTTGTATGTCGATCCGAAGTACATCGCACGAGCTGCATCCGACAAGTTTGCGACGTCAGCAACTATCCTCGGCTTTTTCCCCGTCTAATCATGCCAATAGCGCTTTCGCGCGGATCGAGAACCACTACTTCGTCAATGAGGGCTTCATGCGTGACGGTCAACTTCTGGACCCTCAGGAGATTGACAAGATGTATGTGCCCAAACCTGCTCGCTATGCCCAGCAAATGAACGCTGTCTGAAGCCGGCATATTCCCACAATTGTGGTGCAAGGAAGATACGATGTCGTCTGTCCGATCACCACAGCTTGGGCTCTCAAGAAGGTAATGTTCATGCTTGACGTGTTTGGATTTTGTCAACTGTTTCCAGGTCTGGCCGGAAATTACACTCCATATCGTTCCAGATGCCGGTCACAGCTCACGCGAGACCGGTATTGCTAAGCTTCTTGTCGAGGTATGGACAGAACCAATCTCAAGTGTCACACTACTAATGGAATTTAGGCAACAGATAAGTTCGCAGATCTCTCCTAGTGGAGCTGGTTAGTTGGCCCAATGTAAACTGTTTGACTTGTTGATATAATTGTCACGATAAATTAATATGACGACTGGAACGAATTTCAACCCAGGACAAGAATATCCCGGCTGCGTATTGAATGATTGTCACCCCCAGACAGGGGATTCTCCCGATGGGACGACGGATAGACACAAGTCTTTGTAGAGCAAAGTGATGTGCATGGGTGATCGGAGAGTCTTAAAGTAGGCTGAGTAAGAGGGAACGACTCAACACCGTACCTGACAGTAAGAGACGCGACAAGTGGAATCAGAGAGATAGTCACCTGACCGTGACAAGCATTTACTTAATATAACGTTATCAACATGGACCTCCAATGCAGCAGCATGGCGCAGTCTGGGAGCGCGCGGGGCCCATAACCCCGAGGTCACTCGATCGAAACGAGTTGCTGCTAAATATGTTTTTCGATGGATTCAATCAAATTTATATTGTTTTTATACATCTCGTGCCGACCCCTTATACGCAGGCTTGGGTCTCGGACGCAGCGTCTGGACTACTGGTGCATAATCAGTACGCACAGTTTGGTCCCTGTACTCGTCTTCCTCCCCGTCACTATCCTCGCTGATCTTCTTTGAGCGGTTCTTCTTACCCTTGCCCGCAGCCTTCTTTGTTTTGATCCGCTTTTTCGGGGGCTCTCTATCCTCAGAGCCCGAATCAGCGCCTTCAGCCGGCCTACCCTTTTTGCGAAAGTCGGAGACGACTTTCTGCAGCCGCTTGCTGGTATATGCTTGCCGCTGCCGGGGTGCGATGGTCCCGCTCCCAGAGACGTCGAGAAAAGTGTTCAGATTGCCTTGTTTATTGAGTCCACTCTGGGGACCTCGATCAAAGGGGAGTTGAATCGGAGCGAGCAGGGGCGTACTTGTCCTCGTTTGCGGATCTTTTGGATGATAGGCAGAAGGAGATCATCCACTTTGTCCGGGCCCCAACCCAGCTCAGCCCGGAGAAATCTGTGTCAGGTCAGACAAGGAAAGGGCTTATACGTTCACGCACTCTCGCAGTGCATCGAGATCGGGAAACCCCCATTTGAAAGGCTCATCGGATTCGTCTACGGTGGGGTGATAATACGCATCTCGCTATCCAGGTCAGAACTAGCAGATCCTGGATCCTTAAGAGACGACGGACGTACGACTTTGCTGTTCGGCCATTCGGGTGGCAGATACAATTCCTTGAAATTCTTCTTCTGCGAGACCATCAGAAAAATCATATGACGTGACCGACGACTGCGACTTGCAAATCTTTTCCGAAACGCGGACTGGTTGTCATCTGCCGAGTCCTTACCGCTTTGGACCTTCATCCACCATTCCTTGAATCGGAGGAGACCGTCGCTGCCCGGAAACTCGCCCAAGAGCTCCATTGCAACGACTGGCCCGACACCCGGCAATCCGTCCACGTAGTCGCTCCCGAGAAGATATGCCAGTCTGATCAGCGCGTCCTGCTCGAGTCCGAGCTCTCGTTCTAGATCAGCAAGCAGGAAGCATTCCACGGTCTTGGTTTGATTGAACATGTTTCGATATACACGGGGTCCGCCGAACAGAAAGACATCCGAGTCGTCAGTGATGATGCCGCTCACGAGCCCTAGCTGAACCAGCACTGCGCACTGCGCTTCTGCTTCCATCGGGGCTGTGATGTATGGAATGCCGAACAGACTGAGCAACATCTGTCACCCCAAAAGTCAAATTAGACTGAGCACTGAGCAGATATCAAGTACCATGATTTGGGTGATCATCTGCTGGTTGATGTCGTCTGAATCTCGCATAGCCGCGCGTTTTTGCGCATGTAAGGCTTTTATTTCCTCGTCTATCTCCCGCTGCACTTCATCGAGATTCTTGCCCTTGACTTGCGACACGAACTGCGCAAAATCGCCTTCCTCAGCCTCAGCATCCATCTCTTGTGCGGCATCCCACTCTTCGGCAACAGGAGACGGAATGCGTTCCTGTGTAGTGGGAGACGGTGATCGCGACCAATCCAATACCGGTGTAATCGATCGCGCGCGGTCAACGATGGGAGTGGGGGGCCTCGTTTCCATCGGCGTCACGGGGCGAGGAGCTGGAGGAGATGGTTGAGCGATGTCGAACGAATCTTCTGGAGAGGACAGCCTCGTAGCTGGAGCATCTAGAGCTGGCATGGGCTCTACCGCATCCTCAATAGTCTCCATGGTCTCTATTTCTGGGGCGAACGAAGGTAAAGCCGTTTCCATGTCGTCGTCGTCGTCGTCGTCGTCGTCGTCGTCGTCGTCGATAAACAGCGGCGCGCTCTGTTGCTGCTGCTGCTGCTCGGGTGAACGCAACAGGAAGGGGGCACCGAATCGCAACCCACTGCTCGCTGGTAGCGGAACCGACGGCGGCTTCGAGATCGGCCTGGGAACATCTTTGAGTGGCGTCGTCGGAACTACGGATTCCCCGAAGGAGGAAGAGGACGCTTTTTGCGGAGAGCGTATGAATGATCCGCTGGCAATAGAGAGCGTAGTTTCGAGACGGTTTCCCCGCACAAATGTGTCTTCGTCCACGAGTTGCGTCGCTTCTGGGAGTCTGGTCTTGGAGGAGGAGGCCACGGCATTGACCATGGCTGGGTGTAGTTCCTGCGCAGGCTGACGAGAAATTGCAGCATCCTTAAGTGATTCTTGAATTGCCCAAGCGAGCTCGTCGTTATCTTCGTCATTTGTAACAAGTTCATCCGTCTGGCGTTCTGAGGATACTACCATCGAGCGCTGTGGTCTTGAGCGATGGCGGCTTTCGAACGCAGTCAAGTTCAGAGAACGCTGATATTCTAGCAAATCAGGGTCTGGTATTCCGACAGGCGGTCTGCTTGCCCAGTTAGTTCCAGTGAGACAGAGCGACGAACAACAAACATTTCAACTTCCTCCATATCCTCATCGTCGTCGTCCTCTTCTTTGTCCTCTACTGCTTCAGAGACAGTCACAGATTCATGGTCAATCTCGATCGGCTTTTCTCGCGTCCCATCATCTCTGATGCCCAAGATCCACCCTCCGTCCTTGCCCTCATTCTTGACCAATACGTATTCCCTGTTCCGTTCACTAGCAATGCGGACAGGAACAACGATATTTGCGGGACCCGTCCCGATGAGATCCGTCGTAGAGAGCAACTGCTGCGTCAGAGTATTTCGCTGCTGCAGATTGAGGATCTGCTGCTTCGAGAAATCGAGTGGGGTTTTGGATGAGCGTAGCATGTTCTGCAACCTCAGATATGAAGTTTGGCGCGACTTGAGCCGCAGGTCGCCGACGATTTCATACTGCACTTCCGTCGGAAGTTCGCGGAACGCAGGAGAGGTGACATCGAAATCGTCCGGGCGCATATCCTCGATGAAGTTCCGCAGCTCTTCTTCCGTGGCCAGCCGCGCGTCGGGCACTTCAGCACGCGTCGCTTTGTTCACTGCGGCATCCAGATCCAGCTCCGGCAAACGATATGGATCGTGGTCGTAGAATTTCGGCTTGACAGGAGATGCGGATGCGGATGCAGCCGGTTTAGATTTCGCGGGGGATGCTTTGGGAACAGATGGGTCAATGTCTTCTAGGTACACTGTGGTGTCGTCCAGGACAACAGGGCCAACCGGAGCCGCGCCTTTACGGGGTGGTGTCCTAAGAGCATCAATTCTTGCCTATGAAGCCAATAGTGAACTGTACGCACGAAGATGACGCGCCAGCATGCTTCAATGCCTCTCTCCTCATCTGAGCTGCCAGAAGCTTCTCCGCGAGCTTGGCATGGCTCATCGCGGCCCCGGCCTTCTTCTTCTTCCTTTCATTCTGATATTTGATACAATTCTGAGTCTCAGATGCAAAAGACAGGCGAGCGGGCACGCACAATGGTGTTCCGCTTCAAGGCCGGAGCTCCACCGTCAAAAACGAACACGGGACGGATTCCAAAGAACAGTAGCTTTGCAATCCGCCTCAAGAAGCCCAGTACGTGCGCGTTCAGCAAAGCGCGTCCATCCTTTCCGCGCATCGTCGCTTGAAACTGATAGATCCAAATGCTCGAGTCAATGGCTAGGATTTGGCCCTCCAGGGTTTCCAGCCTTGAGACGCGTCAGCAGCAGGAAATATGGGGGCTGGTTGAAATACCAACATAACAGGCCGCCCCACGGGCTCGAGGAGCTTCCATAATGACTTGACGCCCATAGTGGTCGACACAAACCTGCGTCGCGCTTCGGCTCTCGGGATTGACTCGATCAGTGGCTGTGGGGATCCCTACTACTAAAGTATGGCCGCCATTGCTTTGCGATTGCAGCCACTCCCGGATTACTGAGTTTCATCACCAGATTGAATCGAGAAAATAGATGACGCTTCGCTGATTAACGATGGGGCCCTACCTGGGTGCAAACCCCGAGGCAACCGGCTTGTTATCTAATCTTGCCGGCTTGGTCGTGCTTTGCCATCATTGATCCCGCTATATATACTACATCTGCTCATCTGTAAAGGTTCTTCAGTCACCACGACTCCGCCTCTCAAATGCCCAACGCTTAGAAGCGTTGATAGAGCTAGAGATGGTGTAAGCTTTGGGGCTCCAGGAGAAGGAGTAGCAGTCGCGAACCCAGAATGTGCGGGCAGTTATGGCAATTGTCGCAAGACCTCAGGTAAGATCGTTGTGCACACTCTTCCCGCAAGCCGACATGACAGCCTACTTCCAGGCCGACTACCACGCTGTATATTCGGCGTGTCCACCTTGGCAGCTACGGCGCGTCAAGCTGGAGAACGCGACCGATCAGGCGGGGCGAGGACGACGTGTGGTGTGTCTCCTCCAATCGTCCAAGATCTCTTTCGTTGCTGACTTTTGCGCGTAGTGCTGTGCCATAAACACATCAGAGGACGGCGTCAAGTCTACTCCCCTAGGAAGTATCCCATACACCTTGCAGCGCGTGGTGCGTCCGTGTGCTGCCTCTCCCCAGGTCCTCTCTCTGACGCGTCGTACAGCGCTCATTCAATGATTGGATGCTACGCACCCGCCAAAGCAAGAGTAGCAAATCAAATAACCCAGGCCATCCCCGTTCCGACATACTGCACCAATCGATTAGTGTCCGTTCGTCGAGTAGTACGCGTTTTGGAATAATAGTGAAATGTCTCGTGAATCGTGCGTAGTTATGAGTGGGGAGCCGATGCGAACGAAAAGCATGGTATTGTATGCACAGGATATCATATCACTAACCAGGATGTATGCTAAATAGTCCAGTCAGAAGTCCGGTATAAGATTTACGTGGGTGGCCGAGGGCTCAATGGACGAGCACTGTTGTCGTCCACTGGCCGAATGAGCGGTGAACCTCGATGTGGGGAGCCACGAGCAGGCGAACTTGTGCGCGACGGATATTGGCCCTGGTTAGCGAGGGCATTGGGAGGAGTCAGTGGTTGCTCCATCGGCGAACCAGTCCCGTTTGGACCCATTTGAGCATTGAAGGTAGACATGCCCGTCATCTGCATGCCCATGGGCCCACCCATCATCGGCATACCCATCATCGACATGCGGGGGTCGTACATGCTCATCATCGGATTCTGTTGCTGAGCACCCATGTTTTGGCCATCGCCTCCGACTTGCGACCCAGCCGTAGAGAATGCGACCATGGCCTGCTGGTAGGCCTGGGCAGCTGCCTGCTGGGCTGCAAACATTTGCTGGGGCGTGAACATGCCTGGGTAGCCCATCATTGGGTTCATTCCCTGCTGCCCGGTCATCATTGGGTTCATCCCCTGCTGCCCGGTCATCATTGGGTTCATCCCCTGCTGCCCAGTCATCATCGGATTCATCCCGGTCATCATCGGATTCATCATCATCGGGTTCATCATCATCGGATTCATCATCGGATTGAACTGCGGGAACTGGCCACCGTACATGGAGCCAGTCTGCTGCATCTGGTCGAATTGCTGCCGCTGCTGTTCGTCAAAGCGCCGTTGCCGATCCTCCGCGAGCCGTTTTTCGCGCTCTCTCTCTGTCAGAGCGGCACCGACACCGCCTTCGCGCTTGCGCTCTCGTTCGTGCGCGGTGATGGCACCAAGTAAGCCCGTTTGCGGCGGCGGTGGCTTGTTCGCCACGTTGATGAGCGAGGCGCCGCTTTCTCTCGCCAACTCCTCTTGTCGCTTGGCCGAACGATCCTCCCTATCTTGCATGCCGGCAGAAAGAAGTCCCTGCGGTGTAAACGCCTTCGTCATTTTGTTTTCCTCAAGCTGAACGAACGCATCGCTGCGTGGCTGGGTCCCTGGCGGTTGTGCTCCTGCTTGTCTGCCCGGGTCGAGGACCTGACTCCACACCGTCTGCCGGGCCGCTCCGGGTTGCGGCATCTCATTCTGCGTGCGAAGTTGCGTGCCGTCATCGAAGAAAGTGCGCCGGCCTGCCTCGGAAAACTGCTCTGATGGAACACGTCGCTGCATGCCTTCACCTTCCATCCCTGCATTCGGTCAGAAAACGGTCACATAAAGATTAGAAGCACGAACGTGGAGGAATCTGTGGCAAAGTCCGGGGTGGTCGCAGGTGCGAATAGGCCTGAGAGTCGTCCTGCATGGGCCGTGCCATTGAAGCAAGACCAGGCGACGGCTGCCTGTGAATCGGAGAGGGCTCGACATCAGAATCTGCGTCGTCATCATCATCTTCCTCTTCCTCTTCCTCCTCTTCACTACTATCACCCCAGCCGCCAGCTGCGGTGTTACGCGACTTCCTTCTTCCGTTAGACCGACCAGGCCGTTGCGCAGCCGCTTGGTGAGCTGCCTGCTGGGCTTCGAGCTTGGCTTTGCGTTCTGCAGCTTGTCTTGACGGTGCGAACGACGATTTGAACTCGGTCGGAGGAGTGGCTGAACGATCGCCAGGAGCACCGCTCGATGAGATTCGCAATGGCGCAGTGGGTCTCTGTGCATCAGGGAACGAAGCTGAAGGCGGAGGCGAGTGACTTTGGTTCTCGCTGACCGTCTCGTCGACGTGTTCATTGACGTCCAGGTACGACAGCGCAGCCAGCACATCCAGGTCTTCGTTGGAACGCACTGGCGGTGGAGGCGGAGGCGCGTCTTCGTGCATGCTAGGTTCGCTCTGAGAGTCTTCTTCAGCAAGTGGAGGGGAAACAAGTGCGGGTGCAAAGTGAGAAGGAGAAGGAAGTCCGGAGGAAGAAACCCCACGGTCAGGGCCACGATATCCCCTTGCGGCAGGCGTGCCCTGAGCACGTGCTCCCGATGGCTTACGTCCGAGGGTCTCTCGCGCGGAACTACTGCCGATCCGACTGGTGGGGCCGGTCGATGACAAGCTGCTTGTCGTCGGCGACGACGCTCGGGCTGCTTGTTGGTTCGAAAACTGATGGAACGCTGTTGGCGTCGCCTGTCTGATGACTGGGCTACTCTGCGATCTGTGCTGATCATCTTCCTCCTCAGACTCATCTTCACCCTCCGAGATTGTCGTCGGTTGTCTCGGAACATTCATTTTACTCGCTCTGGGCCCAGAATCGAGCTGCATGTAGTAGAGTGCGCCAGCTTCATTCAGAAGATTCGCGTCGTCAGGCGGAGCATGCCCGGCGTTTGAGTTCGAGAACGGTGATGTGAGCGCAGATGCCCTCGAATTCGATGACATGGACCGGGAGGGCCCGACCGCTGAGGCTCGTCCCCCCTCTAGGGAGTGCGGTGACGTGAGCACAGATGTCGGGGAGTGGTTCATGCCCCGATTGACAGGCTCGGGTGCCGATGGCGGGACCATGCGGATGCTGTTCCCTGGCTGTGACTCTGAGGCAGGCGACTGCAGTCGTGACACCAGCTCAGGACTTGGCGCACGTCCCAGATCAGACGTCGGACTGCTCGTGAAGCGGCCTCCGTCGAGCACGGCATCAGCAGCTGGGCCAGTTGTAGGCGACAGAGGCCGAGCACCCGGGCCCGAGCCTTGGTCTGGCAGTGTTGGCTTTCGCTGGGGGCTTAACACAACATTTGAGTCGAAGGACGAGGTGTTGCGTTCCGTAATGGGGGAGAGTCCATTTCGACTCTGCGGGATCGGCGGCGTTCCAGCTGGGCTGTCGGATCCAAACGCGAGCGGCGGAAGTTGAGGACCTGTACCCGGTAGTGGTGGACTGCTTATTGGTCCGTTTCCTGGAGCAGGAGACCCGACACCTCCAACAGCTGGCAACGAGGGAGCTTGAGCAGATAGACGAGGCGGTGCTGCCGCAGCATTGGGATTCGGGTCTCTTTGTGGCATCCGCTCGAGTAGGATGTTCAAAAGCCTGTTCCTGATCGATGAGGTGCGGTCATCCCGGACATCCAAAGTTTCTGCTTGCTCGCGATCGAGGAAAAGAAGCTGAAATGGTCACGAACTCGGATAAAACATGATTGGTGCGAACTCACCTCTCGGTTGGGACCGACTGGATAGCCAAACATGAGTGAGGCGGGATCTCGAGGGTCCCATGTCCAAGCTTGTGGCCTGCCATAAAGTCCGAAAGCATCATGGATAGCTATCGCAACTGTGAAATGAAATCAAGCTATGCCAGTCAGCCACGCACCGACGATCCATTTGATCATCTCCTCGGCCTGACCCAACCCGTTTTCTAGTTCTGGCATGAACAACAACCAGCCCTCCCTCTTGGCCATATCATTCGCTGTCTCCTCCTCGCCGATCACGCCTTCTAATTTGATCAGTGTACTGCGACTGATGAGGTCCGGGCGCTCTGGATATACGGCGAAGCCTTGGGTAACTTTGCTGAAAGTCAAGAGCGCTTTTCGCCGTTCCTTAGGCTTCGGACCAGGGTACATGGCGATGGTAGCTTGAACTGGCAGAGGTGCGTCTGAAGAACCGTGGTCTTTTGAGGAGAATAAGTTGGACATGCGCTTCTTGGGACGGCCAGCACTTCCAGAAGCGTCCCGAACTGAATCCGCAGCGGCGCTGACCGTCATCCACACTTTCTTCCAATCTGTTTGCCCTGCGATACGGATGCGTGCCCAGCCTTCCATTCGACCATGTTGTAATGTAGTTGGATAATCCCGTCCGTTGAGGGTTATTCGTAGCAGATGAGCGGTATAGATCTCCTCGAGACGAGACTTCTCCCATGAGCACAGGCGCAGCGCTGCAGCCCATGAGAGCAATGAATCCGTGTTGGGACAGGAGAAGAGCAGTAGATTTGAGCCGGCCGTATTGAGTGTGAGCACATCGGGGTATCGCTTGGCTGGTGAGGCCGCCGTCTCCGGCACAGTCACGGACCCGAGGACGTGAACGAATGCGTCCGTTGTATTGACGTACGTCGGGGGAACCTCTCGGCCTTGAGCACTCGCCTCTTGAATCTCTTTCATATCCCATATGCTAAGCGTCGTCCCACCCAGTTGCGCCCAGACTTCGGTCCATCCGTCATCTTTTGAGGGTTTCTGCCCATCCGGTTGGCGCTCGACGTGTCGAACCAGTGGCCCTGAGAAGTATATTTTCTTGGCATGCGCGTTTGTGAGCTGGACGACGGATCGAATTTCTGGGTGGAGCGGGGGTGGTGGACCGGGATTCCCAGAATGATCCAACGACGAACGCGTGGATTGCGCGGGTTGTTGGTGCGACATCCTCGAGTCGCTGCGGGGCTTCAATAGATACGACTGGCTTCGTTGAGGAGCAGGAGGATCCTGGGGACCTTTACGATTGAAAGAAAAGAAGGACGAGGATCGGGTATGTCCGCTTGTTACTGGAGCACTGTTGAGTGGAGGGCGTCGTTGTGACTGATTGTCCATCACCGAATTGAATTCGGGTCGAGGCCGCGCGGTCTCCTTGAGCTTTCTGAGCCGAGCGGGAGATACGTATCCCTGGTTTCTGCTGTCCCACTGAGGGGAAGCGCTCATGCAATGGTGGTACTATCGAGGTGTGTGAAGTATCAACTGGAGGTGATTCAATCGGTGGGTCTGTTACGTAATTCTATTGTTAGCCGTACCGTCACTTTATCGTGACAGTTCGCGCTCCGTGGATACAACCTCACCCTGTCTGCTCAGGCAGTTCACGGCTGTCCGTCGCTGATAAATCGAGCCCACTACGTAAATATTCTCACCCTCCTTCGCCCCATAGCGTGAAGGCTAGTCTCCCCTCATGCATGCGTTATATCAAGAAATTTTGCCTGCAAGCGGCGTGCAGTTCGTGACTGCTCTGAAGTTGACTCCCTCAACGCAGTCAGACTCGAGAACGGGCATTTCGGCCTCCTCCTCCCGGCGCACGCTGTGCAACTTGGTTGTCGCGCGCTGTAATGTTCTCCGCATCTTTGAGGTGTGCGAAGAAATGGTGCCAGCAGAAAATTTGGACAAAGGAGACGAGATGGATCAGGGTGTTGAATCCAAGGTGATTGGGATGTTTGTGAACGGGGTTGCAGGCCAGTATGTTGTTGCTTGTCTGACTACGGCGCTTTTCTCAGTCCATAACCCGAATATATTTTGTTCGCGAGCATTCATTGCATGGAATTGTGACCGGAATTCAAGCCATCCAAGTCCTTGCCTCACTTGAAGACCATCTCGACCGCTTGATCATTTCGTTCAAAGACGCCAAGGTCCGTTTACGAAAGTTCGCCGTCCATCGCAGGACTGACGGCCTTTCAGATAGCACTCATGGAGTGGTCGGAAGCTGTTCATGATCTTGTCACAGTTTCCATACACACCTACGAACGAGCGCCTCAACTTGCAAGTCTTGATTATCTCTAGTTCGTCCAAGAATTACGCTGAATATGATTTCAGATGTCGCTCGACGCTTCATACCAATCGATGCTGAGAGTCGACCCTGACTCGCGATGCGCTGTCTTATCGCTCCCAAAGGACGCCTTGGCAATTCTTCCGTTCTATCAATCTCAAGTCGATCTCGACATGGAGCAAGACCAAGTCCAGGCAAGGTGCAGTCCATGTCCCACTACTATTTCCACTGTCTGCTAATTGAACACGTGCCAGAGACATCCCTTACTCACCCAGTTTTATCTTGGATCTCCCCGTCAGTGTGGAGGAAAGTGTCCAGCATGTCATCGACTTCGTGTTTCTTCCAGGATACAATCATCCCACGATGGCCGTGTTATTCCAGACTCAACAGACATGGACCGGCCGCCTGAAGGAGTACAAAGATACCGTGAAGCTCGTCGTGTTCACGCTGGATGTTGTCGGTCAGCATTACCCTGTGATATCCTCCGTCTCTGGCCTTCCACACGACTGCTTCTCACTGGTTGCTTGCCCTACTGCATTGGGTGGCGTTGTGATCCTAGCGACCAACTCAATCATCTACGTCGAGCGATCGTCTCGTCGGGTGGTGCTCCCACTGAATGGCTGGGCTTCGCGTATCAGCGAGATGCCTCTCCCGTCGTTGCTCACCCAGGAAGAGCAGACACGTGATATGGCGCTTGAAGGCTCACGGGCACTCTTTGTCGATGACAAAACGCTGTATCTCTTCCTCAAGGACGGCAACTTGTATCCGATCGAGTTCCTTTCTGACGGAAAGCTGATTTCCAAGCTGGCGATCTCAGTGCCGTTAGCTCAGACGACTGTCCCCCAGATCACTTGCAAGGTTGACAGTGATCATTTCTTTGTGGGTAGTCTGGTCGGGCCCTCGGTTTTATTGAATGTCTCGCGAGTGGAAGAGGAGCTTGAAGACGACATCGAGATGGGGGCACCCCAGAAGGAGGAAGCGGCCATGGAGATCTACGAAGACGACGAAGGTACGCCCGATCGGTTGTCCTCATATCATGGGCTAACGATCCACTAGATATCTATGGACCCTCCAGGACTGTTGATCATATTGAGACCAAAGCGGTCAAGAAAACAAAAACCGTGACACGTCTGTCCCTTGTCGACACTATCGATGCCTATGGCCCCATATCTGACATGGCGTTCTCTGTGGCATGGAACGGGGTAAACACCTTTCGGCAGTGTTCGATGCAACTCTTATGAAAGTTCTGCAGGATCGCCCTGTTCCAGAACTCGTTGCTGCAACTGGCAGCGGCACACTGGGTGGCTTCACTTTGTTCCAAGTGAGGAAAAATCCTGCAATGTGCAGAGAAGGATACCTCTCATCTGCACCTCAGCGCGACCTTCCTATCCGGACCAAACGAAAGTTGCATGCCCTGGGCGGAGCACGCGGAATTTGGTCATTACCCATCCGTTCTAAAAGCAACGCTTCGAGCTCGGAGTACGACACTCTGGTGATCAGCACCGACGCCAATCCCTCGCCGGGCCTGTCACGTGTGCGTCTCACATCAGTTGGACAGCTCTCTTCTGACCGTAGGCCAGATATCTTATCGTGCGGGGATAAGTGACATCAGCGTTTCCGCTCGCATCTCCGGCATCACCATCGGCGCGGGTGCCTTCTTTGCCAGAACGGCTATCCTGCATGTCACAACCAATTCCATCAGAGTGCTTGAGCCAGGTCTGAATATCCAAACAGCAGTTGTCGTTCTCATTCGTTTGCAGATGGCGCAGAGCGACAGATCATTAAGGACATGGATGCGAACATGCCTCGTCCCAAAATCCGAGCGTGCAGTATTCTCGATCCGTATGCGATCGTCATCCGGGAGGATGACTCGATCGGAATGTTCATAGAAACAGACAAAGGGCGAATTCGGAGAAAAGACATGTCGTCCATGGGCGACAAGGTGTGATCGGTGTTCTCTGATGCTAAACCTTTTTGACTGACCCGGTTCCAGAGCTCTCGTTATCTGACGGCCAGTTTCTTCGCAGACACGACGGGTCTTTTCGACAATTGCTTTGTGAACAATGGGGATAGCGCTGAGAAAGTTGACAAAACTGCCACGCCCAGTCGCTGGTTGATTCTCGTCCGGCCGCAAGGAGTTGTCGAGGTGCGTGCTTCTGCTTGGCTGTTCCTCGATTGAATCTCAAGGCGTCAGATCTGGACACTGCCCAAACTGACACTTGTATTTTCTACTCCGCTGCTGGCCAATCTTGAAAGCGTGCTCACCGATACTCATGTTGCGCCGACGGCATCACCACCGCAGAATCCCGCCCGCCAGCCAGAAGAGCTCGACATTGAGCAGATCATGATTGCACCTCTTGGAGAAGTGGCCCTCAAACCCCATCTCTTTGTGCGTCTTTTTGTTTCGCGTTCAGACGGAACAGTTTAACCACGGACATAGGTTTTCCTCCGTTCTGGGCATCTTGCCGTGTATGAGGTTGTCGAAGGGGCTGTCCCCGAAGAACGCCCAACAGTTCGGGCGCAGTCTCTCAACCTCAAGTTCGTCAAGGTTTCTGCTCGAGCCTTCGAGATTCAACGGACATCCGAGACTGGAATAATCGCCGAACAGAAGCGGATTTTGCGTCAGTTCCTTCCTTTCACCACGCTACGCCCATCCGGAGAGCCAATCTCGGGTGTCTTCTTCACGGGTGACCGACCAAGCTGGATTCTCGCGACGGATAAAAGTGCCGTCAAGATCATTCCGTCTGGGCACTCTGTCGTACACGCCTTCTCCCCAACCTCACTGTGGGATTCTCGCGGGGACTTTTTGTTGTACTCGGAAGAGGTCTGTGACTGCTCGATCTTCGGCACGTGTGCTCATTCGATCAGGGCCCTTGTCTGGTGGAATGGATGGCGGACTACAGCTTTGAATATCATCTTCCTTCACGGACTATTCCTCGCGGGCGATCCTACTCAAATGTCGTCTTTGATTCTTCAACTTATCTGATTGTCGCTGCCTCCTCTCTTTATTCTGCATTCACATCCTTCGATGAAGACATGAATCGTATTTGGGAGCCTGATGGTGCGTGGCCATCTCATCTCATCTGATATTTCATCTCATTATCGTAGCTCCTAATGTCTCCGATCCTGTCTGCGAAACATCGTGTCTGGAACTGATCTCTCCTGATTATTGGATTACCATGGATGGGTGTGTCGTGCCGGCCAAGTCTTACTTTGGCTGATCAACGGACTTCAGCTTCGAATTCGCTACAAATGAGTTCATCACAGCACTGGAGTGCGTCACTCTTGAGACATCGAGCACCGAGTCGGGCAAAAAAGACTTCATTGCGGTGGGCACGACTATCAATCGGGGCGAGGATCTCGCTGTCAAGGGATGCGTGCGTCTGTTTGTGCTTGCACATACCCAACCGACCACTGAACCGAGCTCAGACCTACATATTTGAGATCGTCGAGGTCGTGGCGGACCCAGCTCTCGCTCCCAAGCGATGGCACAAGCTGAGGCTTCGATTTAAAGATGACACCAAAGGCCCTGTCACTGCATTGTGTGGCTTCAACGGGTATCTCGTGTCTTCAATGGGCCAAAAAGTCAGTTTACATTCCTTCCATCCACGTGCTGACCAATCTTATTCCTCAGATATTCGTTCGCGCTTTCGACGACGATCGACTCGTGGGCGTCGCCTTCCTTGACGTCGGAGTCTACGTCACCTCTCTTCGAACGCTCAAAAACTTTCTGCTTATCGGTGATGCAGTCAAAAGCATCACGTTTGTGGCCTTCCAGGAGGATCCATATAAGCTCGTTATCCTCGGCAAAGACCTCGCGCGAGTCTGCGTTACAACCGGAGACTTCTTCTTTGCCGAATACGAGATGTCTCTTCTCACCTCAGATGAAGACGGTATCATCCGAATATATGAATACAGTCCCAATGGTTCGTTTGTGTCTCAGTGGCGATTTTAAACTTGACCACCCCCTCCCGAAGATCCCGGCTCTCGTGATGGGCGCTATCTCCTTCTGAGGTCCGAATTCCATGGACAATCGGAGTATCGTACCTCGTCGCTTGTGGCGCACCGTGCCAATGAGGAGGCCGACATACCGCAGTCAAGAATCATTTACGGTACAGCACTAGTGTTGGGTCATCGAATCGCATTATCCTGATGCTCTCTAGGCTCCACCGACGGCTCTCTGCGTTCACTCACTCCCTCAGACGAGTCTTCTGCTAAACGATTGCAGCTTCTGCAGGGCCAGCTTACCAGGAACATACAGCATGTCGCGGGTCTGAATCCAAGGGCTTTCCGGTGCGTTTCTTCCTTGAGTTGGATCACTGTCTGTGGTGACGTATGGATCCTAAGGATCGTCCGCAACGAATTTGTCTCGAAGCCCTTATCCAAGGGTATCTTGGACGGTAATCTGCTAGTGCATTACGAAAATTTGCCCATCTCCAGGCAGAACGAGATGACGAGGCAGATCGGGACTGAGCGGGGTCAGATTTTGAGGGATTGGACGACGTTGACAGGCCCATGCTGGTAGTCAGTTGGAATAGGTGTACATACTAGTAGTAATCGTCCGGGTCACTTTACAAGTTCAAATTCTGTAACAATTTTGATGTAAGTTTGCGAAGGTTCGCATCATCAGCCACCGGTTAGCTCTTGTGCAGTTCCTCTTCATCCACCACGGTCCTCACACCAGTAACACGATCAACGAGCATCGCTTTGTTCAGCCTGTCGCTTCTGTTTAGCGGGGCTCCGGTTACGCAAAAATACTTACAACGGATAATGGCAAATATCCTGTGGTTCTCTGCCATTGATGGTTCAGATTCAGAAAGTGTCCGCGGACTCGACTGGCACACTCACCTGCTTCCACCCACTAGATATTCCAATCCATCGTCTCCGGCTCGGAACGCGTGAGGTGTCTTTGATCCTGCCGGGAACCCAACGAAATCTCCCGCGCTGAGCTCAGTGTCTGTGCCTTCCGTCCCCTGGAGCAGGAGCCCACTTCCACTGAGGATGTAACACCATTCGTCGTCGCCTTCATGCCAGTGCTCGACTGTCCCTGTTTGTCCAGGGGGGAGCGATGCGCGGTGTATCCCGGTTTTCGTCAAGCCAGCTTGGTCGCCAAGCGATGTTGTCCATCGGACACGGGAGGCATCCAGTGGGTGGGCAAGTGGCTTCAATGCAGCCTTGATTGTGGCCGCTTGAACGACTTTGGTAGCCATGGTACGGTGTCAGGTATCTGTCGCTCTCGTGACTGTGGGACTACGCTTCGAGCTGATCTATATTCATTGGTTGCGGAATCGGGCCACTGATATTATAGCAAACTATGACCATTCACACGTCCATCCATCCACCTTCATCCAACTTGTAACTGGCCTCAGATTCAGGGCGATCGGGACTGTCCACCAACTTGGCTACTCGTTCTTCGGCGCGACCTGCACAAAATTTAATCTCAATCACCAATGCGACAGCCAACACTTGCCTTTCCGGAGGAACATACGAGTTGCAGATGCGTGTGACAGAATATGGCCACCAATCGGCTGTTTGCTCCGTGTCAGCTTCTCCTCTGCGACATGGACACTGGCACACCTTCAATGCTCCACCAGCCACAAATGTCATTGTCGCTCCTGGGTCAGCTACCAATCTTGTCAACTTCGATATGAAGTAGCAGACCAAACACACATTGCACTTGGTTCGTCAGCAGGATCGCAATCTGACCGCGAGTCAGGACGATCGGGATACAGACACGCGACACCCACATTGTATTCTTCCGAAAGCTTGGTCAACTTGGATAGCATTTGGGCGAGCTGCGACGGAAATCGCGATCAGAAGCATAGTGAACAGCGGCGCAAGTCACCTTTTGCTGTCTTTCGCTCAACTGTCTGTGCTGTCAGTATCATTCAAGACCACTTATTTCAACGCACTTCTCCTCTGCCCGAGTAATCGGTTCTAAACAAAGCCATGATACTGTCGACAATCTATTGTCTCCAGTCAGCACCACCCTTTTGATCCACTCGGAACACACACCAGCAGTCGAAAGTCTTTATCCTCCGCGAAGCGAGAGGAGCATTCGTTGATCAATTCCATCTGTATCGTGTCGGTCCTCTATGGTGAGTGAAAGCAATCTGCTCACCTGATGTTCACTGTTGAATGCCCGAGCTACATAACACACAACATGAAAACGATGATCGCTGCTCATCAACATGGACATACCGTATAGAATATTTTCAAGAGCCATGTTTCCGTCGACCCCAAACCGGTCCGCGATGGATCTGATTCGGTCGGGCCGGAAAGTCCCTGGGCTCTATAAGCAACATTCAAGAGCCAATGGAACTGGAACTCGCCTTCAGTGTCGATATATGCCACCTTCCCGGACGCTCCTCCCATATCCGGCGGAAGCTGGGCCATCACGCTCATAGTATGCGCCATTTGGGTCTTTCCCGTTCTGAACTCCCCGTAAACTAGACAGTCAATTGAGTATATGCGTCTCGCAGGGAAGATCGACCGCGCCTTCGGTGATCGACTGAGACGTGATGCCTCCTTCAAAGTCTGCATAAGCTTTCTGGACAAACAAACGGATTCGAGAGACGCGCCTCCTAGGATGGTATCCACAGCCTTGCTCCCGGTACTGATATGGATAACTCGCTTGCGCTTTTCTTGAACCTCGACTCCCGTGGCGAATGACGAACCCTGTACTGTGTTTAGTATACGGTAAGCGCTCGGAGGCCGACGGACCAAAATCTTATGTGCAGCTTCCTGTTGAAGATAAGTCAGGATGGAGATGAGCATGATACATAGTGACGTACCTTGATCTTCTCAACTTTAGCTTCCGACATTCCCTGTGAGTATATGCTGCAGTTTTATGGGTAAAACGAGATGGAATGGGCCCATACCTTGATTTTGAGTAGCTGGCGTCTCGTTGTCATGTTGACACCAGAGACGGTGTTTATTGCAGCAGACTGGGGAACGAGCGAATGAGCTCGCTATCATGTTAAGGAGAAGTGCACGCGCCTTGAGCTTCAGGATGTCTTGCACGTTGATTCCCTGACGCGCCGCTGAGAATGTATGCACGTCGGCTCATCAGAAAAGACAAACATGAGACTGAAGTTCATCGACGGAGTCAAAGAAAACTGGCTAAATTTGTCGTCGGATGCTGCACATGAATATCGGAGGAAAGATTCCACACCTCGTCGTCATCGTCCACGAGTGGACTGGCAGGGCGCGAAGCGACGGAGTCAGAGGATGGAGCGCGTCTAGGAGGCATTTCTTATATATCTGCTGAGTCTGAATATTTAAGAGAGTAAGCGTGAAAGACTCGGGGAGAGACGAGGGTCCTATTTGGGTCACATGCTGACCACCATTTATGGACACCGATTTCGTTCTCCGACTACCAAAGGCACCGGACATCGCGATGGGAGAAATCTGGGAAGAATTCATACTATTCAGGTTCTTGCTCAGATATATATGGATCTTGAGTTCCACTATGTATCTTATCTACGCGTTGTCTGGCGTTACATGGGATCAAGCAACGTGACCGCGTCGGAATCGCGAAGTCGGCTTCGGGGATTCAATGACATCCTCCGCCGGCTGCGCTCATCATTCTATGGTGCGGTTCACTTAGAGACCTCACCCTGGGAACAACGTGACTGGTCACGCCAGAATTAACCTAATTTTTTTTCCTCTTGGGAAACAGCTCCTTTTCACTCAAGGAAGAGAATGGCTAGAGGGATAAGCCTCAATTAAATCACTGAGCGAGCTGGAAATTTTGAGAAAGGTCAATTTGGCAGTAGTACAAAATATCATATGCTACTGGTCAAAAGCGCGCGCAACGCCTTCAAAGATGCGTCAGTGTGATTTGTATGAACGTGAGCTGAATTTGCGAACTTCCAACTGAGCCTGTTGAGTCTCCATCCCCTTCCGATATGCGTCCATCCAACAGACCATCCTCTGTTCCCACTTCCGGATTGTTGAGATGCTGACTGAGGCAAGCGCAAGGGGCATATTGGTCTTGAGGGTGTTGAAAGTGTAATCACAATTATTGCGCAGGTATTTTTTGACAGCACCCCAGAAGTATTCAATGAAATTCAACTCACAATGAAACTTTGGAAGCAAGAGGCACAGATGGCCTGCGTCCTCGACCACCTCTTGAACCATTGAACATGTTTGGCGCGCACTCGAGCTGCAGCGGCCATTTGCACCTTGGTGGGCATGGCGGAAGCAGAAGATACACAAAATTGCACCTCAGTTACCACCGCCATCACGCGGTTCTCCCCCCGCGGGGTACCTACTGGGTACCCTCAGACGTCTTGCTGAGGGTACCCAGTAGGTACCCCCTGGCGGGGGGTGGGGGGGCCATTTAGTCGATTTAGTAGCGGGGGCATATGCGGGGGTCAGGAGGAGGGGGGGTGTATGTAGCATGTGACTTGTCCATAAGAGCGGGTAGCTGGGCGGGAAAAAAAAATCCGATCACATGACGCGCTGCATGGGCGGGATGGCGGGATAAAAAAATCACGTGATGCGCTGCACCAAATATTACCAAAATGCTGGCAGGGGTTGGCGGCGTCATTGGCGGGGTCACTACCACCCCCCCGCACACCATGGCGGGCAGTGGGCGCATTATCACGTGACTTTTTGGGCGCCTTTTTTGCAGCATTTGGCATGATTTTGGAAATGCTGCTTGATACATTGCATGCTGTGGCAGACAATGGGCGCAAAATCACGTGATTTTCCGCCAAAAAAATGGAAGACTCCCCAAATCATCCCAGTATAATTTCCATAGGTAAATAGGCTAGTTAAACATGAACTTGAGCTTAGAAAAACCAAAATGCACCCTGCACAATGGGATTGGTGACACACTTGATCCCATCATTTGGCAGGGCCTGCCGCAGGGGCTGCCGCGGGGGGTGCCGCAGGGGGTGCCGCGGGGGGTGCCGCAGGGGGTGCCGCGGGGGGTGATGCGGGGGCTGCCCCAGGGGGTGCTGCGGGGGGGTGCTGCAGGGGCTGCCCCAGGGTTGGTCTGTTATGATCCATTTTTGTTCATTGAAGATCTTGTAGAGGTGAGCAGGGCAACAGGCCAACTGGGAATTTATAGGAAGACATTGAAATTGATGCAGGGGTCAGATGCGGGGCCCACTGCAAGGTCTACTGCAGGGGCAGGGGTGCATTATATCAAATTTCGATGTATCTATTCTGGCCATGGCCATAGAATGTCACATAATTATCCTTCAATTTGGCAGGGGTTTCTTGGTATGGTCTGCAGCTAAAGATATTTGATTCCCTTGTGCTTTAGCAGAGCCTGGGATATTGAAAACATGCAATAGCACCTGTATAATCTGTCTATGTAGGGTCAAATACAAGTTATAACTTGGTACATTTGGGCATGGTCTGCTCAAGCTATTAGGGCGAATTTAATGTTTGAAAAATGCGCAACTTGATTTGTTTGGCAAATCCCCCAAGGGAGTTTTCCATGTGCAGCCAAATTGATCGCAAGGAATAGCTACTGCTCCTTGTCCCTGTCTGTTTGCTTCCGATAGTCTGTCTGCTCCCAAATCTTCCTCTCCATTTTCAGGATATCTGATACAGGTGTTAGGATTGTTGATTGATGGATTTCATATTCCTTGTCTACACACCATTTAGACACTTTAATGGATGTGATAATACTGTGAACACTAACAATTGATTAGGCAGCACTTTTGTCCATCCAATCCTTGCAGGGGCTGGGGCAGGGTTGATGGTGGGGGCTGCCGCGGGGGCTGCTGCGGGGGGTGCCGCGGGGGGTGCCCAAGCCTCTGCCAGCCTACCCAATGTGGATCAACTACAGGATCACTTTCCAAAGCTTCTGTACTGCAACCCGAGTGACTTCCAGGTTACCTTTACCCAATTCCAGTGACACAACTTGCCTGCTCTTGTTTCTGGCCGACAATTGATTTTATAAGCTTGAGTGTGTATGTGCACTTTTTGGTGGGAAAGGAGGCCATTTGGTGAGGGGCAAGGCACCAAAACATTGTCAAATACCACATTGAACATGACCAGTGGCTTACATCTCTTCAAACTGGCCCCTATCTCATGTTTATCAAGACCCTATTTTTCGGACCCATTTCAAGTTTTTGAATGGTTCCAGGGTCCAGGGCTCTCAGAATTTGTTTCAGACACTGCCAAGGGGTATATCATTCAGCTGTATTGAGTTGTTCATTTGTAGAAAATATATATTTTTGCAATACCCAAAGTGAACTATGTTGAACCATTATCTATGTAGGAACCTTGAGCAACTGTGAACTGTTTTCATGTTTCGAATTTTGGATGGACAAATGATATGAAATACCTACATATTCAACAAGAACAGCATAGGGAGACCTTATTCCGATGGTTTTCAGCTGCATAACTGTAGAAACAGTGTCAGAAGAGCAGGAAACACTTAGGTACGACGTTTATACAGGTTCTGATTGGCTGGTGACTTGACGTGTTCCAAGCTGTCAGATTATGTAATCTTACATATGAGAAGATGGCAGGGGCAAGGCACCGGTGCAGCGGGGGGTGTGGCAGGGGGTGTCAGCCTGGCGGGGGTGCATGCGGGGGTGCAGTGGGGGGTGCCAGTTTGGCAGGGGGTGCCTGCAGGGGTGCCAGTGGGGGTGCAGGTAGAGTTGCAGGCAGTGAGTTATGGCAAGAACGTATACAGTCCCAGTAGCAAAAGCAATCATGTATGTTTCTGCAGTTTGTCTTGCAAGTATCCAAGCTCTAAGTGGAAAGAATTTTGTATATGAAATCTGAATTCATGCTCAATCTCTGGCTATTGTGAGACAACTTATTAGTGAGTTAGTTCATCCTCTTATATACGACCCAGGAATGAATTGAGGGCATGTCAAATCCGCTATGTTCCATCTGTTCATGTTGCAGCTTGAGAAAATCATTTGCAAAGCATCACAGAACTTCTGATTTTCAATGAGTCCCAGTCAGGAAGTGAGACATTCAATGTGTACTTGACATGTGGTACAATGTGCCGCAGGGTAAGATTACACTGTGCTAACAGTGTGAACAATTGACTAATAGCCATGTATGTAGAATGAGCGCACCAAAAAATCAATGAGATGACAGTGGACCCAGTGCAGCCAACCTACCCACCCTGCCGGTCAACACATGAACAAATCATAACTTGTATTTGACCCTACATAAACAGATTATACAGGTGCTATTGCATGTTTTCAATATCCCAGGCTCTGCTAAAGCACAAGGGAATCAAATATCTTTAGCTGCAGACCATACCAAGAAACCCCTGCCAAATTGAAGGATAATTATGTGACATTCTATGGCCATGGCCAGAATAGATACATCGAAATTTGATATAATGCACCCCTGCCCCTGCAGTAGACCTTGCAGTGGGCCCCGCATCTGACCCCTGCATCAATTTCAATGTCTTCCTATAAATTCCCAGTTGGCCTGTTGCCCTGCTCACCTCTACAAGATCTTCAATGAACAAAAATGGATCATAACAGACCAACCCTGGGGCAGCCCCTGCAGCACCCCCCCGCGGCACCCCCCGCGGCACCCCCTGCGGCACCCCCCGCGGCAGCCCCTGCGGCAGGCCCTGCCAAATGATGGGATCAAGTGTGTCACCAATCCCATTGTGCAGGGTGCATTTTGGTTTTTCTAAGCTCAAGTTCATGTTTAACTAGCCTATTTACCTATGGAAATTATACTGGGATGATTTGGGGAGTCTTCCATTTTTTTGGCGGAAAATCACGTGATTTTGCGCCCATTGTCTGCCACAGCATGCAATGTATCAAGCAGCATTTCCAAAATCATGCCAAATGCTGCAAAAAAGGCGCCCAAAAAGTCACGTGATAATGCGCCCACTGCCCGCCATGGTGTGCGGGGGGGTGGTAGTGACCCCGCCAATGACGCCGCCAACCCCTGCCAGCATTTTGGTAATATTTGGTGCAGCGCATCACGTGATTTTTTTATCCCGCCATCCCGCCCATGCAGCGCGTCATGTGATCGGATTTTTTTTTCCCGCCCAGCTACCCGCTCTTATGGACAAGTCACATGCTACATACACCCCTCCTCCTGACCCCCGCATATGCCCCCGCTACTAAATCGACTAAATGGCCCCCCCACCCCCCGCCAGGGGGTACCTACTGGGTACCCTCAGCAAGACATCTGAGGGTACCCAGTAGGTACCCCGCGGGGGGAGAACCGCGTGATGGCGGTGGTAACTGAGGTGCAAAATTGATCAGTCACGCGTCAAGATCTAGTCGAAATTCCGATATGGCTACAGTTGTTACAAAATCTACGAATGAGATCGAAATCTAGGCCCCAAAAGGGGTACACTGTAAAAAAAATTTGGCCTGCGGCCAATTTGGCAGTTGTTCCCAGGGTGAGGTCTCTAAGTGAACCGCACCATACCGGTTGCGCCTCTTCCAGCTCTTCTCATGTGCTGGCAATGTGCTCTGCATCCTTGCTGCCGGCTTACATCAAATTTACACTCTGACATCGGCTTATTAGAGAGCCTATCTTATACACAGGGCATCGGAAAAGGCGTGCCATCGCTTCAGCTTTCGGATAAATGATGTAATGTCGTAGTTTGAAGAAGCCGAGACAACTACGCAGACTACCCGGATGCAGCGGGACACTGATACGAAAACAGACGAAGTGTCGACCGGGCCGGCAGTGATATGTGGCACTTTGAGTTATCCTGCCTTGGTATGTGCCCTTTCAACCGCAAGTCAAAGAGAGAGTCCTTCCCGAGCTTTTTGAGGACTTCCAGAGCCACGTGAATGTCTTTGAACGCGTCGGGCACGAAGTAAGACTTACATGTGATTGATGAAACGTGACCGCGTCTGGCTCCGGGCCGGAGCCAGCACGCATCATATGCAATGATCTGCACCGGCTAACCTTAAGTGAAATCCTGCTTGTTCTGAGCTCTGTTCAACAAACACCGGCTCCCTCTCATCATCCACCTCTTCCCCCCTCTCTCTGAATCGACCGCGTATCTCCCTTATCATCATCTGAAGTCATGGTCAGCAAGAGTGCGGCTCAAGATGCGAACTCACTCACTGTGCGCGACAACCGTACGGGGAAGACGTTCACCGTCCCGTATGTTTCGCCTGCGACGTAGTGGTAGCAATCTAAACGATGTCTCTGCATTCAGAATTGTCGACAACAGTATCTCTGCTGTAGACTTCAAGGCCATGAAAGCTCCCAAGGCGCCCGGGGAGCGCGATGAGAATGAGACCGAGAAGGGTCTACGTGTTGCGGACAAAGGCTTCTTGAACACCGCCGTTCTGCGAAGCCAAATCACGTACATCGATGGAGAGGCGGGTGTTCTCCGCTACAGGCGCGTTTATTTGATGTGCGGCGGTGGGGTTCTGACCTCGGATTGCAGAGGGTATCCTATCGAACAACTGGCCTTGCACTCGTCGCATCTCGAAACCGGCATGTTCAAGCTTGTTATCTACGCGCTTTCGTCTCATTCTACTCAGCGTATCTTCTCATCTACGGATCTTTGCCTACGAAATCCCAGTTTCAAGTCTTCCAAGATGAAGTCATGCATCATTCCATCGTCCACGCAGATGCTGCGCAATTCTTCAGAAGCTTCCGGTAGGTCCCGGGCTCAGGGATTTAAGCTTACTTTAATGACCACATGATCCTCAGGTATGATGCCCATCCCATGGCCATTTTGACCAGTGCTTTTGCGTACATCGGCTCGTATTACAGCGAGGCGAACCCTTCGTTGCAAGGTGCGCAGTCTCATATACTGGACGTGATATATACGGTATTCAAGTGCATTAGGTCAAACTCTTTTCACCAAGGGCGATAAAGCGTCTCTAGCAATACTAGACAAGCAAATATACCGACTTATTGGGAAAGCCACGACCCTGGCTGCGTTAGTATCCACGCTTGGTATATCCTTGCTGCGGTGTTGATGCGACGCTCAGAATGGCTTATCGAGTACGACAAGGCCGGGAGTTTGTGACACCTCCTACAGGCCTCAGCTATACCGGCTCGTTCGTTGATCTTATTACTGTCATTACTCCGTGTGACTAACATTGGACCAAGGTTTCTGTACCAAATGGACTATCTGGGACAGGAGAACTACGCACCGAACCCAGTGCTCGAAAAGGCACTAGATGTCCTGTTTCTGCTGCATGCTGATCACGAGATGAACGCGAGCGCTTCGTCCGTGATGCAAGTCGGCTCGTCTTTGGTGGATCCCTATTCGGCCATCGCGGCTGGATGCGCCTCTTTGTAGTGAGTTCCATGCCGTGCCGTGTTCTGTTCGCACAATGATGAAACATGTTCGCAGTGGACCATTACACGGTGCGTTTCATATCCTGCGATCTCAGAGTTCATCTTGACCGTCTCTAGGGGGGGCTAATGAAGCGGTGATTCGCATGCTCATCTCCATCGGAAAGTGAGCGCACAGTGGACCTTTTCCACCTGCTCTCTGACCGGATGTCAGGCCCGAGAATGTTCCCGCATTCATTGAAGCTGTCAAAAGGAGAGAAAAGGTCCTTTCTGGTTTCGGACACCGGGTGTACAAGACAGTGAGTGAGATTTGTCGTCTCTGCATGGCACGAAACGATGTCCCGCAGTCCGATCCTCGCTCTTTCCTAGTTCGGAAGACTGCGGATGAAGTCTTCAAGATGTGCGTTGTGACCGGAAGATGTCCCAAGCAAGAAACTGAACAGTGACAGCACGGGCAAGGATGAGCTGTTGCAAACGGCTATGGCTCTGCATGACGCAGCAATGAAAGATGAATACTTCATCAAGCGGAAATTGGCCCCGAATGTTGACTTCTGGTGAGCCTGAGGTGACACTGATCCAGAGCAGGGCCTCATCGTTTGCAGGAGGTGCGCTTACTTGGCAACCGGTGGCTTTAGAAACTGACATTGAGTTGCAGTGGATTGATATATCGGGCAATGGGTGCGGCTCCCTCGTCAGCCATTTTCGGAACTTGTTGAACAACGTGGCAAACAGGTTTCCCGAACGACTATTTTCCCGTGTTGTTCGCGGTACCGCGTGTAGTCGGCTGGCTTGCACACTGGCGGCAGGCAAGCATCTTTGACGTGACGTCACAGAGGACTGATGGCTCCCTTACAGATGATGCTCCAAGGACGAGTTCAGATTTGGCGGCCGCGTCAAATCTATGTGGGAGCCGGCAAGCGAGATTATGTGCCAGTCGACGCCCGAGAAGCCGTCGAAGGTTTGCAAGAACAGCCCTCGGTCGTTCACCATTCCGGGTGCGCAAACTTGAACCTCGCTTGATCGGCATGGTTATTGACATGACAACGAACCCCATTCTAGGATCTCGAAAAGGACTCAGCTGGCGTCCTTCAAAGGGCAGGCAAAGTTGTAGTCGAGGCTCTTGGTCGGATCTTGGCCTCATGTCAGCCGTACATAGAGGGGGGGAGGCAATCGCGCTTATTGTACCTTAATTCCATTTTTTTTTACTCCGGTCAATTATCCCCTTTGTTTGACATCATTGTTGCGAGACAAAGCGAAACAAACCCAACATCAGTCCTGTTCCTTTTTCTCTCCACGACCTCCCTTACCTCGCCACTACTCTCCACCCTGCGAAAGATGTTCGCCACACTCGTTTCCCTCGCGCTCATTGCTGCCCCTGCTATCCGTGGTGTTGCCGCTGATCTGTCCATTGCTACCCCCGCCCTGACCCAGGTAATTGAACCTGCTTGTTTCTTATAACAGGGGTCTTGACCTTGTCCTCTCCAGTGCGGCGATGCTCATATCAGCTGGACTGCCTCGAACGGACCGTACAACCTCATTCTTGTGAACTCTACCGATCCTTGCGGCGAGATTCTGTGTGTTAGGGATCTAGAGAGTAGAGGGCCTTACTGACTGGCCGCTGCAGCTCCGATCTCGGTGACCACGCTGGTACCCACATCACCTGGAAGGTCAACTACCCAGCCAAGTCTACGCTCATGCTCTCGCTCGAGGATAAGGATGGCAACGACGTCTGGTCGCAAGAGGTATGTCAATCATATCAGGAGTGTCAAATTTATCTCGCTGACGACGACACAGATGGTCGTTGCCGACAGCTCTGACACCTCTTGTCTCAACAACGCTGCTGCCGCTGCTGTCTCTGTCTCTGCCAGCCAATCTGCCGTCTCTGTCTCGTCTGCTTCGTATGTTACCTTGAAGCTGTGAAATTCTCCTCTGACCTCTCCCAGGGCTGTCCCTGTTCCCACTATCCCGACGGACGTTGTCCAGGCCGCTGGTGCTGCTGTGACCGATAGCTCGACTACTGCAGGTGGTGCTGCGGTTGCAGGCGCTCTCAGCGGGTCGGGCCACTCTGGTGCTCTCTCGCTCACCTCGAGCCCCATTATGGCCCTGTGCGCAGTATTTGCTGCTGCTGCCCTTGCCTTGTAATCACTATACCCGCCCTTTTTTCCGCTCGGGTGCAACACCATCTCACCTCCATATCTTTTTCTATCCTTATCCCATTCCGTCTCCCTATGGGTACAATGCCTAACCGGCGCTGGCATTATTTCTTTCAGATATTCGATAACGATGTAGAATAACGCTTTCGTTGGGGTTCGTTTGTTCATCGTCTCCTTGACGTGAGGCGAGCTGGTCATTCTGGGCTTCCTCTCATCTGTTGAATAAATCCGTCCTTGTCGTTATACCTCGCGGAATCTATATACCTTTTAGTGGCGGCGCCCTTTCGTAGCAGTGTTTGTCTCAACTTGATCTTCAACCATCATGTCAGATTGGCACTCGATGCAAGTGAACTGGTCCGGCAAGCTCTGGGCTCGACGCTGACAAGACATCTAAGAACGCTCCGGATTCCATTCGTATCCGCTAAGCACGCGCTCATTGCCATGCAAACCATCCAGGTGGATAGCGAACTGCAACCGCACGCCGTGAAACGCGTGTTGTCCGTCGAAGACGAGGTTCTGATCGCGTACGATCTTTTTCGTTTGATTTCGAGGGCGCATCGTCGTTTACCGACTGACATGTGAATCCCATAGCACATTCGACACGCTCACTGTGCGATTAGCACGTCTCACCGTCAACTCATTCCTCGAAAATGTCGACCTCGTTGTGCGCACATTACAACATTTTGGAGAGGACGCGGAACATGGAAAAGGACTACATCCATCATGAACATGCATTGTACAGGATTCAACACACAACAGTAGGGAGACAAGACAAGAGCACTCGAATGTTGTACGATATGATGTGATGATACATTTATTCTTCCTTCTCGGCTTCAGCGCCTTCACCAGCCTCCGTCTTGGCCTTCTTCTTCTTGCTCTTCTTGCTCTCGCGCAGACTGCGAGCCAGCAGGGTCTTCAGTTCCTCGTCCTCGAGCTCCTTCTCCGTCTTGACGAGCTCAGGCTTGTACCATACAGGCGACTGCGTGATCAGTGAAGGGCCATTGGGCAGAAGGGCGATCGTGAAGTGGAAGGCAGCGACGAAGGTGTTGGCTGGCGTGTAACTGGGGGCGTGATGGTGAGTTCTCGCTGCAAACTTTCGGTGGACAGACGTACATCACTTCGTACGGCTTGACCAAACCATGCTGCACTGCTTCTTGCAGTCCCATACGCGATCGTTTCTCATCTTCGAGCGATCGGACGTTAAATGGGAAAGCACCTGATTTCTTTTGGACCTCGGAGAACACGGCACGCGAGTTCTTCATTTTGAGTTGATAAGTCACGGTCGAATCGCGTTGGTAGATCGAAGTGCGGGCCTCTTCGACACGAGCCTGGACAGGACGTTAGCATCATCACGAAGAAACGTGTCCGCACAAACCTTGCCATCGTCACCCGAGGAGACCAAGATATCGATTCCCCACACTTCACCCTCAGCAAATGTCGCACCCTCGAAATCACGCTTCTGGGCTTCGCTAGGGTTCAGGATAATACGTTTCTTCCCGTCGACCACGTTCTGAGTTTGTTCACAAGAGAGCATGCCTGTGTTTTCACACTTCAGCCTCGATGCAGTAGGATTGGACGCGTCGAATTACCTTCAACAGGCTTGCAATCCCACGCAGCGGCGGTTTTTCCTACAATCTCGGTCACGGCCCAGTTTTTGTTGCCGGCTTTGATTGTGCGCATCGCAAGTTCCGAAGCGTGCCAAGCAGCCTTCAGGACGTCGGCGCGTCGGCCTGTTACAGGGTTTTCCGCACTTGCACCAACGACGATGGTCTCGGCGCTGATCGCCGCGAATCCATCAATATGCGCGCCTAGATGCAGCTTGACCATGTCATCTTTCGCGAGCGTCTGGGACGATTGTGGGTCTGACCTGGCGCAGAAAACACGTGAGATGGTCAGGCGTAGGGACTAGTCACAGTTCGGGTCCGACGTACTCGAGAGGAGAAAAATGCGCGACGCAGTTGTTGACGGAGATGGACGTAGGGAACGCGAGTCCTGTAAGCCGTGAGGGATTGGAAAAGAGGGAGACGGGGCGACATGTTCGCACCCTTCGTCACTTTCACGCCCTTGATGGCCTTGTTGTATACGGCACCGGTTCCCGCCTCGACGAGCTTGTCGCCTTCGATGCAAAGATCGATGACTTTCGCGCCTTCAACACACAGCTCGATGAGCTTCTTCGTCACATTGTGCACGATTTCGGCGGCAATCTAGAGTGTTTTCATGAGCCGTCTTTTCCGCGTTTTCGAGATGAGATGGTCGTGTGAACCTTGTACTTGGTGAGATCGACCTCCGTTGCCGAGGGCGCAGCGGGTTTCTTCTCGGCGGATGGCTTTTCAGAGTCCGACATAATCAATGCGCCGCGTTCGGAGTGAAGGGGGTGGGGGTCGTGAAGTAGAATCTGAACTATCACAGCCACAATATCGAGCTGATCAGCGTGAAAAAAATCCTTGGGTTTCCTGGGATGTAAATACAATGTGTATACTCGAATATGATCCTACAATGATAATTAATGGAGATACAGGTATGGTGGTCAAGGAGAGGATGGTAGTGGTGCAGGGGGTTTCCATGCAACAAACGCGCGAAGGGAACGACAGATATTACTTGACCTGGGGGGCTCCTCGATGATTTCAGTGTCGTGTGTTATCATGCGATCCCGCCAAATCCGCCAGTCAGAGGCAAATTCTGGTTCAGACCAGCGAAAGTCGGATCCCGCCCGATTTCGCATGGCTATTCGATCCGCCATGTCACTGAAAACAAATGAACAAGACATTTTGGAGAAGACATCAGAATCGCACTGCTCCCAGTTACTCCAATCTGTCTCGAAAGCTTCTCTAGTGGAACTCGAGTGATACGACATCCGTGTACGGGCCCTGGTATTCATTGTTTTGGAGATAACCGGTGGAAGCGCGTTGGGGTTTAATTTTGAGTATTCCATCCAGATGGCCTCTTTGCAGGCTGAGACGGAGCTGACGGCCTTGCCGAGGTGCATCCGGGCCCAGTACGGCGTGATCCGATGGGAAGACGTCGTTGACTTGGACTGGATGGAGACCCTATCAACATCTTTGGATAGCCGGCGTGTCTGGTCGTAATAAACAGCGTCTGAGTAAGATTCGCCACTGCTTCGCGAATCACTGTCCATTTCAAACGAGCTCGCCGGTAGTGGAACATGAAGTGACGGATGGGTTTGCAAGTTGTCGAATAGGGTGGAAAGGTAGAAAGGCATGACCGTCGTCACGCCTGGCGTTAAGAATCTCTTGGTTAGCATCGCATCCCATGCAGTTTTGAGTCGGGTATGGTCTTGGGGATGGCCGTCAGATGGATCAGTTCCATACACCTCCGAATCCTGGGTAAAAAGTCCGTCCGGCGAAAAATCAGTATCAAATGGTATAGAACTCCGTGAATGTTGGTAGTCGGGGTGTGCTTCGGGCAGAGTGGGTAGGCTGGGACGTTTGTGTATCCGGACATCGACAGGACTTCCAGGGACGCTGGATTGATCGGAGAGCATGGTGCTCGAGCTCCTGATCGAAAATGCGCTGGGTGGCGCTGAATCTTTTCTCTCTCGACGTGTGAAATCGAGGTTGAGTGGGGCTAGAAAGCGTCTCGCAGGCGGTGGCGGTGAGCAGGGGAATATCAAATCCTCCTCAACGATCTACGGTAACGTGAGCCTAGTGAGGGTCTCCCCGCACGGAATCTCACCTCGATGACGCCGTTGTACTCCATCACCCGATAAACATCCTGCGGACGGGTTTATACTAGGAATTGGACCCTGAAGGGGGGTGCTGCTCACCTCAAGGACATATTGCCACTGCGTTGAGACGTCAGCTGTCGAGGTGAAAAGGACGGGGGAGAACATACTTCGTCCTCAGGGACGCCGAGGCCAATTCCAGCTATATGCACGTAGTCGAAAAAGTTTGACGCGAAGGGGAGCCCGTCCAAACTATTAATGCGATTTGAATGAGTGTAAGAGCCATGAGTTCCCATCAGAGGCTTACAGATTTCCATGGACCCATTTTAATCGACCCGCTAACTCGGCGACGATGGGAAGAGAGTGCGGAGACTTGTTAGAGTCCTCTAAGCATCTCATGTAATGTGCATCGAGTTGCATAAGGTCGGGCTGAATGTCCGTAAGGTCAAAACCAATAACTTCAGCGTCCTACACGTAAAAAGTCTAAGCTTGGAGTCAGAGTCATGACTACAACTGAGGCTTACCGGCCACCGTCTCGCTGCCTCAATTGCCCAGTAACCTCCCCCACAACCGAGGTCAAGTATCCTCCGAGGGGGCGAATCCGAATCGAATTGGTGCATCGTGAGCCCTCCGAAACAATTTTGGAAGAACATCTGATCCCAGTTGTCGCTGTCAGAGTCGACGGGTTCAGAAGAGTCGATGGCTGGGGGGACAGAAACGCGTACAAGTTGATCATGTCGCGTGAGTACTGGAGTGGATAGATGCTCTGTCCGGGACGGCGACGCGATGACCTCTGTTTCATAAGTAGAGCTTGTACATCCTTCTCCACGGCACTTCGGATGGGTATTGGTGACGAGAAGGAGTCGAAGGAAGGACGGGAAGAGAGCGACGGCGGGCTCATGGTGTCGAAAAGTAAGGAAGGTTTCCGCAGTTGGTTAGCGAGACATAAATAACGGCGACCAGGCAAGTCTATGAGCGTAGCACCATTTGGGCAGGCTCAGATTATTGATATAGATGGGATGCCTCCTTTGGGGCTCATCAACTTTGCTCCTGTGGTGAGTTTGATGATTAGCCACACGTCTTGTTTCCCACCATGATCTCTCCTGTCCGCCGTCAGTTGCTGGTTGGAGCAAGAGCTTCACGCTCTGCGCTGGTTCGCCGATACGCCACTGAACCGCACCCCCAATATAATGGCTACCCCGAACTGCCCGATGTCTCCGCTCAATACCGGCCACCTCTGGGATGGCAAGACCGGCTTTTGCGTCGTAACTTCGGCGACACGGTGCGGAACAGGAGCTCTTGGCTGCCCCTGGTTCTGCTCTTACTTCTGCCCAGATTCACCACTATGAGGAAGTGAACTCTATGTGGGGCCCCGATATCCCTGTCATCCCTCCTCAGCAAGCTCTGCGGCAATTCGCCATCGCTGTTGGATGTTTTGTGGGAGGAGGTCTCTTCCTCCGTGCTTATCTTGTGCCGGAAAGTCCCGTGGTTCCGAGAGAATACCCGTACAACGGCCTGGCTGTAGAACTTGGTGGTGGTCGTAAGGTAGACGCTCTTGTCAATCATCACATGCAATGCTAACCGCCCCTGGTAGGCCAACCCTGAAACGTCAGAAGAATCATGAACGGAATATATCCAGTCTCGCTATTTTCAATCATTATTCCGCCTACAGGCTAGCGGGGCCATGTTTCAGACCTTCTTTCGCGGCAAAACGGACCCACAAGGAACAACAAGGGGGGCGGCTGCCTCGCCTGGAAATGGTTTACCGATCCTCATGTTGTCCATCAGACTGTGAATTCTACGCGTAGAATCTATGAATGAGCTGCTCGCTACACCGAGACATGTGTGCGTATGGATATGCTTTATCGGAAGTACATATGTGCAAACGATAGACTGACATCATTCGTCCTGCCTGTGTACCGAGCACTTGAGCCTGCACGAATTGAATAGTCGAGCCCGTGGCTTTCAGGGGTTCGATAGTTGATAATGACATGTCAACGACTCGATTGCTATTTCTTACTATGACCGTTGACCACTGCCTACATGAACAACATGGACACTGGGGCGACTCCCCTGGCATATAACCATGGCGCTCGGCATTACTCTCGACTGCCTCAAAGACCTAAAATGCACCACAGGTTTCTTCCAAATATAGACACCCGTGACAGCGAATTGATCATCCGTGCTGAGGCTTGTCGTTCATCTCACCTTCCACTTACTTTCTCCATGTTATGGTCGCATCCACCTTACTTGCTCTCGGGCTACTGATACCTGTGATATCTGCGCAAAACAACAGGGTATGTGCGCCAATCTGACGGAAGAGAACCGGAAGGCGTTTGTCTAATGAAGATTTGATGCACAGAACTCTAACAGTGTGGTTCGTCCTGGTGCTTGTTACAGCTCCACTCCATTTCACGATTCTCTCAGTTGTACAATGGAAAAGGACAGTCACCCTGTGAGATGAAGAGCCTATTCGAGAACACCTGCCATACATCACGCCGAGCAAGAGGTGCGCCATTCCCACCATTCACAGTGGCCGTTCGCGCCTCATTCAGGTCCGATCTTGCGCAGCCCTTGTCTCTACGAACCGTTTACGATCTTCCCCTACGCCCTGTATCTGGTGTGTTGGCCATCCGAGAATTGTGTGTCTTCTCATCGACATTTCAGTACCAATGTGTATTTCAATCTCTGGAGTGCCTGCGCGTATACGCAGAACTCCTCGCTCCCCTCCTGCTCAACATGGAAAGAAGGGTGTCACCAGGCCTCGGTCGCAATTACTACGGAGAATGTAACGCACAACACCGCCTTTCCGTCGTGGGCCTTCATGCCACTTCCTTCCAACAATGACACGTTCGATCTTGTTGGCGCGGTCGAAGCAGCAGAAGGCTATTCACATCGCTGGACTTCGGTCCAGATCATCGCTCCTGTCGTAGTTGGAGTGGTCGTTGCCCTCTCGCTGAGCGTGGGCTTCTACTTTTTTCTGCGCCACAAGCGAAGGCCACATACCCGTCCATGGATGCAGACGACCGGCAATCGACCGCGATTCCACTTTCCCACGCTCTCAAGCGTGAAGAAAGTCCGAGCTGAGAACCGCAGCAGTACGTGGAGCATCGACGAGCCCCCGGAAGACTGGAACCAGTACGAATTCGTCTCCTACCCACCGTCTCTGCAAGGATCTCATGGCGGTCATGTGCGATTATCCTCGAGTCCGACGGATCCGCCGCGTTTGAAGATTCCAGGATCAGGACCTGTGTACGCCCTGCCTGGGAAATCGGTGTGGAAGGCTCCCTTCCAGAATGCGCAGCGGTGGTCGCGCTCTATTCCGTTTCCATGGCGGACTCCGCGCGTGAAGAACGTCCCGTCGTACAAGAGGTTCCGTGTCGACGACGCCGACTCTGATTCGCCGTTACCCGAGCGCACTCCAGTGACGAGTGTTTCGAACTACGGGCGCAGCAATCTTCGACATGCAAGCAATTTCGACCACGACAACGATGGCGACAGTGACACTGAGGCTCTGCCTTTGATGGCAGCTCCAGTCGATCCGGTACCAGACATACCGCCACCTACAGCTCTGCCCAATATACCACTGCCACCGAGGCCTGTCCGAACCCCACTGCAATCGCCGGCGGTTGGTCATCCTTGTCCATCTTATCATTTCCGAACTGACTGGCGCCCTTTAGCCCATCGTTCCGCCAGCGCCAAGAGTGGCGCCGCCTGTGCCTCCACTCGAGACACGACAGCGAGCTCGCGATCCAGCTCGTCGCAGCATCAGTCGAGATTCAGTGCGGACATTGCCCCCCACACCCACGCCGCCGTACCACTCGCGAAACGGCAGCTCGGCGTCGGGACCCCCGAATTACGCGCCGCCCATTGCCAACGAACCGTCGGGGGACCGCACAAGGTCCGTTCGACGATTGCCGTTGCTACCATCGTAATGTATCTGTAATTATACGCGGACATCATCTACGTTCTTGTGATTCGCAATGAATGTGAGCCATTCATCGAAGTCAAGGACGTTCGCCATCATCCATATATGTTTCGACAGCCATCGAACATGCTGTGAATGCACGCCTGTCTCGCATCGCTCGGAGTGCGAGTCACATCTCGTTAGGGGCGAATGCTACTGTCACGAGAAAATAAGCCCTGGTGTGGCGTTGCGCTTGAGTGCGGCAATCACCGACAGGGTGCGATGCAAAACGACAAAAGTCTACAAGAAAGTACTCTACATATCGGTCTATTGATTAATTGGCACAGGGCCATGATCTACTAATTGCACGGGCTGGAAACGAGATCTCCGTGGAGGAACCGCATCGTTCAGATACATATCAACCGCCTCCGTGTCCGGAGAGCTGTCCCGGAACGGATTCAGGTCAAAGCTCGATTTGGGGACCGGGCTGTCGAGGAGTCGCGATCTCGACGGCAGCCTCGAAGAGACACTGCTGGTCGCAGATAGCGGAAGCAGTGACGAGGGCGGAGGCGAGTCGTAGCGGTCGTCACTTCCGAGACTGCTACTTCTCGGTGTGAGCTGTCGCGAACTTGACAGGGGCGTGACGGGGACTGAAAGTGGCGCGGGCACTCTGATCAGTCCGATGTTGTCCCTGTACAGATTCGCAGTGTTGAAGCCTTCTCTAAAGCCTCCGTCAAAACCTGCCGAAGACCGGGACGTGTGCGAGGCAAACGATCGCCGGCTGTTGGCAAGCAAGGTCAGTGCACATGCTTCGAGGCGAACGCGATCGGCGCTCACTTTGCCTGCACCCGGCCTTCTCGGACGGCCTTATCCCGCTCAAACTCTGACCACCGCTTCATCACAATATGCGAAGAATCAAACTCTCCCTCTTTATCGCCGGTATGCGTCGCATCGCCCTCGATCTTCCGCGTCTGGCCCCACGAAAAGTCATCGAAATGCCAATACGCGTAGGCGGGAAGGATGCCGTTCCAGATCGGCAGACTCAGCAGGTAGATCAACATCCAGCCGACATACGCCACTTTCGTCGAAGTGATGACAATCAGCAGACCGGGCAGCCCGAGTACCAGTGCCAGCAGCACAAGCGACACAGTGTTGTTCGATCCACCGGGCACGATCGAGCTGATGATCAGGTAAAGTGTGAATGAGATTGCCGCGGGAAGCACCAGAGTGCCCAGCAATTCGACCGCAACCATGAACTGCATCGAAAAGCAAAACGTCCCGCACGATTCTCGCACCAAGACAAGCTCAAACAGATTATGCACCGTCGAATTGATCCATCGCCGCCGTTGAGAGAGCAACACGCTGAAGGTGTCGGGGACGATAGTTTTGCAGATGGCTTGCTGACAGAATATATTCTTCCGCTTCGGAAATGTTTTGAGGAGGAGCGTCGTCAGATACCGGTCCTCGCCCAGAAGAAGCAGATTCTTTTTGTGCAACGTGTCGACGACGTTCTCCGAATAATGCTCAATGATGTCCGGATTCGCTAAAATGGGAATCCAGTACCCGGACTGGTCGTTCTTGGGGGCCTTGATGCGATACATGCTAAAGCATCCCGGGAGACAGGAAACGATGCCAAACAACGATTCGAATGCCTTGGTCAAATGGTGCGAGATGTAGTACTCAAACACTGCAGTATTGTCAATGTCAGCGGAGTGCAGCACCACATGCTCAGGGACCTCACCCTGAATCATTGCCACCCAGGAATCCGCCTTGTTGGCGATCTTCGTTTCGCCGCAGAGGCCCATGATGCTGACGTCATGCACCATACACGCCACCATCCGCGACAACGAGTCCGGAAATGCCTTGGTGTCTGCATCGACACAGAGCACGAGCTCATACTTGTCTGGAGAGACACCAGTCACGCCCCAAAGAGCGTTGAAAAACTCGTACTCCAGCGTCGTCATGCGTTCATCGAACATGACCTTCTCCAGGAAGGACATGAGCACCATCTGGCTGTCGCGTTTCCCCCGGTTCCCAGGCTTGCTATCGCCCGCCTCCAGTGGGTTGCCGCATTTGGCGATCAGAACGATCGGGACGCGTTGCTGTTTCGACCGCTCGCACGTCACATCATCATACTTGTAGAAACCGGAGAACACCTTCGCCATGTTGTGTCGTTTGTGACCATCGGCGATCGCAACATACGAATGCGCCGGGACTTCGCTCCAGGTTTGCGTCTCCTTCATCATGGACAGACAGATCTCCGGAGTCGTCAATTCGTTACCAGCACCTTTGACCATCCCATCGGCGATGATCAAAATCACTTTATGCGAGTTGGGATAGTCCGTCGTGGCAAGCGAGTCTAGGGTCGTTCGCATTCCTTCTTCTGATTCCGAGTAGGCGGTGACAAGACATATCGTATGGGCCAAAGCAAAATTGAAGGGCTCGTAATCTGGCGGAGGCTGAGGTACGACACGATGCGACTGGAATGGCAAAGGCGAAGACAGTGTCGGAGTTGAAGGAAAGTTGAGGGACAAAGCTCTCGGTCTCCCGTCTACAGGCGCCGTGCTATATCTTTGCGGAACAGCCATTGAGAATCGGGACTGGGCAGGCAAGAAACTCTTCCAAGGTTTCTTGAGTACGCCATTTTTGCCAACATCCGGTCGATATCTATTGGGCGCAGGCAGATAGATGCCATCTGACCAGGCCTCGATTTCAGCAGCGCGCGTCTTCCTCTCTTCGGCAGTCTCTGCGGGAAAATTCCCGACCTTCCAAGCAAAGAACCACTGATAAAACACAGCCAACGCGAAGCGCAGTGCAACTACACCGATGATGGTGATCAAAGATGCGTATAAGACGACTTTCGAAGCGACGCAGCCTATCGAAGCCGTGTCGATGAATCCGACGCTGATGACGTCTTGCAGACAGCGGCCCAAGGGACGTCGATCCATGCGGTAGAGTGCCATAGTGATATCTTTGTTGCTGTAGACGCTGCCCGGAAGCTTCATGATATCGAACAGCGAGGGATAGTGGACTTGACTTGGGCTCAGCCATGACAACAGCTCCAAGTCCAGAACATGTCTATCAATGTAAGCCGACCGAATACCGGTAATCTGAACACTTACGATTCAAACACAGCAAGATTTCGGCTCCTATTACGAACGTCTGACCAGGTGAAATACACAGGACCCTGTGGCTTGAGGGAGTTCAGTCCAGACCGCGCATTGGTTGGGATGTGGCAAGTAGTCGAGCTTCCGTAGGCCGTGATGTTTGGCGACGTAGTACCATATTGGCTACGAACATTACAGGGAAAGTACCATTGTAGGACATCCCCCGTGGACGCAATACCGGAGTTGGGAGCCTTGGTGATGATACCACGGCAGTTCTAAATAACATCAGCTGTGCTGCACTAAGATAGAAAGCGGATAGCATACCTGGTTGACCTTCTGGAACATGAAAGACGCGTCGTTTCCGCCCAGATTCCAATTGCCGACATACAGCGGATTCTGGCTTCCGTTGAACTCGCCAACGGCCGGGTGGCTGAAGCTCGAGAAATCATAGTCCCAGCCGTTGATCACGACAGACGAGGCTCCAATGGACCCATTTCCAATCGCCCCTCCGTGGAAAGTGTTTCCCCCAGCGTCACAGACGGCCTGGGTAAATCCAAACGTAATGAAGCCCACAAAGGCCATTAGAAGAAGAATAAGAAAGACGAGCCCTAGCTTTTCACGCCATGCGCGCTGTTGCTCGCGTGTGCGCAAGCCTGCAAATGGTCCTGAGTGACAGGAGAGTCGAGGGTGAGGATGTGCGCACCACAGCCCGTCATAGCGGAAATAGGTATCCAGCATGTCAGAAAATAGCAAAATAACATCCATGGGCCTTTTGGACCTGGCGCGTAATCTCCCAGGCAGCCATGTCGAGCAGCGGGGTGTATGGGTGAGGCTGAGCCGGTAGGCTGACGCGATCTGCGTTTTCGACGAACCGTTGTCTTGCGCTTGAACAAACTCAACCCAGACTCGTGTAATTCGACAGATTGGTCGCGTTCCAAGATGGATTTCCCCCGCCGCAGGGCGCCTGTGGATATCGTAATTGTCTGTCGAGAGAATCACGTAGCGACGATGAATCGCACCTCGACCAGAGTAAAACTCCACTGCGCCACTTTCTTTCTCCTCCTCCAATTGCGCGACCCGGTTGTGGTAGTGCCATTGGCGATGTCCTGGGCCGATTCGTTCTCGCTCAGGACGCGCCAAAGAACGCTTTCTTGTCACGTGACTGGCTTCCCCGGCCTCCGCGGCCTCGTCGTTCAAGGACAGAAAACCGATTCGGGACCCACTGCGGGACGGGTCGTGTTGAAAGGACACCGACGGGCCCAGGGCCTCTTCCATGTGAGAGCAGGACGACAACCGGAATTTAATTTCACATAACGATTAGGGGCATTTTGAAAGCTGTGACATCATCGAAACACCCAAGTTATGTTGTAGGTCAGGTCAATACACATAGGGAATGATACGGTACGGTACGAGTTTCTTGTACTTCTCCCAATCCTTTCCGTACCTGGGGAATGTTAGCCTCCAAGTTCATAGCGGAGCGAGGCGAAGACTGACTTTTTCTCGCACATTTCATCGTCGCGGCGTTGACGATGAACGAGAAGAACAGCGAAATAGATGACGTAGAAATAGGTAATGGGCGTGCTGAAACCAGTGGGCAATGACCAAGCAAGCGCCATCAGAAGATCACCCCTAGCACACAATGAGAGACAGAAAACGGCGAAACACATGCGGCATACATGTAGTTGGGATGTCTGGAAGCGCCCCACCAGCCAGATGTCAGCAGCTTCGTACCACGTTCAGTAGGCATATACTGGAGATCTGGAAAGACATTGGATAAATAATGTTAAGCAGGAAGCGCTGGCTACTCACTCTTCGGGTTCTTGCCGTTCCTGAAGTCGTTCTTCTCGCCGTTGGCAGCTCGGAAAATATAGTAGCCCAATCCGTTGACGAGGAAAATGGCCGCCGTAAGCCAGGGACCCAAAACTATCGGGTTGAACACGAGATAGCGGGCCTGCAACGAATACACAAATGGCACCCAAGCAAGATCGCCCACCGACAGCATGAATCCAAATCCGTCTGACGTGATGTCCATTTGTGTAAAAATCCCAGACTGAAGAGAAGTCATCAGAGACTGGATGCACAGCGATGTGTCACGCACCTCGTTGTAGAGTGCGTCAACAACATAGGCGCCTTGGAAGAATAAAACAAGCCACATCGAGTCGGTGACTTGATTGATTCCCCCGCGGCGTACAGCCTGTTCACAGGCCATGCTGATATCAATGAGTACCCAAAGAATTAGCCCGGGCCGCAGTTCGTTGAAGGTTTTCAAATCAAACGTTCCCCAGGACATCGGGTTCAATTCGCGGCCGATGTAGAACTGCAGAACTCGTTTGTTTCATAAGCCCGCAAAGTCAGGGAGGATAACCCACGTCATAAATGAAGTTACCACTGTTCCCACCGAGGGCGAGAATGGCGCCGGGACGGAAGGATGCCGCGTAACATGCGACAGCTTGCACAACAGACATGAGGATGGACGCCGTGATGAAGCCAACAAATTTGTCATGGAATATAGTGAAAGACTGAGGACCGAAACGGTAGATCAGTCCGCCGACTACACCCAAGGCAAGCTGGCCTGTAGCGAATGCTAAAACATTCTTCTCAGAACACCGAACGTCAGAAAGAAGGAACATAAAGGTCGTACCATTAATTTTATAGGTTTTCCTTCCCCCAGTGCGCAGTTCTGTTCCCTCGACAAGATCTCCGGGAAGGACGAGCCACGCGAGAAGTGTGGAAGCATACCACGCCAGGTATAGCAGCATCGCCTGGGTGTCCCATAGTCCCTTCCAGAACGCCGGATCGGAGATAGCGAGCGATATTTGTTCAGGTACCAAGCTGAGAGACGGGGGACAACCGCCGGATTGCTCGGAGCAACCAAAGTAGAGAGCGTAGGTGGCGATGGGAACACCCACAGAGATCAAGAAAGCGCCTGGAGGCCCCAGAAATTCGTAGGAGGTAGTGCGTGGATTTAATTCGGAAGCCATGTTAGTGGAGAGTTGGTCGAAACAAAGAAGAAAGTGGTGTGGTCCAATGTATACACGCCTCGTACGAGATGACGCGTGACCGTAGTTTCATAAGGGGATCCGACTCCGAAATCGTGACGCGTCGGGTCACGCGTCATGAGCGCGTTGGAAGGACTTCCCCATTGGGAGCGAGTCGGCAATACCAAGCTCATCAACGTTCTTTCTGTTCTACCAAGTAACATCTTAAACATGCTCTGTCTTCTCCGTGATCTATTCCTGCGACGCCTTCCTCATCCCTCTCCCGTATCACCGGGCCTTGATGATCACCAGTCGCTTTGCCCCTAACAGCCGCTTTTCTCTCTCGCTCACCTCTCCTGTTCCCATCTCTTTCATGAGCGACCCTCTTGCTGTACAACTCAACGATCTTGCTACAGCAAACTCCGACGGTCTTCTCAAGTGGGTGATCAGCCAGCTGCAAGTGAATTGTCGCTGAGATTTCTGAGCAAATAGTGAAGAGGAATATCGCCTCCTGCGTCAGAATTTATTTGAACGGTACGCCGGAGGGACTGAAGTGCCCTCCGTCAATACTTCTTTCTCACTGAAGCCTCGAACTATCGGTATGTTCGTCACTAGTCCCTTGACTTTCTCAAACCCCAGGGCGGATCAGAACCCACTTTGAAAAGAGTCGAGTTCGTGCAGCAAACACCTTCAAGACCACCCCATCACCGTTCCAAGCTCTCTGGGGTTGCACTGCTCCTTCGACGTGCTGCCAGTCGCAAGGCGGTGCCGGGTCCTTCCTCCCCTCCCAATGTCATCAGATTGAATCTATTTCCACGAGTGTTCTCCAAAAGGCGGGCCGACGAATCTCTAGACAAACCAAGGTCCTCTGCCGAAATGAAGGGAGCATCCAGCCCAACTCGTCTGTCACAACCCAAGGACAAGTTCGATATATCAATGGCATCTCCATCGAGATCTGCATATGCGACTCGTCCATCGAACGATGTGATCCCGCAGGTGAACGTCGACACATTCGACGACAGCAATCTGCACACGGCTGAGGACATTCAGAAAGCCATTTATATCGTCGAGGAAGAGAGCCGTCGCCTGATTGCGGCCTTCAATAACCTCGAAACCAGTGCAGTCATACGATATCGGCAATTGCACTCAAGCTCGCCTGCTTCTAATCACCGGCCGCAGCCTAGCCTGTCTCGCTCTCGATCAACTATCTATCACATGTCCCCCAGATCAACATCTGTGCCAGACACCCAATCTGTGCGATCTAGCAGTTCTCTTCGGACTACGAAGTCGACAGCATCCCTGTTCCAAGGCGCTGAGGTCCCCCCCTCTTCTTTACCCCGTACAACCTCAAAGATAACCCGCAAGGGATCCATATCGTCTCTCTCCTCCTCGTTTCTCAGTGTTGGGCGCTCGGCAGTTGCCGGGCTGAGCCACAACCGTTCTGTGTCACATGCCAGTCACAGCGCTACCCACCTCCCCCTCCGCACCGCCGGAACAATGATGGAGATACTCAATCCAAACACACCGCTGGGAGAAGGCGGCGGCGAACTTGCTGACGTCCGCCGGAGACGACAGGAAGTGATGGACAGGTGCGAAGCCCGGCTGAGCTTTCTGCGCGCCAAGTTGAAGAGTATCGAGCTGCGCGCGAAACTGATGCGGCACTGACCTCCATGTTTACGACATTCCATGTCATTATTTACTAGGTTCCATCGGGAAGAAGTGGTGTATTAGTGCGACTGTAGCGACTCTGACACACAAAACAAGAGGTACCAGAGCAAACAACAACAGGAGTGTCCAAATACGGGTATATAGGTTGATGGAAGTATGATTACCAATGCCATGTCATGAATGTATCCAAACGCACGAGTTCTGGACGAGCCGGCGGCCAGACCTTGTCAAATAATCTAAAACGAGATCTACGCGTATTTCTTGATGGCATTCAAGTAAGTCTGCCCGGATTGCCTGCAGACGAATCAGCCGCTGCCAACCGCAGGAGCAAAGAACTTACGAGAAACCGCCGCTGGGACTCTTCATGGGCCAAACCGAGCCAAGACCCTCACCATTACTACAGCCGATCAGACACGACCACAAGACAGGCACACCATGTCATACCTGTAAGCGTAGGCAGCGACACGACCATCCGACTCAAACAGATCGACAATGTCGTTGATGAACTGGTTGATTTGGCCTTGGTCGGTACACGGAGTGAAGCCCGTCGAGTCGTCCACACAGGCAAATTCGGTGATCCAGAGAGGCTTGTTACCATAGGTGTTGTAGTAGTGGTCAAGATCAGCCTTAACGCCAGCCATGTTGTTCTTGTTGATGTGAACGTTCGTGTAGTCCCAAGGAGTGGAGATCTATGTGATAAGATGGTCAGTCAGGATCGCAGAAGAAACCAAGTCACATACCTGCTGAGAGAACTGCTTCAGCCAAGTCTCCGCCACTTGATGACACATCGACGGGCTGATGAGCTTGGTGCCCTTGGACTTGAAAGGTGCAATGTGCTGCTCCCAACCGCTCACACCTGAGCCTACGTCGAAGCCAGCGGAACCTCCACCTGCCGGGCAGTCAGGTTCTTCGAATCCGATGAGGTACTAGAATAAATATCAGCCATGTACTTGGCCAATAAATGCTCCTCATTTCTACCTCAGGGGCTTTGGTGAGCCTGGTGAAAGCTTGCAAACGAGCCGAGTCAGTGCCGTCAGCGGAGCCAAGACCCCAAAGCATGGGAACTGCGAGAGCAGAGCCCGATTGCTGAGGGTTCGGGGTCCTGGATCAAGGTTCAACATTTGGCTTCTGACTCCAAAAAAAACAAGCATACCAATCATACCACCAGCCGAGGTGGGGCATCAGGGTGGACAAGAAATCCCCTGAAGACGTTCCGGCCTTCTTGCCCCAAGGAGTAGCGCCCTGAGCCGCCTGCGACACAGCCGAGATTTGGGATCCGGAGTCGGTAGGCGCCGCTTGCTTGGTAGAGGTGGTCGAGGTCGTGTGGTGCGTAGACGTGGTAGATGTGGTAGACGTCGTGGTGTGCGTGGAGCTAGTGCTCGTTGTCGTCGGAGTGCTGCTCGTGGACGTGGTAGTCGTGGACGAGGCGGTGGTTGACGGCACTGCAGACGAGGAAGAAGCAGAGGAGGAGGAGGAGGAAGAGGGGGGTTTGCATGAGCCACGACGGACCATGCGCCGTTCAGGGTTAGCGAGGCGCGAGTGAGCATGGCGCACATGGTTATGGCTGGCAACGGATTCCCCAGCCAAAACGGTTAGCACCAAAAGTGCCTGTAGGGATTTCCAGGAAATCATTGCGCCAGGTAAACGAGTGTGAGTTGAGGATGTCCTCGAGAGACGAGAGGTCGTGGAGAGAGGAAGAGGAGACGAACAACAATCACGAACAAACGCCAAGCTGATAGCGGTGGTCAAACACGGCCGAACCTTTTTTCTGTTTTGATTGCGATCGGCACGTCGTACTTAAGTATGTATGTACATGATGTGCCAATGGTCATTGTCCCAAGAAGTTATTGGCACCCCTTATTCGCGTCTGGCCCATGGGAACAATCAACGACTACGATTGGGATGAACGTATGCTAAGGGCCTCCCAGAGTACAATAGGATCTGCCCATTTCTCACTCGTCATCTGATTCTGCGCGCTGAATTTCAGACAAAAATGCGCCGTCCAAGGGGCCTGTTCCAAGCAATCAGCGATCACCGCCGATCTACTTGAGACGATACGCACGTGCAGTGAAGTTCCCTGTGTGCTTGCCGAGGTAGGCGGACACGATAGGGCTCGGAGTATTCACAGAGGTCGTGGAAGATAGCAGTGTGTTTGTAGATGCTCCTGGCGCCATTGAATAATGCATGCTTTTGGTTGGTGTCGATAGCGGAGAGGGCGGATAGCCAGTTGAAGAGCGAAGCACAGACCCTGCCGTGCTGAAAGAAAATGCTTTCTGGGGCGACGGACTCGACTAGGCACTGTAAATTTCACCATTGATGGAGTATATCACGGAACAGCCTACATTGGTTGAAAGCCGCAACACACGCTGTGGGGTGGGGGGAGCCATTCGAAGATTCTTCACTTTGGCTGGCGTAGGGGGGAGCGGCGCGCGAGGGTATTTGACTGCATACACCGATTGCAGAATATTGAACGCCAATATCGTCGCCGTCGCGACTTCTGTGATTTCTTCTAGCCGCGGAAAACGCAAGTAGATCTCTGACACACACACCTATCGTGCAGAATGTGGAGTAAAGCCAGTCATTCGAACCCCATATACTACGCCTCCCATATATTGTGACAGCTAGCGCAGTCGGCAAAGCTGGAATGCGTGGCACGAGTGTCGACAATATGGCAAGAGCGAGCAGAGCGAAGGAGTTCCTCCTGATGCGAAGAAGCGCTTCGGTGCTATGTGGTTTGAGATAGTCTGAGATGGGATGCATGTCAAGCTCGAGATATTGATGCAATACCGTTAAAGAGAGCTGCGACTAGATGCCAAGTGGAGAACTTGGTCGCGGTCGCAAGGGACACGCGGCCACGTGATCACGTGGCAATGATGTGCGAAGGTACACGGCTGATTCATTGCGTTCTTTTGGATGTCTGACTACTCTAATCTATGAGCGTATGATAACACGCTATAGACGAAATCATTATGCTACAGAGATGCGGCCACATCTAGTGCCTTCTGGGCATCATGGATCAAATCCTCAATGTCTTCTACACCGACACTCATCCGAACTAGTCCTCCTGTGATTCCACGTTCCTCGCGTTCCGCCTTGGGAATAGTGGCATGAGTCATCTGAGCAGGATGTTCCGCCAAGCTGAAGGGTGTTCAAAGGGCGATTCAATATATGGGGTGAGATCACACACCTTTCGACGCCACCGAGACTTTCAGCAAGCGTGAAGATTCGCAACTCAGCCAGAAACTTCAGGGCTTGTGGTTCCGTCCGCAATCTGACGCTGACGATTCCACTGTACGGGAAATCGCCTTCGCCGTTCGCACCGACGTCGGGATACTGCTTTTGAATCCACCGCCGAGCGTGTGGACTCAAAGCACGCCAGGCAACGGCATGGCGCCTGTGAGAGGCGAGGCCCGGGTAGATGACTTCCTCGACGATGGGATGATTTTGTAGCACTTGGGCGAGCCGCAACGCAGATGAGCCAGCCGCCTGCATCCTTAGTTGCAGAGTCTTGGCACCTCGCTGGGCGAGATAACAGTCAAACGCAGAGGGAACGGCACCGTGTGCATTTTGCAGGAAGGTCAACTTGGACAGAAGAGGGGAGAAGGGGGGGAGGATGGCAGCACCAAGTAGTGCATCGGAGTGGCCGTTGATATACTTGGTCAGCGAATGCAAGACGATATCCGCTCCCGGTAGAGTGCTTCCGTCGTCCAATTGGATAGGGAGCAGTGGCGATGCATAATACGGCGATGAGAATGTGCTGTCTACGAGCACCAGCGGCCGTGTTGTGGGGAAGTTCTGGCCTGCAATCACGTCATTGTCTTGAGAGTATATTTCAGACAGCAGTGCAGATATTTCTGGCAATGACGGCAAGAGAAGCAGAGGATTTGTCGGTGATTCCAGCCAAATGAGCTGAAGAACTATGAATGAATGGGATAACACAGAGGGAGATCCAGCCCGAACCTTGGTATTGCGCTTCAAAGCCGCGCGGATCTGGTCCACACTGCCTTCAGGATCTATCCAATCGACCTGTAGTCCGGATAGCTCTTCCGCGACCCGTTTCATATAGCGCCATGTGCCTCCATAGACATCGCTGACAGCGATGATGTGAGCGTCCGTACCCATGGCTTGTATTACGGTAGCCGTCGCAGCACTGCCAGACGAAAAAGCGAGGGCGTCAGCTCCACCGATCTCTATTGAGGCAAGCATGGCTTCCAGCGCAGCCCGCGATGGGTTTTGCGATCGAGAATACTCGAAGCCCTTGTGGATCCCGACGCCGTCTTGTTTGAAGGTTGTGCTCAGGGAGATAGGAGGGATGACAGCGCCGGTGTGGCTGTCTGGCTCGGAGCCGACATGAACCGCTCTGGTCGCGAAACCCCATGTCGACCCGTTGTGCTTCTGGGTGCTGCCATTCGTGCTTGGAGTCAAGCCGTTCGTTATTCCAACCATGATTATCGTGGTGCTTGTGAATGAGAGTGGGATGAGCTGTATCCTCGCGACAAGGAAGCTTATAAAGACCTCTGAAAGACTCGGACACGGACCTAGGATCAGATTCCCCGCGCACGCGCACGCGATCTTACACAATAATGATGGGAGTCACGCCGAATTACAAACACGGCCCTCCGTTCCGAAGTGACCTTAGAATCGGATTCGAGTGAAGATGCACTACTAGTACTGCTTACAGTAAATGGATATACGGATGACCATAGGTCAAGTCGTCGTGGATCGACAGCTATTGAATCAAGATCATCCACGCTAAAATAAAGTAGAAGAGTCTATGGAAGGTCAGAGCGGAGTCGAAGAATCAGGGATGAGCGCACAGCAAAGGATAAACAGCGAGCAGGATTCTCTGCGGCTCAATTTGAGTGCCATCCAAAAAGTTGACGGAGGCTGAGTGAAGAGTCAGTGGTCACAGGAAAGTGTACTAGACTAGTCTCACCCCAGATGCACCATGCCCAAGCGAGAAGAGCGATCGGAGCTCTGATGTAAATGACCCGGACAAAACAACCCACGAGAGCGGCTATGTTGAGTGGTGCGATGCAATATCCAAGAACACAAAGGCCCTGGAAAAACGATCTGTGAATACGGTCATCAGTTGGAAACCAGAACAAGCGAAAGAGACGCATACACTCTGCCCCCTAAGAGCTGATATGAAGTTGATGAGAGAGGGAAAGGACAGAGAAGAATGACAGAAACCTTTGCTTGCACCGTCACGGTCAATGCACCAATAGAACAGATAACAACAACACTGGTAAAGATATTGAGGGATTGAGCTTTTGGTGCCTACAAGCAATGAGAGTCGTCCAGAAAGAAAATCCGCTCATACACTTATGCTCATCATTGTACCAAGCAGAAGACATAGGATCAGAGGACCCCATAGATCCCAATCCCTATCGGGGACGCGTTAAAGCACATTCGAAAAACTTCTTTGAACGAACGAACCGCAGCACTTCACGACTGGTGCTTTTCCGAGGATAGAGAACTTGCACGAGCTTGGTGTATATGGAAAGCAAATCTCGGCCCTGAAAGCAAAGTTCGACTGAATCCTCGGCCACCTCGAAATAAGCTCACAATGGTCTTGGAAACCGGTTCGTCGAGTGTATCACCTCCTGCGTATCTTGATACCATATTCAAGACTGAACTGGTTTTCCCGATTGAAATGACGCGTACCGTCTCTCCACCTGAAGTCCGCCGACAGTTGAACGCGCCGGGCGCGTAGGTCCGCTTCCTATATTGCCAGCAAGAGAAGGGCTAGCTAGTCCATTGCCTGAAGAAGGAGGAGCAAATTGTCCGAGCTCTGTGACGCGTCCTTTGCCTTTAGGCAAAGGGGCAGGAGATTGAGGTAGCGTTGGGTGTGAGAAACCTGGAATGCTATCCTCATCGAAGTCGTCGTCGTCTCCGGAAGCAACTGAGTGACTTGAGAGTTCGGGTGTGGAGAAATTTACCAGCTTCGATGAATTGGGAGTTGGAGGTGAGAGGAGTTTGCGGAAGGCCAGCCATTGTCGGGCGTGAAGCAAAGCACTGATGCCAGCACTTCCTTGTCACGGTACATGTGACGAAGCTTGTGTCACACACTTACGCGTCGCGACTCTCACCACAACCTCATTCCCGGTCTTTCTATCTGCTCGATATGGTGGGATTCTTCTCGCGTTTTCAAGTGTCGAGTACCGATTGCGCCACAGGGAAACGCTGCTTCCGGTGGTCTGCCTCCGCAAGATGGCGCTCAGAACCCTCAGAACAACAAAGACAAGCCTGCGAAGGAGGAGAAGAAGAAATGGGAGCCACCTCTACCCACGCGAGTAGGAAAGAAGAAGAGGCGGGGTCCTTCTGCAGCCTCCAAACTCCCTGCCGTTTATCCAACCACTCGTTGTCGCTTGAAACTACTGAAGATGGAACGCATCAAGGATTATCTGCTTCTGGAGGAAGAATTTGTTCAAAATCAGGAGCGCCTCAAGCCTGAAGCCACGCGTGAAGAGAAGAATGAAGAAGATAGGTCCAAAGTCGATGATCTGCGTGGTACTCCCATGTCGGTTGGAACCATGGAGGAAATCATCGACGACGACCATGCTATCATTAGCACCGCTACCGGCCCCGAATACTACGTTCCTATCATGTCTTACGTCGACAAGGAGCTCTTAGAACCGGGATGCGCAGTTCTCTTGCACCACAAGAACCAAGCTATCGTCGGCGTGCTCGACGATGACGCGGATCCTCTGGTTAGCATCATGAAACTGGATAAAGCCCCTTCGGAGAGCTATGCAGATATCGGTGGGCTTGAGACACAGATTCAGGAGATTAAGGTAGAGCATCACCTTTTCTCTGGTCCTTTGTACTCACTCTCCTACCTAGGAATCCGTCGAACTCCCGCTGACTCATCCCGAATTATACGAAGAAATGGGAATCAGGCCTCCGAAGGGCGTCATTCTGTACGGTGTTCCCGGCACTGGCAAGACATTGCTCGCAAAAGCTGTAGCAAACCAAACATCAGCTACTTTCCTTCGTATCGTTGGGTCGGAGCTTATACAGAAGTATCTGGGTGATGGCCCCAAGCTTGTCAGAGAGCTATTCCGGGTTGCAGAAGAACATGCACCTAGTATCGTTTTTATTGACGAGATCGACGCGATTGGAACCAAGCGGTACGTCCCTCGTATCACTCCTGAAGAACAAGCCTGTTTACTCGACCCAGATACGATTCTACTTCGAGTGGTGAACGCGAAATCCAACGGACAATGCTGGAACTCCTAAATCAACTGGACGGTTTCGATACTCGTGGCGATGTCAAGGTCATTATGGCGACAAACAAGATCGAGTCGCTGGATCCTGCTCTCATCCGGCCTGGTCGAATTGATCGCAAGATTGAATTTCCCTTACCAGATGTCAAAACTAAGCGTCATATCTTCAAGTAGGTGTTCCCTCTTGGGTTGTTCCATGGTCACTGACGTGTATCTGCGTTTTAGGTTACACACATCTCGCATGAGCCTAAGTGAAGACGTTGACTTGGAGGAGTTGGTTATGACCAAAGATGATCTCTCTGGTGCCGATATCAAGGCTGTTTGCACGGAAGCTGGCTTGCTCGCTCTACGGGAGCGTCGCATGCGTGTAACCAAGGCCGATTTTACATCCGCTAGGGAAAAGGTTCGTTCACCCATTTGATTAGGATTTTGGTCTCAATCGTTGCAGGTTCTCTACCGGAAGAATGAAGGGACGCCGGAGGGTCTATATCTGTAGTCTCATTACTACTTACTTGAACATGTAATTCCAGCTTTGTCATGATTCGCCAGTATCGATCAGAGGATGACCATATGCGTCACTTTCAGATATCCATTTCTGTTTTACCCCTCTGGTCCTCACATACTAGTCAATCAGCCAGCCCTTTCACTCTCTTGACCTGCAGAAAGAATTGAGAATCAGATGGCTGTCTCGGATTACTTTTGGTTCGATGACGGATCGCTCATCTTGGAGATACAATCGAAGAGGTTCAAGATTCATCGGACTCTACTCACAAGACATTCGCCGTACATCTCTTCTCTTCTTCAGAATGCCGTGCCGACGATGGCAGAACCGCAGGCAGTTGTTATAGACGCATCGCGGGACACGTCGGCTGAAGATTTCGAGGTCCTGCTCCAGCATCTGTACCATGACTTGTGAGTCCGGTGTACCTCCCTTAATCAAGTCGCTACTCCCCATATGCCATTCCTCGGGATTGTTCTTCTATCTTCCGATGCTAAGATCTCTTTGAAGCCCAGTCACGGTAGAAACCCCATTCCCTCGCATCGCCGCTATCGTTCGCATCACATCTCCTGGACAGTTGGTGCGACCATCAGCTTGTTGTGCCGAAGACACAAAAACGCATTGCTACTGTACAGCATTTCCCCTCCTTGCATGACGTTTCCTTGCGATACTTTGCCTCGCTGTTTCCGAGCGGACCCACTCCGTTCGTGCACCCGCATCCGTTAGAGGAGGCGCTGGATCTGGCCACCGCCTTCGAGGTGACTTCTGTGCGTCCTCCATATCTGACGGTCCCAGGTCTGAACGGATCGACTTTCCAGATCCGGAAGGGTCTCTACTACAGTCTAATGACTTCGACCGACTTTGACACTGGGCCTGCCTCATCGGACTTTGTTACGCACTCCGGAACAGAATCAGATACTCAGGCGCTATCCGCAGTGGCTGAATCTGCGGAGCTTCCTGGAAAGGTGCCCTTGGACATCTACAGACACACACTCTCTGCCAAAGACGCCCAAGTCTGTATGCATCTGATGACTCAATTCATAGAGTACTTCACCCCTGTGCTTTTCACGCCCCCTGCGACTGCGCACATGGCATGCACCGATGTTTTCGCAGACACGTGGCTCAGGTTGGTCATTGAGCCAGCGCTTGGGAACGAAGGGGTGTACAAGCCCCTCGAAACGCTGGAGAACATCAAGCACATCGACTGGGCCAAGCACGGTCTGTGCGAGGTTTGTGTTGTGGACAAGATTGCGGAGTGGTCCGAAGAGCAACACACAATATGGCGACTGATGGACGGATGGCTGCATGCCTGAACCCAGTGCCTGGCACTTTCCGTGCGTTTTCTCGCACCCAGATCGCTTGCAGGCTTCATCTGAAGGATATTCGCGCAGGAATCACGACTGTATTAGACCATGCGCCAATAAATGTATGCATTTGAGTTCGAAAGCCGCTCTTCGTTCTGTTCCAGGTCGAACAAGCCCCGTCCCACCTGATTCTCGCAGGATTCTTAATCAATTCTCTAATCCTGACGAATATATCGGTTCATCAACTGTGAGCACCGACTCCCGAATGCCATTGTCGAGCAGAAGTGCGATTATCTGCTCTGCGAGAACCTCTCTCCTTCGCCTGAGATGCTGATAAGCAACGATTGGTTCTCTAGTGGTCACCAATCTGCGCTCCAAGTTCAGGACAAAACGCCACAAACACCAAGACCCGGATCATTCGCTTTCTCTCTATAGCTCTACAAGGAGATTAGCAACTCAAAAGAGAGATGGGCAATCCGCATGTTGGTAGGACCGAAATCCTGCGCTATCTCCGTGGAGAGAAATCCTCTCAAATGACTCGACTTGTGCTGGCTGTGTGTACTGATTTGTGCGTCCACCGCGAATTTGACTTTTCTGCAAATCATGTGGCGGCTTATGGATGCAGCATCTACAGCATCTTGCGAATATGAAATGTCCCGCACTTGAAATACCGACGCGCTCCTTGGTTTCTTCCAACTTCATCAGAACATTCCCGTGGAAGGTCTTCGATGGACTCAGTCGACTCGACTGCTGGTAGTCCACGACCCCCCTCGCAATTCGCAGACCAAGTCGGAAAGTTCCAGTGGGGTTCGTTTTTGTTCACAGGAAGGAAGGTTACGTCCTCTGGACCACCGAGAACGCACACCACGAGATGGCGGCCCTTCTCGAACTCGTGTTCTCGTAGCGGCATAGCAAGAGACCGCCTGTCTGACTTCATCTCAAGTCAGTATCACCAACTGCCGGTTAGGACATTATCGGTCATTATGCCTCATATTCCGGTCGAATGGCATTAGGATATATGCTGTGAGCGAGCCTTTCCTCGCGTCCTCCAAAGGTCAGATTTACATACCTAGCTGGATTCATCGTCCGACATCCGCTGGTGAGTTGCATGTTGATAATCGCAAATTGAACGCTCACACCACCAGGTTCTCTGTGCCGCCGCATTTTCGTGGACAGATGATCAACCGCCGCTTCTCATTATGTATTCACTTTCGATCTGCGCACAATGTCCTTCTTTCTCTCTCGCCAATTTCCCTCGACGCGAAACCACGTCTGGGGGCAGGGGTAGCAACGGCCAAGCAACTGAAGTCGCGAACAGACTCCTCAATCGGTTCGCGACAGTGCCTCAGCCAGTGGGCGTCTTCAAGAGAGGCCCCGCCGTATGCGGCTTGTACAAGCCTTCACTGGCGGCGCCGGAAACGCTGGCGGAGAAACGCAACAGTGTCCGATCAACTGCAGTGTCCGGGGGAGTGCGCTGGCGACTGGTCGCGTAGGTAAAGATTTCCGAGACAAGGCTTCCGGCGCGGACAACTTTACAGAGCAAGGCTATTTGGGCCCCTGGAACGCCTCGGAAATGCCGAGTCATAGTATGTGACGGATCAATCAGCGCATTGGATGCTCAGGCTGAGCGCGAGATCCTTAGACATATTCAGGCCGAGGCGATCGACAAGATTGTCGTCGTCACCCACAGGTTCGAATGTCCTGTATGAGAGGCGGACCTCGTCCTGTCGGTCCCAGGATTTCCACACATCGTATACATGTCGCGATGTTACTTTGCAGGTCACGCAGGATGGCAGGATAGTCCACGTGGCTCCCACATTCAGTTGATGCACGTGGCAGCGAAATGTCAGAGCTGAGAGCGGTCTGTCTACTGGTTGTCCATGCCGCGAATACATGGAGATGTTGGATGCGCAGGCGACATTTCAAGAGAACACATTTCTAATATCTTATTCTCTTGATCGGTACATTACATTCACAGATCATTATGAGCTTGAGCTTCGAATGAACCCACCAGAGATCTTAACCTCACCGGCCAATTATTTCCAAGATCAGGGTAGGCTTGAATTGCTCGCCAAAGTTGCAAGGATGCTCTGCGTCAAAAGAGTGACAGCACTTTTGGGACAAAGCGCACAATTGCAAGTGTGGTGACTGTGACTGTGACCTCAAAAATGACATGCAATATACTCGATCGCAGACATTGACATGAAAAGAAGGGGCTACGACACCGAAATTTTATTGTCCACCTTGCGTGGCGAGTGCGAGGGCCAAGTTCAGCCACAAAAACAAGAGAAGAATGCCACACGGAAGAGGAACAATGTCCTTATTTGTTGTAAACATACTATAAACAGACATCAACTTGCAAGCGCGTGTTGAACGCTTTGCCCTCAGATCTGAATGCACCCCGACCCTTCGACGCGACTTTGAGCTCACCAACTTTATCCTCTGCCACCATCCGTCGAAACTCCCGAGTGCAAACCTTGTTGCTATTGCATGTCATTTGCGGGCACACCTTTAGGTCAAGGCAGACGTCTCGATCACAACGCTTTTCTGGGCAAACCACAATCTTCGCGTCTCAACAGTCATACCTCTTACGCCTACGGGTGCGGCTGCCACCCCTTGGCCCTTTTCGACTCTCTTTGGCTGACTCCTCGTCCAGGGCACCAGCATTAGGCTCGCGGTCTCCACCCAAACCGCCTCGCCCCGAAGATCAGAGCGAAGGCGCACTCAAATTGCGACGCGGCACATCCCACACTTCCGATAATCAATCTCAGCCACTCGAGCCCGAGAAGTGGAGTGTCAAGGACACCTCGGTTAACATCGCAGCAGCCTTCCACCAGGCTGCGACTGACATGCAGCCCAACAATGCCTGGGCGTCCGGGACGTCACGCACCCAAACCCAAGTCCCTCGGAGCACATCCGTCGAATACGAATCACAATCACAATCTGCTAGTGCGCGCAGGCTCGCGGCACCACCCAGCAGAGGCAACATTCGACCCCCAGCGTCTCGCACTAACCCCAAGCCCCTCTCCAAGAACACCTCCTTGCGAAGCGTTCCAGACTCTGAAGGCGAGGAAGACACCTCCGCGGACGTCAGTAACCGCGACAGCACGCCGTTTGGCCAAGTCATGGGCGCTGCTAAGCGGGCCATCATGCCAGCGGCGAACAGTGTCGTCTATTACGCACGAGCCCGTTCGACAGAGCCCGATGCCCCGGTCTCGGTGAACGGCAGCTACGACTACTCGGCCGAGGAGCGTGCCGTGCAAAACCTGAGCACCCGCTCATCCGCGAGTCACAAGCGCAACCGAATGTCTACGGACAACAAGGCGTACAAGCCCTCGACGTCTGACCTGGAGGAATCAGACGAGGAGTTCACCGATGATGATGGGAAGAAGAAGCGGAAAAAGAAGAAAAAGAAGGAGGCGGGGGGAGGACCGCTGACGACCCTTCCTGTGGCCGGATACGATAAGAGGAGGAAAAAGAAGAGGACGGCCAAGGGCGGAAATGCCGAGGAGGAGGACGAGCAAGGCTCTGGGAGTGACTCTCAGCATACTGAACGGGTGCGTAAAATAACCTCATCCCATTATCTCATCTCTGAACTCCTTGGTGCAGCAGTCGATTGTCAAAGCGCCCTCACTAAGGCGCTCGGTTCCGCCTGAATATCTAGAGCCTGTCCCCGACACCTCGTTCGAGGACGCCGAGCAGGGTCTTCATTCCATTCCCGAGGTCGACGAGGAAGATGTTAGAGCCTCCGCTCCTCCACGATCTCGATCTCGATCTCGATCCAGAGCACCATCCACTGGACCCCGAGGGTCTCACTTCAGTATCGGTGCTGTCCTGGGCAAGATTATCTTCTCCCTATTCAACATTTTCGGGCGTGTCATGGGCACTGTCGTGGACCTCATTCTGATACGACCACTACGCTGGGTAGCCAACAATCCCATACTCCAAGTTCTGCTTATCGCCGCTATCGCCTTTGTCGCATCTCAGTTTGTACCCAATTTCGGGCTGCGCATGCCGTGGGGAGGCAGCCCAGTCTATCAACCTTCTGATGTCCCAGCGAGCACAATCGCAGAGATAGCTGAACGGCTCAGACGGATGGAGCTTGCGCTTTCTGGCCTGTCTTTGGACTCGGAAAGAACGCGGGCCAAGTTGGATGACGAGCTGCGTGTCCAAACGGAGCTGGCCACAAAGTTCGGTTCCTTGGAGACACGCGTGGAGAAGGAAAGTGCCAGGACCCATGAAGCCGAAAACGCTGCACGAGATGCCACCGGCCACAGCCTCAAGACGATGAAGAAGGACATGGAAACGATGCAGGCTCTGCTGCAAGCGGTGCAAGGCCAGAGTCAGCAACCGCACGCTGGAACGGTCACCGTCGAGCACGACGTCGAGGCTCGCGCCAAACTGAAGATTCTCGAAGACCGCGTTGGATCTGTCGAAGGCGGGGTGAGAGACGCGATGGATCTGGCCAAGAAGTCCGCGACCAATCCCGGATCGGGATCGCCAGCGTCAACTGGCTGGTGGAACAAGGCTACTGGTAAAGGCGGAATGACCATCAAGAGCTCAGATGGCCAGGATGTGACTGCTCTGATCTCCGATCTCGTCACGAACGCAGTGGGATTGTATGGCAAGGACAACCTTGCCAGGAAGGATTTCGCGCTATACTCGAGTGGGGCACAGGTCATCCCTTCGCTGACATCGGAAACCTACCAGTTGCGACCTCAATCATTGCGCGGAAAGATCGTCGGTACTATCACGGGAAATGGCTACCTTCTCGGTCTTCCGCCAGTCACAGCGCTCCATTACGATATCCATGACGGCCATTGCTGGCCAATCCACGGGAGCTCTGGCAAGATTGGTGTCAAACTTGCAGCCCCCGTCCACATCCAAGACTTCACAATTGATCACGTCGCGGCGGAGAACTCGATCAATCAGCGGACCAGTGCTCCCCGTGATATGGAGGTCTGGGCACTGGTCGAAGGTGCAGATAATCTCGCCAAGCTCAAGGAGTGGCGTGATGAGCGGGTCGCCCGTCGCGAAATGGGAGAGAACCTGGAGGAGGAACCTGTTCGGCCGAAAGACATGCCCAGATACCCCGAATATATCCGAATCGCGACGTTCCGATACGATGTCCATGCCGCCAGCAACATCCAGACCTTCTCGATGGACGAGGAGATCCGGGGACTGGAGATGGACTTTGGCATTGTTGTCTTGCGGGTTATGAACAACTGGGGTCACGAGCATTTCACTTGTTTGTACCGTTTCCGCGTGCATGGCCAAATGCGGGGCGACTCTCCAGCTGTGTATCCAGAAGACGATCTGGCCTAACCTTATTTTTTTCGCGTATTGGTGCCATCTGTGCATGTATTTTCTACTGACCGCATCGCATCCAGTCTGTTGCATACACTCGCTCGCTCTCACATTGTGCTTCTAGTAGTAGTAGTCATTAGTCTTATCACTATTCTTTACTTACAATTCAATGCTTTGGAATCTCTCAGTCAATCATAAATCTTCATGTCACTGTCCATGTGTCCGTTTCCCCAGAAACTGTGCACAGAAGGAATGCACCGGGCCAAAAGATGCATCGTGCTCAGCGGGATTTCAGAGCCACCCTGCCATACCCCGATGTCTTGGAGATCCCAAGACGACATCGGTTGTTCCTGCATCTCATTGAACAGAGCCTATAGGTTTGCTCAGGCAACTGGGGAGGGTTTACTAGGGAGACTGCTTACTTCTACCGCAGCTCGGTGCGGATGAGAACCTCCGACATAGAGCGACAAACTCTTCAAGCCAGGCAGACTGTTCTCAAGGAGCCGGAAGAGCTCCACGTCCCAAATACGCACATTCAATCGAAGGGTGCGCAGACCATAGAGAGGGCCAACGAGAGACTGCACCTCCCCGAGAGTCAAATACCGGTCCTTCACAGCCAGCGACCTAAGTGTGCCGGCCGAGCGCCCGACATACATCATCAAGGCAGTGAAGCCGGCCGCGTGCGTCGTGGGATAGATAAAGAGCGAGTCCAGATCGCTGAGCACGGTTGGCTGTGCAGAGTGCGATGCGAACCACTCCGCAAGGGCATTCTCTATGCCTGGGTCCATCGCACTTCCAGCCGGGTTCAGCCGCAGCTCGATCATCTCCAACGTCCTCGCGTTGTCTTCAAGAAGGCGCGTCAACCCCGTCGGGTCAGGGAACGCCTTGTTGAACGGTGCCCGCAAATGAAATCTGCGGAGTTTCGGGAAAGCGCCCAGGTGGAGGAACAGTGTCGATAGATCGAGGGTCGACCAGGACCAGATCCGGAGCGATTCAAGCTGAGTCGCCAGGCCGTTTATGAAGGGCGCAACGGAGTTGACAAGGATATCGGTCACTGCCGCGCTAGCCATCGTGTCCAGCTCGCGCGTAAACTGCAAGCCGAGGTGTTTGCATGAAAATAGCCTTGGTTCTGAGGACGTGAACTGGTAGAACGTCTGGTCATGTGTAAGTCAGTACGGTGTACTACCACATATGTTTTGAGTGGCTCAACTTACCTCGGGCCGCCCCGCGATCGACATGCTCACCAGTCGCTCCCCGAACGCGGTCCACGCAGTCCGGAAGAATGGCTGCAGGTCCATCTCCGGCGGGATATCCCACGTTTCAATCTCGAAGTGCGTCAGATTCCCCAGCCGAGGGAGGACCAGCATCAAGCTGTCGATGATGTCCTCGACAGTCAACCACTCTGGTGCTACACGCGTCACAAACGAGAGAAATCTCCGTATTGTCGCTCGTGCATTGTGAGGTGGACCAGTGGGCGCGAGCGGGAGTGTGGGCGGCCGGACAACCAGTCTGCGCACGCGCTGGGCGACAACAGGATCTCTGTCAGAGGTCAACTCGAACGCAACCTTCGGATTCGCGGCGACAAGACGCACTTCAGACGCTCGATAAGCCTGAAAGTGCGATGGTCTATCGACTCAATCCGAATGCTCCCATACCTGGCATCCAGATAGTAGTTGTAGAATTGGAAGTTGACGCCCGGTATGAGCTCGGGGACGGGTATGAACGATAGAATATGCAGAATCACTTCCGATGGTAGTTCTGGCATTTACGCCGCTGGTGGAAGAGCAAGGTGGAAGTCTAGCATAGCTGGCTGACTCGGACATGCAGTGCACGGAATCTGTCATGGTTTCTGTCAAGTGCAACACCTGAAGATACTTATTTACATGGTGGCTGAAACGTATGTAGATATGTACGTATGTACTGTACTGTACATATGCAGAAACGGCCAGTTAGTTCCAGCTTGATTCCAATATACGGTCAATATTGCAGGTCTCGGACTGTGAAGATCTACCCTGCAGCCTGATTAGCTAAAGCACGCGCCCGGGCGCGTGCCATTGTTTCTCTAAGTTCTGGGCTATCCCAGGAACTTTCCGTTTCTCGCGTCGAGAGAGATCGAGACAGGTCGGACTCCGCAGACATGCTCCGCCCGAAATCAGGTGTCTGCGGCCAACCTCGGGAGCCAGCGGAAGATGGGAGGGATGCGGATACGAAATCGAATCGTTGGGTACGGGGCGAAGCAGAGTTCGGTCGGGACGAGTGTGACGAAGGGACAAGGGTGAGGTTTCGAGGTTGGCGTTTGCGTCGCGGCGAAGAGGTCCGATTCGGGAGCCCGCCGAATTCAGAATGGAAACCGCCCTCTTCTTCCTCCCAGACACCAGTTCCATCATCAATTTCATCTTCTTGAGCCTCACTTTGCACAACAATCTCACGCCCTAGAGCTTTCTGACCTTCTTGAATGAGCGCAGCCAACTGACCACCGAGCCAGTCCATCTGAAAGCAGCTAAGCAGCTATGTGACCAGATACAGAAAAAGCATACCTGCTCCTCGACCACAGAAGGTTCCTCCTCCATTTCCACGTCGCGCTGCGGTTGAGAAGGATCAACGCTGGGCGGGGGTGAAATTGTGCTGTGTGCGTGGGCACGTGACCTCGCACGAGCAGCTCGTCTGGACGCGTGACCGTGATGAACTTTACGACGGCGAGGAGTGGCCATGGGGGTTGGAGGTGTGACGTGGATAGCGTGAGAGGCTTGAGCAGGCGTCCATCCGCCTTGTTGATATGGAGGAGGGGGAGGAGGTTGCTCCGATTCTCGCGAGTCGTCCTTTTGCTCTGCGTCTTTGCCACGATCTCTCCACCTGGGGATGCCTTGAGATCAAACGCACCAATTCTTGACTCAAGAAAAATCACGCACAATCGATACACAGTCAGTCCGACTGCGGTGCCTATCAGCGCAGCGCTGACAGCAGTAGAGACGATGGAGCCAGCAAGGCCTCGTCGGCGTTTCGCGGGGGGAGGAAGATCTACATTGAATAATGAAAGTAAGTTTAATTGCATGAGAAAAGGAAAGGAGAAGAGGTGGCTGGCAGTGACGACCGCTGCCGACGAAGATGAGTTATACAGACTGCATGGGGACGAAAACACGTGCCCGCGATGCCTGTTCAACATACTTTGAACAGACGCGAAAAGAGAATGCAAGATTAGACAGCAGCGATGGCAGTCGACACCGGTAGGGACGAAGGCGCACCAGAAAGGCCGCACGCCGAAACCATCTCCGGTCCGAACGCAGTACGCAAAGTGGAAAACATGGAAACTCACCGGGAACAGACATTGCCATCTCGGTCACTTCAGAATCGTCGCCCCTACGCGAAGAGATCGCCATCTCTCGATATTTTGCAGGCGTATCGAGATATCCGCTGCCGGACGTGAGCGTGGTGGTAGACAGGCTCGGTTCTGCGAGGGACGGATCCCAGCCGCGCTTCCTTGATATGGGAGCAGATGCGGAGGGAGAGCGGCTGGATGATGTCCTATCGGGAATAGTCTGTGGTCGCGTGTGGCGGTCTCGATGCCGCGCGGGCGAAGTAGGGGGACGGAAGGGACCAGAGCTGGACGAAGCCACTGGCACCGGCTGTGGTTCTTGGGTCGCAAAGGGATTGAGACCCGGGACAGCGAATTTGAACGTAAACGGGAAGGGCATGGGCCGAATCGAACGTCAAGCAACTACGTGAAGCTTGAATCGAGGGCTGAGTTCGTAAAAGTCGTAAAAGATGTCCACTCGAGTCAATTAGTCTTCTCGAGACCACTCCGAAAGAATGAGGGTGGCGGTTGACGATGATGGACGCTCGATACAAGAATGCCACCAGGAACGAGATGATGGGTCGCACAGGTCGAAGCCGAAGGTCAATGGCCCTGTGAGTACAACAACAACATATGACAACACTATCTGATCTAATCATGTCTACTTTTTGCCCTTTTTCTTTTTCTTCTGCTTGGCTTTAGAGGTAAAGAACCCATCATCTTCATCCTCCTTCGGAGCCTCAGCTGGAGCCTCAGGAGGTGCTTCGACTGCAGGAGCCTCGACCACAGGAGTCCCTGGAACAGTCTCAGCAGGAGCCTCGGGGATCGAAGTTTCTTGAGTAGGATCGGCAGTGGCAGTTTCGACAACGGAAGCCTCGATGACGGGAGCTGCGCTCTCGAGCTCTGCTGCAGGATTGGTGTCAGCTTCGGGCAAAGAAGCGGATGGCCCTTTGTCAGGAGAGACAGCTTGAGACGCTGTTGCGATTGCAGTCTCCGATGTGTTTGCGATCGGATCCGGAGATTTGGACGCTTCATCAACGACTGCAGAATTCAGTGATTCTTCAGTGACTACTGGCTGTACGGCCTCCGCCGGCGCAGACTCAGCGAACGCGTCGGCAACCTCAGCCGGGGCTTCGGCCTCGCCGGGAGGCTCTGGAGTGTTCCCAGCTGCGAAAACTGGAGTATTGTCGTCATTCGGCAGCTGTATGGCTGTGTGAACGGGAGACGCTGCTGGTGTGGGAACCTTCGAAGGAGCTTTGGACACTGCCGGTGTCGCTTTCTTCGAGGGGGCTTTGGAAGCAGCCTTCGACGCAGCCTTCGACGCAGCCTTTGAAGCAGCTTTAGAGGCTTTAGAGCCTTTCTTGCTGACCGGCTCTGGCTCCGGCTCTGGCTCCGGCTCCGGCTCGGGTTCTGGCTCCGGCTCTGGTTCTGGTTCTGCCTGAGGTGCCGGCTCTTGTGCAGTAGGCATCATGGGAGGGACGTCTGCTGGTGGTCCTATATCGAATGCATCCAGGAGGGGGTCGTTTCCGGTTGTCGTAGGGCCAAATAGCGTGGATGCATCAGCAGGCCCTGTTTGAGACAGGAATGTGTTTGTCTCGCCCCAGGGATTGCTGTCGTCATGGAATGCCGCTGAAGGCACCGACGATGCCGGATGCGTTGGCTGTGGCGGAACAATGGGTTCCTTGGGCGTGAGCGGCTGTCGAGCCAAGTCGATAGCCGGATCAACAGCAAGAGGCGTCGGAGGGGCCATGATCTCACTGACAGGAGTGGCAACGCTTCGACTGATGGACCTGCTGAGTGAGGGGGAGACTGAATGGCCTTTGCCCCAGACGGAGTCGAGAGCATCCGCCAGCTGTGTCGACCCGCGACTCGGCACAGTACTGATTGCGGGCGGAGTGGCTATATCTCGTTCCGTGGTGAGCTGTCGTTCCTTGCCCTTCTTCGAAGTCTTGCGTCCTTGCGAAGAGATGGCCCGGCTCATCGGCACACTGCTGGCTGCGATACTAGTTGCTGGCACACTGTTGGATAACGCGGTCGCATCAGGCAGTCGCGCCACTTGAGGAATTGGCTCTGCTGGTACCGGGGCTCGGTCCTGCGCGGTGATTGATGGTGGACGAGAGAGAGCTGGCGGCGATCTTCGTCTCCTGCTTGGAGTAGTTCCGTCAGCATCGTCCTCAGAGAACATATCCGGCTCGTCTTCCTCCATTCGTCGTCCCCGTTCGTTATACACGATCGAGGCAGGCCCGCTGCAAGATAATCAGACAGTGCGACGATACTAATGTGATGTCCTTCACTATTTCACTTCTCCGTTGTCCAGCCATTTGATTCTTGCGCCAAACTCGGTCAGACCAAAATGTATCTCAACAGAAAAGATAATCTTCCAGAAAGTCTTGCCGTTTCTACCAGTCTGAGGAACGGCACTCCCCTTGAGAGGTGACAGGTCGGCTCTGACGATGCATAGCGTTGAAAACTCCTCTGCTCCGCTTGAACATAGATGTATCGCACGAAAGAGGGCACCCACCGGTATTCCGCAAGATCCAAGCGGGTATTTCGCCCTTGCCACGAAAACACCAGACCAAGACCTCGAACACCGACAGAACGTTCAAGCTCGTCAGCTCGGTCGAGTACTTGCGAGAAAACGCTGTAGACTCCTTCACTCTAATTCCACTCTTGAGAATGCAATCGAAAGCATCGGGCAGTAACCGCGGGCCGGATGGTAGTTCGCAGAGCGAAGCTTCACGTGCGACGTGTTCGGGGTTGTGCGGATCAAATGTTCGCAGATATTCGACACCATAAAACGCTTTGGAGACACGGACGCTGACGTAATGGTCCACAAAGAATCCAATGGCCCCATCGCATACTGGTGCGGTCAGATCAGACAAGACTGAGATGCAGAATTGGACCGTACCCGCTTTGGAAGTTTGAGAATCCGGCCTGTTTACCGTCACATTGTACGGCGTCAGACGTTCTTGAAGCTGCGTAAAAAGCCAGAAGTTAGCGGCAAAGCCGCCAACAAGCCAGACAGACTGCTGAGGGTGAAATGTTGTGGTTCAGCACGAGGATGAGACTCACCTTCACAACACCAGCCGAAGCATCGATTTGAGCTTTGATGGCTTTGAACGCATCTTAGGCGTTAGTTAGCTTCGGCGACAACTAATTGGGAAGAAAATAGCTGACCTTCAATAGGCGGCTCAAAGAGTTCTTGCACTTCAGCGCTGATGGAGTGTGAGATCGACAGGATGGAGCAGTGGTTGCCATCCATACCCCGTCAATTTCAATTGCCCACCACGAATTCCCACAGCCAAATCTTTGTCGAGAGGACTTCCGAATGCAATGAATTGTAGGGTCTTGTCGTCTCGGAATAGTCGTTTCGTCGTTTCATCGAAGCGCTTGGTAATGTGCTCAACGGACTCGGGAGAGCCGTACTTCGACGATGCCAGTTTCTTCCCCAGAAATTCGCGGGCACGTCGACTGACAAACACAGAACCGGCGAAGACACCTGTGATCAGATAAGCAAAAGCTGTGCAACAAGATGAGGTCACGTACAGTCTGGGGGTGCAATTTCCTCGATTAACAATGGGTTCTGTCCAGTGATGCTATACGTCGAGATATCCCATGTTCCACCACCCGCATCTGCAATCAAAAACCCAGGTTTAGATGGATCCTGCGAGGTTGCAGAAATGAGAATAGAGGCAAGATTGGCTGATCGTTGTACTCACCGATAAGACGTCAGCTGCCAGTCCGTTCAAAACGCAAGCATGCAGACTGGCTTCTCCTTCCGTAACGAAGAAAATTCTTGCCTTCCCGGCACTCGTATTGGGTACGAGGCCACCATGAATAGCACTTCTTCTCAACTTCGACTGCTGCGCGCCTTCCCAGCCGTTGGGATGCGATAGAACGAATTTGATGTCGTTTTCCACCGCCGCCCAGAGACTTGCTCCGGCCGCATGAGTGTCGACTATGAAGTTGCGAGTGCAAAGGAAGAGATAGGATAGAAAGTCGCCAAAAACGTGCACCGGCGTCTTCCCGGGGGGAAGTCGCCCAAGTCGCATTCCGTTCATATTGAGCTGCATCGTTCGCGGTCGTAAACGAAGTTTGAATCTTCGAGCATCAGTTCATTATTAGAGAAGGATAGTCAAGGTGGCAAGTGCGCGCACAGTTCACATTTGATCCAACCCTCATCCTCCGCCTGCGATACAATTGACGACGTCTCGGCCTCCGCACCAGCGGCCATTATGTGCCCCTTTGCATTGTACCACAGAATCGATGGAATCTTCTGGTTTCCTGCTACATGTTCTTGACCCGGAAAGCTGCGTAATGGCAAAAAGCGGCCGTCAGCGTGCAGCCCAAGTTTCAACGGAGGCTCAGACCGAGTGACCCCATGTATTTTAGGTACTTCGCCAGGTACTAGGATCGCGTACGACACCTGTTGTCGCGGTCAGAAACACCGTCCCGATCCCATTCGTTTGCGTTGTTGGGCTTACTCCGCTGAAAGTGGTACCGACATCGATAGCGACGACCTAGAGCATTCAAACAGCCATCAATAAAACGCGCTACTGACACTTTGGCAAACACGGACTAGAGATCGGACTGGCCCTCCGTACGGTTTCCGTGCGTCAGTGCTCGACTTCATGGCGAGATTGTGCGTGGGACACAAAATGCAAAGAAGGAGAGAGGTAGGTTGCTCAAAAAGCGGTTCGACGGTCGCTTTCGAGTCAAACGAGAAACTTCAAGCACGAGGTAGATGGTGGAAGGTGCGCAACGCGCATTCAACAAACACTGTATCCGTTCCGCCAGGCGGTTCTGCTTGACAGGCGGGCACGAGGCACTTCAAAACGCGCTAAGCGCATGGCAGCGTGACCGCTTGTGGTTGATCTGACACTGTGGTGGCTCAATATCTCTCGCGCTTGTCCCTCTAGTTCCCCATCCAGTGAAGGATCCGGTGATTGTCGTGATAAGACTCGGATCCTCCCCACCGGGTATTTGGCACTGTAATGCTATGTCCCTTGGCCTGCCCATCAGCTTCCGCAACTTGAAAGGTCTCTACGATTACACCGTCGGGTTATTACATCCCGCCGCACAACTTACTACCCAACCACCACCACCCCGAGCCGAGACCCCTCCGTCGGCTTTACTCGAAAATCACCCATCATCACCGGGAGAAGGGGATTCGTCCCGACGTGACTCCAGTGTCGCCGGCATTGCGCACATGCGTCGGGGCTCTGATAATGTTACCAATCAGCTGACGCGCGCACAAGCCGAGGTCGCACGGCTGGAAGAACGATGCAGGAATCTCGAGAGGACTTTGAAGAGCACGAGGGACTTATTGGACACGAGGGACTCAGAGTTGGACCGTATGAAGCGTGCAGGAAATGGTATGCCCTCTCCGCCGAGAGCTGGGACCTCAGAAGGGCGCAGTCACCTTCGGCGGCATTCGAGAAATGAAGGCTCGGGCACTGTGTCTCGCGCCAGCACCATTGCAGCGTCGAACGCCGCAATGCTGGCAGAGGAGCACCGAGCACAGGCGCGCAGCAATGAGACGTTCATGACGAGATCGGATACTTGGTCTGGCGCACAGGTGATCCAAGCAATACACGACCTGAACTCGGAGATTATCCAGTTCGCTGCCTCGGCCACGGACTTGTGCACGTTTGACATAAATTACCCGCATTCGCCCCAAGCGAACCAAGACACAATATCTAGACTGGGGCCCACGTTTGCGTCGCTGATTTCCGTCAGAGAACGCAACGCGCAAGATCCAACGCTCGTTGGACTGGCGTTGCAGGCAGCGACGACCACGTGCATTGCCCGTGCCATGGGCAACTTCGCACTCGGCCTGCCTTCGAAGGCAGAGGTGGCTCTGGCGCAAGTTTACTCGCACATTTTTGTGACAGGTATGCGTTAGAATCGGACGCTGAATGCCGGCTGAACCAATCGCAGAGGCTCAGCCAACGTCCGCGCGGTGGCGGGCCCTGGCACATCGACATGTTCACACACTCTACCCGGGCTTGTCGGAATACGCAATAGAGGATCTCAAGGAGACCATCGTGCGCTGGACATCGGACATCCTCGTAGCTGGTGGTGCAACTCACGAATCGGCATCCCGCAGCTGGGTCCGTGACACGTTCGGAGAACAGGTCGGTCGAATGGCCAAGTCCGTCGCCGAAATCACCAAGATATGCAAGGAGCAAATCATGTCTACCAACTTCGATGTAATCTTGATTGACCCAGGCCAGTTATTCGACGACAGAGTCATGCACGACGCATTTGCAGATTGTGGGGATCTCGCAGGTAACACGGTCTTGGCAACGACGGAGTTGGGACTTCGGCGGATGACTCGCAAGTCTGTGCCAGGGAGAGAAGAGGAGAGAGCAGTCGAGCAGCAGTTGTTATTGAAACCAAAAGTAATCCTGGATTCTGTAGCCTCCACCTTTTCTTGATGCAGTAGCCTATTACACTGGCATAAAGGGGTCTCCGATTCGTGGGAACCACAATTTCGCCTCTGCATCATGATCCATTGATCGGGTATCCGTCATATTTTCTCCCAACCAAGATGGCAAGTCAAACTGCCCGCTCGGCTTTGCCCTCTGTGACTTCTGGAGACTTTCAATCGCCACTGCAATGTTCTCTACACGACTCTGACGCGACGCTGGATGCGGATAATGCCGCCCCTGAGCCGAATGGACAGAAGAAGAAAAAGAAGAAGAAACCCAAGAAATCGGCCTCTGCGAAGGAGAAAGTCGCATCGAGCAATGAAGTAGGGCCCAAGACAGAAGGCAGCTCGAATGATGACGATGGCTCGCGTCCCTCCGTGCTCTGTATCAGTAGAAACAAACACTGGCGCTACATCAGCTCTTATCATGTGTGTGTTACAGTTCTTGCTCAAATTTCTTCCAATCGGTCTCCCTTCTCGTTATGACCCTCCCCTTTCTTTTCTGGAATCGGGGACATCTACTTGGATCACATAACGTCGAATCCAGAACCCGATACTAATATTCTATCTCTCAGGGACCATGGCTTCAACTTCCTGTAGAACTGCTCGAGTCGTTGCTCACCTTGAACATTGACCCGAACACACTTGATGCATCGGATTCTCGTTCTGCTCAGCTCCCTGCATCAACCTCACCCACAAACTCGAGCTTTCCGCACAAGAGAAATGGATACCATCATCTCCTCTCGGAACTCGCCTCATCAGAAGCTCCAAGCACACCGTCGCTATCCTCGTCGGCTTTAACTCTATCTTCTCAAGCAAACTTACCCTCGCTTTTCCCCACACCCGAAGCCGGCAAGCCCACTCCGCCTCCAATTGATCCAGGCGTATTCCGAAATGTCGCGTCAATTCGTCGGCTCATTGACGAGGCCGCAGAACTAAGCGTCCGTGCATCTTCAGGCCTCTCAGCAGCGGAATTGAACATGATGCGATCATCCCCAAACAATATGAATGGGTTTGGCGGCTTCAACAATCCTTGGGCAGGAATGAATTCTGGAGGAGGACGGAGTGTTGCTATGAGTGCCATGCGAATACACCGTTTACGAGCGCTCGCTGTCCAGAAGCTGGCAGCGGCGTATTCAGCCGACGAAATCGCGAGCAGCGTGATGGTCATGCAAGGGGGAAGCGTTTTCGATGATCTGGCTGAACGAGTTCTGAAAACGGATCCCAATGATTGTGATGCTCGCTATGTGCATTTCTTTCACGAGAAGATACCGTCAAGGTAAGTCGAAATTTGGTTGATGGTGCTGCTAAGCAACTAATTCGTGGAAGTAGGCAGCTGGCTGAGTCCACCACGACCCAGGTCCTGGATGAACTCATCAGAATGCAGCCGCACAGACTAGAGTACTACAGAACACGAGGCATCGTCCATTGCTTCCGCGACGAGTTCAGCATGGCAACCAAAGACTTCACCCACGCGCTCAAGGAAGCCAAGGCAATTAGAAAAACGAAGCTTCATCATCAGCACAACTACTCTAGTCCCGTTCAGGGAGGGAGCGGCAAGCACGGAAAAAACGGCAAGCGACGCAAAGCAGGTGGAAGGTCCAAACGAGGAGGACCTCCCGAAGAGGATGCTCGTGACGACAGGCCCGACGCTGACCCCGACGCTGATTCTCAGAGCCGGACTGCACATCCGTCCGTTCTCCCGGATGCCCCCACACCTCTGGAACCGCAACTACTCTTCCTTCGTGGCGCAGCCTACCTGCAGCATGCTGTACATTTGATCGAAGGAACCGCCCTGGAATTGGAAGGGATTCGAAAATTTGCCAGCGGAGTGGGAATGTACAGCGGCGAGCTCCGCCTAAGCTGCTTGGACGGGAGTAACTTTGGGGGTATCGAAGTCGGCAACCCGGATGGCCCGCTTGGTCACAGCAGCGGGCCCAAAGCCACAGCGTACCGTGCTGCGTTTGGTGTGGCTGGCAATGGAGAGCCCAACGGGAGGAACGGGGACCCGGAGAAATTGCGCGATCAAATCCTGGGTCTTGTTCGCAAAAGCATGCGTGATCACGAGCGTTTCCTTGCTCATTTCGACTCGATCGATGCGGGATTTGGGGCTGGGAGCGGAGAGGACGGAGAGACGTGGAACCTGGCACAAAAAGTCGAATATGCATTCTTGCTCCTGGAGAGCATCCGACCAGGAAGCCAGACACCAGCTCCACCACCGCCGGCTTCATTTGCCGACGGAAGCAGTCCTTTGAGCAAGTACAGCTTCGACATGATGGCGCTCGCCGGCCCGAACACACCAGGATTGCCCCCACCCACCACTTTCACGACATATCATCCCCTGCTGGTTGAAGCTCATTTTAGCATTCTTCTGTGCCTGCTTCTGCTTGGTGACTTTACGGCCCTGCTGCCCGCGTTTGAGCATACGTCTCGAGTCGTTGATGGGCTGGAGGGTTATCCTGTCTTTCTTCCTCCTCGTTCGATGGCCCAGGCAGAGTTCGTCGAAGTCCTCGAGCGCCTCGCTGGTGGCTGGCGTACTGGAGTTGAGAACTACTCAGTCTATCATGCCTCTCGAGGTAAGGCTAGAGCTAAAGATGATGGCAACGAACAACGCTCGGTCGTCAGTCTCGGTCCTCCGCATCCGGATTCAGCGTCCTCGTCCTCGTCCTCATCTCCTCCAGAGACACGTTCCACCACTCCGACTGAAGCGGAATCTCACTCACACTCCGCGGCTTTGAACAGTGCCCGAATCTTATTATCCCCCGTAGTGGCGAGACAACGTGCTCGAGCTGAAGCAGCGATGAGCGCGAGAAAGAGTGGTGCGTCTGCTTCTAAGAAGCCGATTGGGATCAACATTCCCCTTCACGGACCTCGCGTGGATGTGATCTTGACATGGATGGCTGCTGTCCAGCTTCCACCATTGGATGCCGCTGCCGCTGCCAAAAACAGCGATACCAATTAAATTGGTGCATCATGCCATCCCTAGCTGTATCCAGCACTCTATTTATCTTATATCTACATCGGCTGGACATGTATACAATGATTTTTTTTTTTGCCGTAGCAGTGCTCATGTTGGCACATGCCACTGGCATAGGACACCGTCACATGACCGATCATCGTCATCCCAGATTCCCTTCTTTCCCCTCGCGTCCCTCTCAAGTCGGTGATGGCAACCAGCGCGCTGAGGGCCCAAGTTGCAAACAAGTGGCAAGAAGCGTTCAATCGACTGAATCGCTCGGAGGCTGGGATCTCCGGCCTTCTTTCATACACGCAGGTGCTGTAGGACCCGTCATATAATATAGCGGCCCTCAATTTATGTTATCAGGCCTGGAAGACTGCCACCGACTATCTATATCCTCGAGACATAGACGATCCAAATGACGCGAGAGATATCAGTACGCTCTGGCATCCCTGCAATCTGGACACAATGTTGATCCAGGAGTCGCAGGTCCTGCAGACATTAAGAACGCATTCGACGTGATAAACCAGAGTCGAAGGTTACCCATAATGTTGGAAACATTTCTTGGTGTGTCTTCTGAGTTGTTGAGGGTAAACGATCTCAAATACAGCAACGAAGAGCATATCTGCCAACGATTCTATCTAGTTTCCAGGGAGGTGGACAATTTTTTGTCGGAGTACGAGGTGCGCTGCTGCAAATTTCGGGTCCATTGCCCTCCCTCCTCACAATGCATAGGACACCGGAGACACGGATACAATACTTCGATTGGTCTTCCGTCTAGTGGACTGGTATCGCGCATGGATTCCGATCGACGAGTGCGTCGAGCAGCTCTTATTTCCCGAACCCCTCATTTACTTTCTTTCCAGGCTTGGTCCTACAATACATAGCGCGTTTGTGCTGACTTTTCAAACTCAACTGTTCGCGGTCCTTCCGCCAATCTTCGTGAGCGGCTTCAAAGCCCTTTGCGCATCAAGTCTCGTGCCTGTCCCCAAGTCAGCTCCCAAGATGTGGGAGGCATTCGAGGTGCTGGGTTTGACGGATCGGTACGAAGGTATCATCGCGAGTGTCGGATACGAGCGGATAGAGCAATATGTGCACGAAACCTGCACAGGTAAGTGGGATACACCTTGTCTAGAGCCGCTGCGCGCGTGGATGAGGGCCCACATCGTGCCTTGGATGTTGCCGATGTATGCGAAGGGGGCAGTCACATGTGTGTCGCTTCCATATCTTGTGATTGGGACCGGCTATAACTTGCATTCGCAGCGGAAGACGCGAGAGGGATGTTACAAAATGTTGGGTCGCGTTTCGATTTCCATATGAATAAAACACTTTGCGATCTACGGTTGGTTTCGGTGCTCTCATTGTCAAACCGCTTACTACATGGCACTGCAGAACCACTGAGATATTCGACATCATCATCGACTTTCCGGACTCGATGGGTGCGCTGCAAGACTTGAAGGTGAAACATACGCGAATTCATAAATATTTGCTTTTTCGTTAATCAATACGTAGGAGTGTCTCCAGCGCGTGGATCAGCGTGCAGCCCTCGTACAAGAACTAAGACGATCGTGAGTGACATAGGCCGGGGAGCGAAGGTTTCTGATACCTGTCAGAAATCGAAAACGGCTCCTCCACCCAGGTGCAGACACCAAGCTCATCCTCTCTCAATATGTCGCAACGATCAAATGTTTGCGGATAATAGACCCACCCGGGGTACTACTGTTCAAAGTCGCAGATCCAATCCGACGCTATCTCAGAGAACGACCAGACACGATTCGTAGCATTGTGGCCAATCTCGTCGGCGACGATGACAGCGGAGATTCGTTGGTGGATGAGAACGATCCTATTGTGCCATTGCAGACGCAAATGGAGGACTTCAACGATGCAAACTGGGAACCCGAACCCATTGATGCGGGACCTGGTGTGTCATCATCCTTTGGGCTGTCTGAAAAAGTCTCATGCTCTAGCAGACTTCAGAACAAACAAGCCGAATGATGTGCTCAGTACTCTTGTCAGCATCTACGACTCGAAAGATCTGTTCGTCAAGGAACTTCAGGTCCTGCTCGCGCAACGCTTGCTAGCAATCAGAGAAGACTTCGACAAGGTTGAAAAGGAGCGCCGCAATGTCGAGATTCTCAAGATCCGTTTCGGGGAGGCCGCCCTCCAAGTTTGCGAGGTCATGCTGAGGGATATGACCGATTCAAAGCGAATAGACGGGCATGTTCAAACTAAAAATGCGGTGCGATTTATTCAAAAGAGAAAACCCGACTTTCCGTTTGCCCTGACGTCGAACATTGTGTAGTCCATTGTTCACCCGACAATCATCTCTCGGCACTTCTGGCCGTCTTTGGACTCGGCGGAAATCGTGATGCCGGGGCAATTCCAAGCGTGAGCAATATCAGTAGTGTTGATACCTCCGAGCTCACACCTCTCCAGCTTACAGAAGCAGTATTCCAAAGATTTCTCGCTGTTCAAGCCAGACAAGAAACTGCAATGGTTTCCGCACCTAGGCACGGTTGATTTGGTCTTGGAATTGCAGGATCGCACTGTCACCAAGAGTGTTCCACCCCTTGAAGCTGCTTTCATTGAACTGTTTTCTCAGAAGAATGTCTGGACCATGGACGAGCTGATCCACGGTGTAGGCAATGTTGATAGAACAGCTGCACTGAAGGCGTTGATCACTTGGATTGATGAAGGAGTTCTGAAAGAAGACGAGGAAAACACTTTTAGATTGCTGGAGATCCAGGAGGAAGCAGGTCCAGCCCGTTCAGGTCTAGTGTTACACTTATTCTTTGACAATTATCTATTTTGACTGTTTATTCCAGCTTTGGCGGTAGAGGAAGCACCAGCTATGACTCCAGCCCAACAACAGCAAGCAGAAAAAATGCGTGTTCATTGGAAGGTACACCAATCTTTTAGTGCAGTGAACACTCTCTGATATTAGATTAGTTCATTGAAGGGATGCTTACCAATCTGGGTTCTCTTCCTTTGGATCGGATACAGCAAATGCTCAAATTTGTGCCTGGATATGACCAAAATTCTGAGCAGCTTGTAGGCTTCATGGAAGCTGCCCGTTGTGAGGGGCTTGTTGTTGGGCGAGATGGAATGTGGTCACTAAACAAATGAATTTGCAAGGTTTAGATGTTAATGTACTACAATTCTTATTTCATTGATTCTTGGGAAACTAAACATTGTATTGTGGTGTTTGAACCACTGTCTGAATTTTATCAAGTCTGTAAGGGCAACCTTGAGGCCCGATCTCAGAGTCCTGACAAGGGAGAGTCCAAAGTGTCAGATAAGGGGATCAACCAATACAGGAGACTGGCAAACCTGACAAGGGAGAGTCCAAAGAGAAACCAAGTGTGACAATCAACCCAAAAACAAAGTTGATAAGAAGAATGAATTCTAAGACTGGGGAATACAACACAATAGCTACTGTATTTATACCAAGTCCAGTCTGAGTCATATCTACATCAAATGAGTCATGAGACTATGCACTGTAAAGAACACTGGTCATGGGTTGTAGTAGAACCTTCTGGAGCATGTGACGATCAACCCAAAAACAAAGTCGAAAAGAGAAGTGAATTCGAAGACTGGAGAATACAACCAAGTAGCTACAGTATTTATACCCAAATCCAGTCTGAGTCATATCTACAACTAATGAGTCATAAGGCTATGTACCGCATGGAGCACTGGTCATGGGTTGTAGTAGAACCTTCCGGAGCATATGTCGCGCAGCCTCGAATCGATAGAGATAACCCCTGGAACCCCTAGCCCGGATCGTCTGATGCCGTGATCCGTGATAAGATAAGCCGTGCCAAGATAAGATAAGATCGTCAAAGATAAGATGAAAAAGTGGCCAAACTATGACATTACCCCCTCTCTAGGGTCAATGTCCTCATCGACTAGGCCAATGGGAGTAAAGACATTCTCGTAAGGGTCAAAGAGTTGTTGTTGGGGGTACGGAAGGCGCTCATCTCTGGGTTTGTAGTGGTGAATGAGATAGTCCCAATGTCCGGCTTCGAGTGTTGGCAGGAGGCGAATGCGTGTGTCTGGGTTGGATTGTTTCCTCTGCCAATCTCTCAGGACCTTCTTCGCGTGGGTAAGGTGACGTGATGGTTCCCAGGTGTTCTCGCTATGCGGCCATCCCTTCCATTTGACCAAGTACTGTTTTCCTCGGCCGACGTTTCGCTCTTTCACGATTTCTTCGACTTCCCACTCTTCTGCTCCTCCAATCATCTTGGCTACAGGCCTCTTCTCTTGGCGATGGGGGGGTGGTTCGTGATAGGGTGTCAACAGTGACTCGTTGAACACCGGATGTCTTTGGTCCGTGTCCAGTAAATCCAGCTTCCATGCAGCCGCTCCAACCTTCTCCAATATCTCGTATGGCCCTAGTCTCTTGTCGCTCATCTTCTTTGATGGTCGATCCGTCTCGATATTTTCCCCTTCTATGTACACCTTCATCCCAACCTTCAACTCCGGAACTTCTTTTCTTTGTTTATCGTAGTATTTTTTCATTTTTTCATTTGCTTTTTCTAGTGCTGTTTTTGCTTCGTCTTGTATTTCTTTCATTCTTTTTACAAATTCCTCCGCCGACTTGTTTCTCGACTCCATCCGTTGCTCCACTCCCTTCCATGGGTGATATCCGTGATTTGCATAGAATGGCGATATTTTGGTAGATGTGTTCATTTTATTGTTATATGCAAATTCTGCCATCCCTAGCCACTCCGACCAGTCCGTCTGATGGTAGTTGACGTAGATGCGGAGATAATGCTCGATCTCCTGATTCATGCGTTCTGTCTGCCCATCCGTGATCGGGTGATATGCGGTCCCCGGATTCATTTCCACGCCCAACATCCGATTCGTCTCCCTCATGAAGCCCTTGATGTAATGCGAATCCCTTTCGGTGATGATCTTGCAAGGGATCCCGTGGTAGCGGAAGACTCGGTCCCTGGTTAATCGTGCCACTCCTTCGCTGCTGATGTCAGTACTAATTGGTTCGACATGGATCATTTTGGTGAAGGTGTCACACCACACATGAATTGCGTCATACCCATTACTGACCGGTAAGGGTCCGATTTGATCCATTGAGATGATTTCCCACGGCGCGTTTGGAACTGCATGCGGGTGCAAACTCCCTGTCCTGGCTCTTCTGGTCTTGGTCCGCTGGCATGCTTCGCACGTCTGGATGTATGTCCGAATTTGGTTTCCCATCCTTGGCCACCAGTAGTTCCTTTCCACCATCTCCTGCGTTCGGTTGATCCCAGCGTGTCCGACCAAAGGGGTGTCGTGGTGTAGTCTGACGATCTTGTCCCGCAACTCCTCGTCCCTTGGTACATAGAGCTTCCCATGGTACGTGATAAGCCCCTCTTCCTTCTTCCATCCGATGAGTGACTTCTCTAAGGCCGCCTTGATGCTTCCGTCAATTGATCGAATGGCCTTGATTTCATCGATTAGCTGCTGATCCTGTCCCTCAAATGTGACTTCTTGTGATCGGAAGAACTCGGGCTTCAGTAGCGTGACGTCCTTGTTGTCGTTCTTGCCCTGATCGTGATCTGCTCGTCGAGACAGGAGGTCTGCCTTGCGGTTGAGTGCGCCGGGTCGGTGTCGTAAGGTGAAATCAAACTCTGCCAACTCCGTGATCCATCGTGCTTGCCGTCGATTGAGCTTCTGCGGCTTCCGGAAGTACTCAAGATTCTGATGATCAGTGAAGATCTCGAACGTCTCTGTGGCTCCCAGTAGTAGCTGTCTCCATTCGTCCAATGATAGCATGATTGCAAGCATTTCCTTGTCGTAGATCTCGTAATTTCGCTCGGTTTCGGTCAGTGCATGCGAAATAAATGCGATTGGGCGCCAAATGCCGTCTTGGTTTTGGCTCAAAACTGATCCTGTTGCCCCTTCCGAAGCATCGGCTTCCAGACGATATTGGCCAGTGTCATTTGGCAGTGCTAGGACCGCATCCTCCGCGATTCTCTTCTTCAATCCATCAAATGCCGCATGCTCATCTTCACCCCATGACCATCCTGCCTTTCCTGTCAGCCGTGTCAATGGCTTGGCAACCTCTGCATATCCCCGGACAAAGCGCCGATAGAAGTTTGTGAATCCGAGGAAAGCTTGGACCTGTTTGACGCTCTTTGGTTCGGGCCATTCCATCACGCCCTTGATCTTGATTGGGTCCATCCGCATCGAATTGTGTCCAATAATTACACCCAAATATTCGATTTCCGTGCGTTCGAACTCGCACTTTTCAGGCTTCAGGTATAGCTTGTGTTTCTGGAGCAATTCGAGCACTCGTTTCGTGATCCGCTGATGTTTGTCCAAGTTCTCTGTAAAGATCAGTATATCGTCCAGATAGACTACCACGTGACCCTCGTTGATCAGTTCTCGGAGTATGTCGTTCATCATGTTTTGGAAGGTGGCCGGGGAGTTCGTGAGACCAAAGAACATGACCAAGGGCTTGTACAGTCCGCGGTTCGTGCGGAACGCAGCCTTCCACTTGTCGCCCTCTTTGATCCGTACGTTATTGTATCCCCATCGGATGTTGAGCTTGGTGAAGAACCTGGCGCCGCATAGATTATGGACCAGCTCGGAGATCAGTGGCAGCAGGTATCGATTTCGGATCGTCATCTCGTTCAGCTTCCGATAATCCTGGACGGGACGTAGCGAACCATCCTTCTTTTTGACAAAGCAGAATGCTGAGGCCATGGGTGATTTTGATGGCCTGATTTGTCCGCTGGCCAGGTTCTCTTGTAAGAACTCGTCGAGTTTGACCTGCTCGTTTCGTGATAGCGGGTACACCTTGCAGTCCACTGCTTTGGAACCAGGTTTGAGCTCAATCGCATGATCCCATGCCCGTTGGTCCGGTAGTGAGTCGAACGATTCCTTGGCAAACACCTTGACAAATTCCCGATATTGATCTGGGATCTTTCCCTCGGTCATTCTCTCTTTCTCCTTTTCTGCTTCTTCTGCGAATTTCTGCGCCGGTGTTTCCTTCAGCCGTAGATCCACCTCCTTCCCAAAGTCGATCAACAGGATTGATTCTCCTTCTTCCAGAACCGGTGCACCGGTCTCCAGGTCGATTGCATCCATGTCAATCATCGCTTGATGCTCCTCGTGACCCCTCATGTGACAACGCTCTGGGCATCGACTGAATCTCATGGTCTGCTCCTGCCAATCCACCTCCGGGTTGTGTTCCGTCAGCCAGTCAAGACCAATGAAGATCCGGGCCTTCCCTAAGCACATCAGAAGGAACGTGCGTGTCTCCACGTGAGGACCAATTCTCATCCTTAGGTCAACGTAATGCGTGATCCGGCCGCTGATGTTTTCGGTGTTGTCGGTGTTACGAGCCACAATGGGTTGGGGAAGTTCTTGGATATCCAGCTTCTCTGCCCACGCGTAGTCGGTATCGATGCAGCAGGTGCTACAGCCACTGTCGAGTAGCGCCTTAACTCCGCGTGTCTTTCCTGAGTCCAGGCCTGTGATCTGGACATATACGTCCATCGAATGTCTCTTCCTTTTGGCCTGGTAGTTGCACAATTCCTGCGCCAGTCTGCTGGGCTGGGGGCCCTTCTGTTTCTCGGCCACCGATTTCCTTTGAACGGCATCTGGCACCCTTGTGCGTTTGGGTGCTTCTGGAACCTTGATTTTGGCAGATTCCTTGGGCGCTTCCTCCTTTTTCAAGGATTGAGCCTCCGGAGCGATGCTCCCCTTTTCGGTCTTTGTTGACGTGGTTCCTTCTCCACGAGCCATAAATACGTAGGAGTCCAAAATTAATTTATCCGCAGCTTTCTGATCCTTTTTACTTTGTAAATACTCTCTATTTAAATTTATTTTCCTTTGACGTTCCTTTTCCATATCAGCAACGAGAAAATCATGGATATTAGTACGTAGTGAGTCTGGGATCGTGTATGTATGGGGAGAATCGTTCATATCTTTAATCAAAACAAGTACAGAAAAACGTCCATAGTCCGGACGCTCCACCTCCTTGGCTAGAGGAGTGGAGCGCTTCAAAAACCCTTCTTGCGCAGCTTCTCGGCGATCTCCTTGAGGAACTCGTTGTCCTTGTCCCCGTTCTTGATCTCTTCTAGCATTGTGGCCCGATTGAAGAACGTGCGCTTCTTCTTGGGCTCAGGGCAGTTCCGCGCAATGTGCCCCGGCTGCTGACAGTTGTAGCAGAT